GCACCTCAAACAGCAATGTACACTTTTCTGATATAACTCCGCCAGGGCTAAAACTGGCAACTGAATCAAACAAGTATACATCATCAGGCATTAGCAATAGCACATACCTGCTTTCTTCCTTGCCTTGCATGAACATGTACACAGACTCTTTGGTTCGGCCAATACATTTTTCTGCCCCAAGTAGCTGCATCAGATGAACTAACATATTGTTATAAATGGGGGTGGGTGGGCTGTATGCCTGAACCCCCTACAAATTCCTGGATCCAGCACAGATTCAATTCTTGGAATAGCCCGGTTAGCTTCCTGATGAGTTAATGGCCTTAGTATGGTTAACAAAGGTACCTAAGAAACAAAGGATGTAGCCAGAAGACAAATGCTCCCCTCCTCCCCCAAAACCTGCTGGTACTTAGAAAGACAAAGGGCAGAGTTAAGGTGTGTGAGCTAGAAGCTAGAAGCAAAGGTGCAGGCTGGGAAGCCAGAGCGAGAGACAGAGCAATGCCTGATTTCTGCTTGAATCCAAGGTTGTAGCTATGGGAGAAGCAAGGCCATCTTGGGGTGTTAATGCCGTGAGCCATTAATGCCATTGTAGGCTCAAGTTGTATATATGTGTAAATAAACCATATATCATAAAGACAGCACAGTCTCCGCTGCCCCTCATTCCAAAAGAAACACAAATTCATGGTAAGCGCCTGGAACCCTTGAAATAGTGCCCCAGTTGGAAACGGGGGTGGTGTACAAAATTATCATCTAGTTTGGCCCTGAAAGAGCAATCTACTATGAAGGCTAATGTCCTAGTTTAAGGCAAATATCTTGGCTACTATATTTAAACTACTCTGAAATAAAAGTTTTGAGGCTGCCTCTATAACCTACAGAGCCTTATGGTAATCCAGTATGAACTGCAATGTTGCCAAAGGTCTTCATGTAACAGAGAACTTCTGGTAATCCTCAGGTATCTTTTTTTGTTGTTGAAAGGTTTCAAGCCACAGAAACGTTCTCAACACTCAGATTCTCATCAACACAGTAACAGCTTGGTGGTCGCCCCAGGAGGGGGAAGTGATTTTCATATAGAATTCCCTTGTGCAAAGAAGACTTGAGACCTCCAGCTAAACAGTGGCCCAGCAGAAAGTTCAGGAGCTTAGAGCCTTTGTATGTGGTAAATTCCTTTTTATTCGAGCTAATATCCCAGAAGAGCCTTAGATTTCAACTTACGACCTATTGGTTTCCATAGAAGCTGTTTCCCTATCCTGGAGACTCAGGCTGCATATACGCACTATAACTTTAAAGCACATTCAAGAAACATTCCTCCCCTGCAAAGAATTCTGGGCACTGTAGCTTATCTCCCATAGAGCTACAATTCCCAGCAACCCTGAACAAACTGCCTCGGCAAACAAGAGAGGAGTGTGCCCAGGGCCCAGAATTCTCTGAGGTGGGCAGTGTCTTTCGACTAGACTTTAAAGGTATAGGGCCAGATTCAGCTACTCAGTTCCATTAGTGAATGTTAGCTCAAGGACTGTTCCTAGCACAATGGAGCTTCCCCTCACTCTCCTCTCCTGGTGCAGCTGCACGCCACGCCACGCCCCCCCCCCCCCAGATCTGCTCTGGAAGGTTGTGGGAACCCCCAGAACAGTGTGCAGGAGAGAGGAAAAGGGAGATGGTTTTGCCAGTCAAGTGGAATTCTTATGTTGACAGAACAATCTCCTTAGTGCTACGCTGAATTCATCCGTTGTGCGTACACTGGCTCAGCATGGGCTCTGGTTTGTTTCTAAATGGATTTTGTGACAGGCGATGCAATTTGCTCCTCCTGGTCCTGATGAAGCCAACTCTGATCATTTCAATTGGAGGTGTCAGAATCTGAACTCAGGGTCTTCTGAATGCAAGTAGGCCATTCTGCCACTGACCTGTGGACCTTCCATAGATGTTGCACACAGTGGAAGCTGATCCGTTCAACCTCAAGCACCCCCCACCCGCCTGCCTTCTTACACACAACCAGTCCAAGGGGTGGCTCCTTCTTAGTCTCCAGATTTTCCTTGTAGAACACAGCAGGGAGGAGCATGGGGACAAAAAACCCCCACCAAGAACTACTTCGCTTGCCTGTCTTTCGCTCTGGCTCCAGCCACTGTTAGCATTCCATGCTACCATCCCAATAAGTACCAGCAGTGCTTTTTTTCAGGGGGATGCAGTACTGGCACCTCCCCCCCCCCCCAGAAGCAAAGCGCTGGTTAAAAGTGTGGAACTCACTGTAACAACATCATGGTGAGTACCAGCACCGGTTTTTCCAAGAAGAAAAGCACTGGGCTGAAGGCACCTTCCTTCCTTTCCATATATATCCCTTCAACCAGCAATGCCCTCCAGACTCAGGAAGGGCGATAGGAATAGCAGGAAGATTATGCAGTTCTATGGTCCACCAATAAGCACAGGTTGACTTCAAGGAAGTCTGGGGCCACAAGAAGGGGGCAAGCCAAACCGAGAGGGGCAAGCAGGGTCTGATTCTGAAGACGCTGCTCCCTGAAATAGGATGGATTTACACATGTGCTGGATGTACGGCAACTATCCGGATAATGTGAAGATTTGCACAGTGAAATTTTGAAAGCAGGCGGCAGGCAAGCAAGAACCTCCCGGGCAGCTTTCCTTGGGAGCTGCATTTTATGGTCTGCAAGCCAGGCCTCTCTATTTTTAAAGCCCTGCCGCCTTGCTATATCTGACTTGTGAAATAAGCATTCCGCATGTTGACGGGAAGCCGGTGGCATATATTTGCAAAGCACTCTTGGAATACTTTAGAGAAGAGCCCTGCGGTCTGCGGGAGGATTTCTCCTGCGTGTTCCAAAGATCTCAGAAGCAGGGCTGCCCCTGTTCTGTGGAATAGCAGGCCTGTCAACATACAACAGGTGCCCACTCTCTGCACATCCCCAGAAACAATTGAAAACATTTGTTTTGTTCCAAGCTGGATAAATAGGTCTTCACCAAGTTCAGCCTATAAATTCTCTGAAGCCTAGGAAGAAACATTAGGCGCTCATATCAGCCCTGTGATATAGGAGAATTCCTAGTAAAACTCAGGAATGGTAGTAATAGTAACAGCAGTCATTATCGTTATATTTGTATAGAGCTTTCAAGTGTTCAAAGCACTTCCCATACATTTTCTTCTTGCAATCCTTACAATTGCCCTGTGTTATCCCCATACAGGGCTGGCCCAAGACCTTTTGGCACCTGAGGAGAACTTGAGGCTTTACTCTGAGTGTGCCGAGAAACCAGTTCAGAAGGAGCAGCTTTGCTCAGGTGATATTGCCTCCTGGTAACATTGTGAAGCACCAAATTCCTCAGTTCTGCTCCCTTCCAGTTTGCCAAGGTCAGCTTGTCTGACGTACGTGTTGCCCGGTTAATAGAATCACATTCCATTATCTGTCACTGGCATCGGTTTACACTGTATGTTGCTTCCCAAGAATGCATAAACTTTCTCCCCAGCTGTGACCCTCCCTCTCCCAAATGTTCCCCTCTGACGCAACTGGGCTTGAAAACAGCCTCGCGTTGAAGCCACCAGGAGAGTTTTTATTTTTTCATTCTATTTTCAGCACTGGAGGGTTCCTCTTGAGCTCCACTCCCCCATTAAAATTCCTGCTGGCTCCAATGGGAAGCTGTTGTTTAAGCTAAATTGCCATGGGTTGGGGAAAGTAGGTCAGATGAGGAGGACCCATGGGCTAGATCTACATATTTCACACCCACCCCCAGAATAAAGGATGCAAGTCACTAGAAACATCTCCTGCATGAGTTTCGATGGAGGGGCTTTGCAGGGGTATGGAACAGATGGGTCCCTTCCAACTCTCTACAATTCTATGAATTGCAGAAGAGCTTGGCTTTTGTTCTCGTTTCTTTCTCCCGAAGTTCTGTGTGGGGCTTCTACGGGAAGAATCCCATCCAGCTTCTGCAACTGCTCCCACTGTTGCTGAAGAGAGCAAAAGGCGCGCAGCCTTGCGAAAGTATCAGCTTTCTCACCCTGTGTCATCGAGACATCTGTCGTTTGCAGCATTTCCAGCAAGGCATCTGAGAAAGCTGGCTTGATTCATTACCAAGCCTGATGATCTGAGCTTGTTTTACTGAATGTGTCCTTGTGTTAGTCTCCTCTGGCAAGGGGCCTCTGGTCTGCACCTGCTCCTGGGGCTAAGCTGCCAAGGATCCCATCACCATGCAAGGACTGCCCACTTGCCCTGGAAGGAAGATGGGAGCAGGATTTCTGCGAAGGCTCCACAAGTCTGATTGCTCCCACCTGGACTCAGTCCATCTTTGTGCTTCCTTGTGGATGCTTCAAAGCCTGTTTTACCTGCTTGGAAGATGCTAAAGGTAGTGATGGGCCCCAGCCATCTATGGATCCACGTCCATAGTCACAGATCCACGTATGGGATGTGATTTGGGAAGCCAAGACAGGTTTAGATTATACCAGGCTTTTCCAAGTGGGGTGTGTGTGCAAGAGCGAGGTAGGTAGATGGGTGAGATGAAAAGGTACAAAGGACAGGCAAGTTTGTGCTGCCTCGGGGAGGATGGAAATGCTTCTAAGAATCCAGAGAATGGGAATGATGGAAATGGAGGGCTGGGCTGTCAGGGGAGGACGGAGTTCCCCTTTAGTAAAGCCAAAAGTGCAAGTGATTTCCGTTTTAAACTCCTTTAGACTGCAGGTCTTCCAAACAGGAAATGATCTTATGATACCACACTGTAACCTGCTCTGAGCCTTTGGGATGTGGCAGGCTTTTGGTTGGAAGTAAAATGGACCAGATGACCTTCAGACTCTTTCCAACTGTATGGTAGCCCAGCAAACATTAGCGAGAATCTAATGCAATTCCTTTAGAGGGAATGGTAAAGAAAAGAACAGCTGGGAGCTGCAAGTCTCTTTGAACACCAAGTGTGCTGTGCTAATCTGTCCTGCCCTCTGGGGTATTTTAGGTCCTTGGCTCAGTTAGGTTTGACACCCAGTAATTGAAGGAGCCATAGCTGAGTGGCACAGCACATGTTTTGCATATGTAATATCTCAGGTTTAATTCCAGGCATCTCTAGTTAAAGGATCTCGCATAGCAGGACTATTGGACAGATCTTTGGTGGAAACTCTCCAGCAATACCGATAGGCAAGAATATGGGCCATTAGCCTGAATTAGCAATAAGGCAGTTGTGGATATCCTTAAACAGTGCCTCTGAATTCTGCAGGAAAAAAACTTATCTCGTTAAGGAGTTTGTACAATGCAAGGAAACAACTGGGTCTGTTATGAATGTTATGCATCTTTGTAAAACTTGATTGTGAGGACAGAAACTAGGTTTCTTTAGAAACACAAGAATGCAACTGAAATTATTTTTCTTATTTAGAAAGAATTTCCTCTTTCCACCAACAGTCCCGAGAGCCAGTGTGGTACAGACTGAGAGCATTAGATTTGATTATGAATTAAAATCCCTGCTTAGCTATCAATGGGTGACCTGGGGTTAATCACTCAGTCTGACCGAGCCATCTGTAATAGCACACCCTCTTCACAGAAACCTGTGTGTGTGGATTTCTGGAAATCAAAGTCTCTTTATAGAATGCCAAATCATTATCATGTGGGTTCCCTTTTTAAAGCACCTCCCCATCCCATTTATGTATTGCAACTACTTGAAAGAAAAAAAGCCAGAAGGCTTGATATAGCACAACCCACAGCATTTGAGAGCAATAAATCACACAAAGCCAGCTGCATTGGGGCATGACAGAATGACTGATGATTTAATGCTTCTTGAAGTATTTTTTTGTTTTTGGTTTCCTTCCACAGGGCTTGGTTTGAAAAATAACAAAATGAGGTAAAATAAATTAATTTTATGTACACTTTACATACACTCAGTGTCACATGGCGTCTGCAGCAACAGCAACAAAGACATTGTTACAAAATAGAACGTTGAGGTGGCTGTTGCAGGTGTTCAACAGCCTGCAACTCACAATGTCGTCATCCTGAGAGTAGTAACCAAGTAATAATAATGATCCTTTTTTTTTGTAAACATGTTTAGAAGCATTTACGGTGGACAATGGATGGGCCGGCTTCATCATATTCCTGTTTTGTGATCCACATCTGTTGGAAGGTGGACAGGGAAGCCAGGATGGAGCCACCGATCCAGACGGAGTACTTACGCTCAGGTGGGGCAATGATCTGCAAGAAGAAAAGGAATGATTCAGTTGGCAAGCGGGGGGAGGGCGGGGGAGATACAGGAGTCCCTAGATAATGACAGAATAACTCTGCAAAAGGTGTCCTAGACAGCAGCATCCTTTATAAGCAGTGGCACCACCTCCCACCATTTGGGTACTGGGAAGAGGTCTACACCTGCAGTTATACAGGAATACTAATCCAGTCCTCATACAATAAGGCATGGCCCTCCACATTCCCAGTTGTAGCTCCTAGCAACACCTCTAATACTGTATTAAAGTTACCCAGTTAATTAGGTGGCATCGTTTGTATTGTAATGATTGTACAAGCAGAGAACAGGGTGAGCCACGCAAGAGCGGCCCTCTCAAGGTGATTATATTCTGTTCTCCTATTTCTCATGTTCTTGCATGGAGATGCCTTCGAAAGCACTATGATTAAAAGCATGCAATTGCCCTAAGCATTAGGTCTCCCTCTCCTGTATGCCTAATGCATACGAGTTGTGATTCAGTAATGCATGGAATTAAGCCCACCTTGATCTTCATTGTGCTGGGAGCCAGAGCGGTGATTTCCTTCTGCATGCGGTCAGCAATACCGGGATACATGGTGGTACCACCAGACATGACATTGTTGGCGTACAGGTCCTTTCTGATGTCAATATCGCACTTCATGATGCTGTTGTAGGTTGTCTCATGAATACCAGCGGATTCCATACCTGGTGGCATAGGGAAGGTGAAGGAACAGAAAAGTGAAGGAAGCCACTCGCACCACAGGCACACAAAGAATTCTTCATAGAAGAGAGGTCAGTGGTGAGGACACTCAACAGAGAGATACATACCAATGAAAGATGGCTGGAAAAGGGTTTCTGGGCAACGGAAACGTTCATTGCCAATGGTGATGACCTGCCCATCAGGCAATTCATAGCTCTTTTCCAGGGAGGAGGAGGAGGCAGCGGTAGCCATCTCATTCTCAAAGTCCAGAGCCACGTAGCACAGCTTTTCCTTGATGTCACGGACAATCTCACGCTCAGCTAGCAAGAGAGAAGAGAAAGAATTTAGCAGCCTGCCAAAGGAGAATCCCGCCCAGGAGGGGAGAACAGCCAATAGGCACATAATAAAATTACGGGCACAGCACCTTGTACATCAAACTGAAGCTCAGTTTTCAAACATTTAAAAATCTGCCACTAGAGGGAGAACGTGGGCTAGAAAGTCTAGCCTACACTTTTTATGAATGAGGCCAATAACGTGAGATGGGCTGGCTGTGGATTTTAAAGCCTGGCATCAGAGCCTGGCATCAGCCTCCATGCTCATCCTCTACTTGATGACCAGAAGCAAAGCTCGGCTTCCTAGAAATTACTCAAAGGCCTCTGCTAGTGTATTAAGGAGCCGAGGGCCTGTCGGAGCAAAGGGCATTGATGGTTCTAAATCAGGGCGAGGAGGTGTAAGTCAAACGCTGGCGCAAAGGCTGAGGGCTGGAGAGGCTGCGCTCCTTACCGGTGGTGACAAAAGAGTAGCCTCTCTCAGTCAGGATCTTCATCAGGTAGTCAGTGAGGTCCCGGCCAGCCAGGTCCAAACGCATGATGGCATGGGGCAGAGCATAACCCTCATAGATGGGCACGTTGTGGGTGACACCATCGCCGGAGTCCAGCACAATACCTATGGAAACAAGAAATGGGTGTGAAAGTTAGCAAAGGAGGTTGTAACACCTGCTTGCTGTGTCAGGTTGATACGGGACACACAGGCAAGGGAGGAATGGGACCTTGCTGACATCTAGATGAGAGATTGCCAGGCATCACAGGCAGTGCTAGCAGACAAGTGTTCTCCCTCCTTAGTGAGCATCCTAGCTAATGGCTAGGTGTGTAGGGGGCCTCCATCACTGAACTGTTCATGCCAGTGGCTAGTTTCTTCCTTTTCTTGACGGTCTTAGTGCCAGTAAAGGCATGTAGGAGACTCAGCAGCAGACTACTGTAGCAGCAGACTACTGTACAATGACTGTTATCCTGATGCCAGTCTATGTAAGAACATCAAGAGAGCTCTGCTGGATCAGGCCAAAGGCCCATCTGGTCCAGCATCTTGTTCTCACAGATGATACTAACCGAGAAGAGCCACAAGGCAGTCTCCTGTGTACCTAAACCCACATCAGTGACTGGGCACTCCCTATCGTAGTTGGACTACAAGTAGCTGTCTCTCTCTCTCTCGTCCTCTGCTTGCACTAGCAGTGTTCCCTGGACATCCTTCCTTTTCTCTTCTCCATTTCTGGTCCTGTCACTCACCAGTGGTACGGCCAGAAGCGTAGAGGGACAGCACAGCCTGGATAGCCACATACATGGCAGGGACGTTGAAGGTCTCAAACATGATTTGGGTCATCTTTTCACGGTTGGCCTTGGGGTTGAGGGGGGCCTCAGTGAGCAGGGTGGGGTGCTCCTCAGGGGCCACACGGAGCTCATTGTAGAAGGTGTGATGCCAGATCTTCTCCATGTCATCCCAGTTGGTGATGATGCCATGCTCAATGGGGTACTTCAGGGTCAGGATACCTCTCTTGCTCTGAGCTTCATCCCCTACGTAGGAGTCTTTTTGACCCATACCCACCATGACACCCTAGGAAGGAAGTGGGAAAAGCTCTCAGCATCTTCTTAGGGCTGAGGAAGTGGATCATGACAACCTAATTGCTGTCCTCTACACTAAGCAAAGAGCTATAAGCTATTCCTACCAAGGCCCTAAGACCTTTCCTTCACAACAGAGAATAAAGTACAAGGTGCAGGAAGGAAACACCCAGCAGCAACTGTATTGAATATATTTAGGGGACCAACAAACAAAACTCTATCCTTTTCTTAGGAAAATAGGGAACATTGTAACAGACTGCTAAGAACAGCTGATTTCCCCTTAATGTATTCCTATTCTGTTTCAGAGATAGTATAAGCTCATAGGCTATGATGGACACACCCCACATTTCAAATAAAAAATGCTTACTAGGGCAATCATTTTGTTGATATCCCTATTTCAAAAGACTTATGCCCCTGGGAAGTCCACAAACTGAATGCCACAGCTCTACTGACGTTTGTATTCTGTAGAATTATGTGGTACATGCACCCAAGTAAGAATTAACAGAATTGTAGACTTAATCTTTCTAATCCTAGGAAGTCCAATTGGGAGTGGGGGAAAGAAAAGAGAAATGCTGTGGCCCATCTCACATATATATTATTTCCTCAGTCCCACTCAGGGTCCAGTAGAATGGGAATTTTTCTAACAGATGTCGCCATGTCTCAACCTGTCTATAGCTGGAGAGGGGCATGGCTGGCAGAAGAGGCTAAAATACCTGATGACGTGGGCGGCCAACAATGGAGGGGAACACAGCCCTGGGGGCATCATCCCCGGCGAAGCCAGCCTTCACCAGGCCGGAGCCGTTGTCGCATACGAGCGCGGTGGTCTCATCCTCATCACACATGGTGTCGGCTTTCTAGAGATGAAGCAGAAGCAAGAAGAGTTCACAAGAGGCAGCCAGGCAGCAGGCATCTACTCACAAAAGCTTAGAGGCTACAGGCAGAATTCTTATCTATGGAAGTCTGACAGGGGGATCTCCCCCATGGTGAGGGAGTATAGGCCATCAATCTGGAGAAAGCAGTTCTTACGCTGGCCACAAAGTAGATTATTTTCTGTTCCCCTTCTACCTGCTTACTTTATTGTTAATAAAGATCTGCAAACTAAAACACCAAGTAACAGCTGAATCTTCAGCACAGTTAGATGAACTTATTGGGGTCGAGAAACTGAATCACATTTACTTAGGATGAAGTCCCATTTGTCTCCAGTGACTTCCAGAGTAATAGGTTAGGCTTTACAATGCAACCCAACACATTTTGAATAAGGAAGCTCTACTGAATTCAGTGGTACTTGGTCTATAGTAAATGTGGTTAGGGTTGGAGCTGTACACTTTGAAAAATAAAATTTAAATCAAACTCCCTCTTAAAACATGTGCAGGCCACCCACTTCTAGATCCCCATATTAAGATGCTAATATACAAGGTATTATGCTCTTGTACCTGGAATTAGAAGTATGCTGAAGAGCTTTAGCAAAGGCATCACCCCCAAACTTTTGACACATGTCTAAAGTGACTAGCACTTTCAGAGAGTGACAAAGTTGAATAAGGTTGGTCCATTTTACATCTCAATGGAGATAACCCAAACCTTGCCACACAATCTGAACAGCACGACACAGCGTGCAACAGCTCACAAAATAGGGGATATTTTCCCTTGTGGAATATACGGTTTGCAAGGAAAAGCTTGAAAGCTTGCTTCCTTGAGAAACCTTCTGGCCATACCTGTACTTCCAGGCAGCACTAACCACTCTGAGCTGTAGTGCTGCAAATGATGGATTGTCCTTTGTCCTGGGGACAAGGGGACCCCTGACTTTCTTCAGGACTAGCTACACCCTACAGAATCCGGATTGGTGTAACAGAGGCTTCCAACTGGGTGAGCCCTTTCTCTGTGTATGAAACCTTCAGGAATTAGGGAAGCAAAGGATGAAAAAAGAATAACCCAGAATCATCCTTCAAATAAAACGGTTCCTGTCCTTTGTAGCTCAACACCCTGTGCCTAACGCTCAGTAAAATTACCATTCATTCAGTAATATAAAACACGGTAATAAAAGGGCTGGATCCTTCAAAGCCAAGGCAATGCCTTCTAATTTAATGATAAATACCAATGGAACCAGTTATGTTCCAAGTGAGAAGTGGATTTGTTCATCCCAGGCAATTTATAACTTGGCAGCTGTCAGTTCTAGCCTCCTCTCTCCCCTCCAAGTGGCCAGCAGCGACTTGTTGAAAGTCACAAGAGTTCCGTGGGTGGCAGAGTCAAACCCTGAGCCCGCATCTTAGAGATCCTTGCCGTGGGACTCTGCAGACTACGGATAATTCCATTTTACAATATGAGCGTGTGTGTCAGAATCTTCACAACTCTCAGTAGCAGCCTAAGCCAAGTGAGAGATTATGCATAAATTGAAAGCTTGCTCCCGGGTTGGTTTAAACTAAGGCTGGATGCAGGCAGGATCTCTTTTATAATTTAATGTAAAAAAACTTTTTTTAAAAAAAATAGCAGTGGCAATTGAAGAACGCCAGGCGGAGAAGGCTGGATGCAGCTGTTTTCTGCTCCCTGTTGCCCATTTCTGCTTTGCACCGGAGAGGAGTTGGAAGGCTCCCTCCTTTCCGGGCTGGCTTTGCCATGTCTCCACCTTCCCTCTCCCGGGTATCCCCCGGGCCGCGTGGCTGGGAGTTCCCCCCACATCATGTGGTCCTGCCCGGATCCATCCCCCTTGCCCGCCCGCTCCTCACCTTCGGGTTGGTTCCTGGCTCTTAGCTCCGGTTGCTGCTTCTCCCAGCTCTTACAGCTCGGTGGGCTTGCGAGGAAGCCCGGTGGGTTTTATATAGGCTCCCGGCCGGGCTCTTCCCTCCCTTGCCGCCGACCCACAGGAATGTCTCCATATTTGGGTGTCGGGCACCGAGCGAGCCCGGGCGGCCTGGCCGGAGCCCCCCAGGCCCCTTGCGCTGCCGCGGGGCTGCCCAAAGAAGGAGCGCCTGGCCCGCGCCCAGGTAACACGGGCCGGGCCGTATAAGGAGTGTCTGCCGGCCGGGACCTCCTCCGCCCCCCGGGCCAGGAGGGCTCCTGTCCCAAATAGTCCCCCGAGCCGCCATGCCCTGAAAGGAGAAAGAAGCCCCCGGCTCGGGGAGGGGGGTGCCCGGGCAGGCAGGCCCCGGGAAGGAGGGGAGGAAGGAAGGAAAATGGGGAGGAAGGAAACGGCCCGGGGCTGAGGGCGGGAGGGGAGGCGAGGCTGCGGCCTACGCGCCTGTCCAGCCCGCCGCGTTTCCCTCTCGGCCGCGCCGGGAAGGAGCTGGCCAGCAGCGGCTCTGGGACCCCCCTCGCTCAGCCTCGTCCCGCCTGCGGAGCGGGAAGGGGAATTGGCCAGCAAACAGGCCTCCTTTGTTCAATAGGCTTTACTCCCAGGTAAGTCAGGGCGGGCCAGGACTCGGAGCAGGGCCGCCTTAGCTGCTCGGGGCGCCCAAGATAAAAACAAGGTTTGGACCCGTGCTAAACTCAAGTACTTTTTACTGTAAGGGTGTTCACGGTTGCATTCAGTGAGTGTGTAACCTGCATACGCAAACAGTTGTACCGACTTGTTCACGTGTACACTCTTTCACATACGCTTGTACCTGTGCTCGGTGCAAGGTGTGAATAAGGCTGGGGTCAACCTGTGCATGCTTACTCGGAAGGAACTCATTCCCTGGTTAGTGTGGTAGGATTACAGCCTTAAGGAGCGTAACTTTGGTTTTTTCGTTTTCTTAAATCCAGCCACTAACTCTCCTGTCCGAAACCACATAAACAAGCACACCCTTTTATCTCAAACTAATGTTACTTTTTAGAGCTCTTGTATCATATCCCTTCATTCAGGATCAATTATTGTGGTCTAGGGCTCATTCATAAGATCACATGCTTTTGTTGTGGGTTAATTTTAATCCGATGTAGGGCACATTTCATGAACTCGCATTCTTCCAGTATAGGATGCTAAGATCACATTGGGAGCAGGAATGGAAGCAAATGGGTTTATTGTACAGGAAAGTGTTTAAAATTGGATTAGGGCACATACAGAAAATCTCTTGATCTGCTCTGTCTACCCCAGAATTACTGTACCTCTTGTGTTTGCAGTGGCAAACAATGCCACGTTACTAACAAAGACATCAGATTTTTTTTTTTTTACTGAAATCAATGATTTGCTTCTAAGTATTAGGATCAGGGAGGTATCACAGGAAAAACATATTAATTAGGCTGGTTCAAGGTGTTAATCGGTTGCTAAAGCTCAGCGTAGTTCACAAAATACAATATACAGTATACATTGAAGGGAACAAGTTTAAAACCATTTTACAACTCTCCTCACTGGACTGTGTGGATATTGAAATGTGATCTTTTGTATGGATTGTCATGTCTAATCTGTACTAATTAACAATTTATTAAGCTCCAGCTGTGTGAACTAAATCAATATTTACCAACGTTTACATGTGAAGAACAGTTTTACGTGAGGAATTAGGGTGTGCCCTAGACAATCATGGCTGAACTGGGCTGATAACCTAGGCCTCTCCTTTCTGGCTGGCAACACCAGTTCTCAAGATATATGTCAGTTAAATGGGGCTGTCGGGTAGACTGGAGCACAGTGAAGTCTATTTCCATGCAAGATTGTATGAGAAAGGCTTATTGAAAGCCTTGTACAAGATCAGCTCTGAAACAAATCAGGAGAGACGTCAAAGGAATTTGTTATTGGGGTAGGGGAGCTCCTAACCTTTTTCTCTACAATTCAAAATGCTGTGCAAAATCAGTTTTATATATAGAGGATGATAAATATCTAAGGGTCTGGCTAGCTGCCAGGCTACACTGAACAGTTACCATACACCATGGGCCCTGCCGCACTTTAGGCTATTTATACCGCTTGGGTACACTGACTTAAAAAAAAAAATCTAAAGAGATTCATATCTAGTTATGGTCATGGAGGTGGTTAATGGCAGTTTTGGGATTGGAGAAAGGGTGGAAGTCCAGTCCCCTTTAGGATGAGCCAGGGCACCAGCCACTTATGGAGAGGACTGGACTGAACAGATACCTTAGGAGGACAGTACAAACACCCTGCCAAAAGTAAGAGGAAGTAACAGCTATACTTGCAGCCCTTCGAATAGACGCTGATTATTTTCAAGAACTTTGCAGGCAGGACTGAACCAAGTCAATACTGTAACTTTAAATTATGTGAAAACAAATGTATTTGTCTAATTTATCCAGCTCTTGCTAACCATGGGAATATTACAATCATCACCAGCATTTATTTGTCACTTTCTACACACAGAGTGACTCAAAGCAACAGGATTAACAAACATTTAAAAAAATATATCAAGAAAATGCAACAAAAGTGCACATTTTATGTAAAAACTATTCATCCAACAATACTGCTGTGACAGAGTCTACCCTGCCAAATAAAACCGCTAAATCAGACTCTAGTACGATCCTATTTAACAACTTAAAAGCCTAGGTGAACAACAATGCTTTGCCTAGCGTCTGAAAGTTGACAATCCCAAAGCCAGGCATGTTTCCCGGGTAAAAGCATTCTACAAATGGCGACAACACTGGACAAGCCCATTCTTTTTTTATAATTTTTAATGAGTTTTGCTTTATATACATGTACAGAAAAATTCTTGCCTTGCCACCTACCACACCTTGTGGTAGGGGAGAGGTTGGGCACACAGAAAAGGACCTCTGATGGTATTGGCAGGATCTGGGTAGGTTCTGATGGAGAGATGCAGTCCTTAAGATATCGGGGTCCCAAACTGACAACCAATGCAGTCGGACTAGAACTGTGCTGTATGCTTTGACCACCTGGTTCCAGTCAACAATTGGCTGCTGAATTCTGCACTAGCTGTAGTTTCTGAACGCTTTTCAAAGGAAGCCCCAAGTATAACGTGTTGCAGCAATCAAGAGTTTTGCTGAGAGGTTAACAGCGTCTTTATAGCAGAGGTTGGCAGGTTGTAGGCAACAAGTGAAGGTAAGATGCAATATGGAACACTGAAGCCTAGTCCCATTCCTCCATTGCAACTTCTAAGCTCCCCCTGCAGCACATCCAACTGGAGATTTCACCAGCCGTTGTGCACTTGCCTGTTTAAACTTGTTTTCACAATCATAAAGACTCACTAGGAAATTGGTTATGGAATCATAGCCTTTTAAGAGTTGTAAGGCACCTTGGAGATCCTATAGTCCTACTGCCTGCTCAGTGCAATCTGCATGATTGCAGATGACACACCATTATGTCCCTTGCTGCAATTTGGTGACACTGGTAGCATGTTTTCATTACTGGCTAAACTATAGGCATTCACAACAGCAATAGGACAAAGACCCACTCTGACAGCATGCACCCAGTTTTGTACATTTGGACTCGTACATGTAAAAAAACACATATATTTAGGGGTGAGGAATGTTTTGCAGCTCAAGGACTACATTCCCTCCTGGGCATGTTCCATGTTCCAAATGCCACATGGCAGTGGTGGGTGGGGCTAGGGGCAAATGAGGGTGGAGCAATCAGTGTAAATTTTACTTTTATACAGTAGGCTAATCTCTGCGCGCACACACACACACATACCTCTGTTCTCCATGCAGGCAAGCAAAAAGTGTTATTGGAGTTCAAGGCAAAAACACTCGAGGGTGCCAAACAGGACATCTGAGGGACAGGGTCTTAGTGGGGAGGGCATGGGGGGGGGGGGAGACCAGATAGAGAAACTTGGAGGGCTGCATTGGGACCCTGTCCCTGCAGTCCCCCACCCCAATATGAAAGATGTAAAGACACCATAATCTCACATTGAAATTATGCCATGGCCTAATTTGATATGTGCACACTGCATGGTTAGTTGTGCTTGTGTTAGGCAAAATAATAGTAATTCAGGATTTCCCATGTGTCTTTTAGAACGGAAATGCACATATATACTTTTGCATATATATACTTTTGCATTTTCAAAGGGAAGGAAGTACGGGACTTTGGACCTTCATCCCCTTCAACCTTACTGAAGACATTCATTCTCTATAAAAAACCCAACACTTTATTTGTAGTTCCAGTTAGAAAGTGAGGCCATCTGTGTATAGGTCCCATATAATACCCCAAACTGCTTTAAACAACAATATATACTAATTAGGTTGGATTATGTATCTGAATTGCATTCCACTGTGATGCTATGATCCACTGCACTTCAGTTGTGTTAATCTGTGTGTAAAATAGACACTTGTTTCTAAATGTTCACATCTGGAAACGTTTAAATAGGGTTGTATCCTACAAAGTCTTTTTGCTGGTGCTGGAACTTCCTCCCTCCAATCCCCGTGTGCTTCCCAAATCTGTTTTGGGGAGTTCCCTTGATCCTATGGAGCATATTAGAGTGCACAGTGAGAGAAGGAGGAGGGGAAATCTCATGGTGGGAACAAGTCCTGGTGGGAACAGGATGACTTGGATACAATCCACAGTTCTTGAGCCATACCACTAAAAGCAGTAAATTTTTCCCATGCGTTTTATTACATATCATTCCAGAACATGATTTTTGGAAGCATCTATATCTTGAGAGTAGGGAATAGGTGATAAAACCTGCAGCAATCACATAGTCTGTGTGTCAAAAATTTGTTAAATTACTAACAGTGCCATCCAATATATATCTACTCAGAATATTTTTATACCCACTGAATTAAATGGGATCTATTCTCTAGAGAGTGGGTATAAAACTGCAGCCTGGTGGAACTCTTTACTGTATGTTTTGATATAGTTATTTGAAACATCCCAACCAGCATTCTGTGCAAACTTACTTTATATTAACAGCATTAATGCGAATCTCACAAGAAACCTCTAAATTTCAGTTGTTAAGAGATTATAGTTACCTTGTTCTGAACGTATCTAGTCTTTACAAGTTTGTCATAATACATGTCAGTGCATGCATGCTCAAACTTCAAGCAGACACATTTGGGCAGCTCAAACTGGTGCATTATTAATTTCTACAGAACTATGCTTGAGAGTGGCTTGTGCATTGGTTCATATGCTGCCTCCTCTTCTATTCTGCTGGACATGTAGATGTATGGTGCAGGGGTGACCGAAAGCTAAGTTTGGGGTGCACAATCCCAATTTTGTTCATTTATGCATGTTTTGGGTGTTCTTGGCAACACCTGCAAGTGTCTTGCACCCAGAGCACACTGCTGAGGTGTCTTACAGTTGCAACTCCCCTGGAGTTTTGGATTCATGATGTGGGATAGCCCAAGCTTAACATGAGGCATAAATCCCCTGTTGTGTATTGAATTCTAATCTTAAGATATTAAACTTGCAGGGAGGTTCTCAGTTCTATATTCTATACAGCCTCTTATTATGCCCCCCCAAGACCTTAAGAATGAATGAACATGTGGAACCTGCCACAAGTGGAATCTGTTGCAGTGGAAAGTGTTGCTGTCTAGGGTTCCAGCCGTGCCTCTTCTCGGATACCCCATTCCCTGTCCCATTCATTTCCCACAAGTCAGCCAGCATCCTGTGGCTACTGTCCATGCTCAGATCAGAGCTTTATTGAGTCCCTTATTTTTTATATATTTTGGCAAGCCATGGGATTTCCCCAAGCTGACTGATATGCCTTTCTTCAGCATGGGTGATGACATTTTACTGGACAGGGATCCACACTCAGAAAATGAGGTTGCTATTAACATATAGGATTACAGGCAACCTCCCATTTACATGCTTTCAATATGTGCATGGCCGTGCATATGTGCATTGATTGGACTGAACCTGGAAGTGACCAAAAAACATCACAAAAAGGGATGGGGTGTTTGCAGGCTTTTCCAATGGCATTTCAAACATACACTATTTCACTTAAATGTGCGGTGCCTTGGAACATAACCCTTGCATAAATGGGGAGTTGCCTATATTATAATTTGTTAACTGCACTCAGATTGTTCACGTTGATCATACCAACCAAGCTACAGAACATAAAAGCAGACTTTGTGATCTTCAGAGTTATGCAAACTTCTGACACAATATTGGCTTATGATGCATGTCCTTTTACAAATATCCATACCAACAGTATATAAACTAAATGCAAAAAATGACTAAACATCATTTTTTCTGCTCTCTCCAAGCAAGTGGTCATTTCTGTTGTAAACATTCTTAGGGATTAGGATGTAGGAAGATAGGCATGAAGGATTAAACTAATATTTTGTTAGTACTCAGCTATAACAGAGACAAGGCAGGTCAAATTCCAGCAACGAGAGCTGGTGTAAGAGTAAAGCCGATCTCCATAGGAGAAATTGCTGTAGGTTCTCAAGTCTGTCTAGATGAAAGTAACAACTTTACACCCTTGCCTATTGCTTTAAATCATAGGATGTTTTCAGAAGAGTCATTTGTAAGGTGCAATATTAAAACAAACTGCCACGTTTGATAGTTATCTCACATACTAATCCAACTTTTCCACTCAGCTAAAGAACTTATCGATTGAAACATCCTGTAGAAATGAATTTCCCCAATTCAGTAGAGCTAATCAGTAATAATGTGCTGCAAATGTTGCCCTTTTTTGTAATATCAGTGGATTGACATTGAAGAAATACATATAATCTCCAGTAAAAGGAATTCATATTATTGTTAAATCTTCCAAAGGTATTCTGTGGGTATATTCAGATGACCCATTTTATCATCACATAGTGACTTCTTGCAATTGCCATTCACTAGATTCATATGGGAAGGCTGCAAACCCATGCTTACAGAAGCCAAACTCTCAAACAAAATCCACTCCCTAGCCCTGCGGTCTTTAAGCAAGGTGACTCCCCCCTGGGTATCAACATCAACAGGTCATTGTACAGTGATGCACTAAAACATAATGGAATTACTCTTCCTGATTTCACACCTGTGAAGACTGTAACCCTATGCACACCTTCATGGGAGTAAGCTCATGTGAGACTTGCTTTTGAGTAAATTTGCAGAGGATGGGGCTGTATATCTCTTACGAAAACTCTATGAACAACATACTCTCACCAAATGTATTTTGGTCAATAAACAGCGACATGGGATGGGGGAACCTCCAATTGACTCCGAGGTCTTCAGACAGCAGTAACAGAATTTCCAGCAGATGAGGATTAAGCAGCACTCATCAGTGTTAAATACAACAAAGCAAGCTAAGTGGGTTTTAGAGACAACAGGAGGGAAATTCTAGCAGAACCTTCAGTCCATATTACTAGACACAAAGCCAAGCAGTAAAGTCTAGGGAGAGAAACGGCTTCATTTTATCACTATCCATTTTAAGTCCATTATATTTTTAACTCCATTATTCTCTAGATAAATACCCAAGATACTCTGCTTAATTATTGCTATCAAGTACACTGAGCCCCTCTCTGCTATGCAGAACTTTGGATCTATTTCCAGTGGTGCTAATGCATTTATTTTCTACATTGGTTTGAACATGTCCAGATAAGTCTATTTTTCCGAACACATTCAGCTCCTCCACTCTTAGCGCCGTATTAGCACAGCAAGAAGGGAAGCCATGGAATGATAGCAGGGCTTTTAAAACTAGAAATTGGAGTCTCTTCAACTGATTTAACTTATGACCTTCTCAGCTGTTGGATCAAGTTCTTCTAATAGGCATTTAGCCAAGGCATAAAGTAAAATGTGAGGGGAGGCAACTTGCTTTGCAGTCAATCTGTGCATGCTTAGCAGTCTGTAAGAAAGATTCTCCCATGACATTTGTCAGATTAAAGCCACTAAGACTAATAAAGTTAGCGATCTACGCTTTTAAGCATTAGAATGTATAAATTCTGTGGATTGTACAGCAACCCAGCAACTCAAAACAGCCTGGTATCAAACAGAGAAGAGACTCTTCCAAGAGGCAGGCAGAGAACAGCTTTCTAGTCTCCGTGCCATTACCTAGATGGTAGTAGAACGTGATACCGCTATGTGGTGAGCACCAAAACTTTCATTATTTATGTATAAAATGTCTGTGGACCTGCAGTGTGTTTGTAACTGAATAAAAAGCATTCTTCAGGATAAGATTGAAAATTGGATGGATTATATTCATTTACTTACAGAAGCAGAGCACAAGTCAGAAGTTGGATTACTGAAGCAAGAGAAGATGTCTGTTCCAAACCATATTTTAAAGCTTATCTTAAGCTTTGTAAGTTTTTGCCTTTGTCAGATGGAAAGGCCACCAAACCTTCCAGATACTCAATGAATTCTTTACTATTTTAAAGATGGACATGTTCTTACTTAACATAAAGATTTTATTGCAAAAAAATTTAAACAGTGTACAAAAATTTCATTCTTTAGAAATGGTCTTTCTAAAATTCAGAATTCTCTCAGGTCTGCCTATAGACATAAAGTTCGTAATTTGCTTTAAGTACAAATTCTAAGTACGGTTTGCATGTTAAGTGTTCAAGTTCATCTGCTTGCATTAAGTCTTTTACCCCAGGTAGATATTCGCTGAGCTGAATTCCTAAAACAGAAAGAAGTTATTAGCTACTGTAAACTGTAAATGTTGAGTGATCATTGAAATACGTACCTACATTTCAGAATAATTTGTCTAGGCCTAGGATACAGTGATAATTTTTCCAAGCACTATCATCAGTGGGTAAGTTTTATTTTCAAACTACATTTGGCAATTCCCTTCTGCCCTTAGCAACCATGCCTTATTTTCAATTTTGCCTGCTATGCTTATATCTTGACTACTAATGATATTAATGCCATTTGATGTAAATATATGTAAGCAGCGAACTCACAAAAACTTATTTCTGAGCATATTTCACACAACAATATCTACCTTCTTTGAACAGCTTTTGTAGAATTTTCACAAATATGCTGTCTTTAGATGCTTCAATTGGATCATCTTTGCCTTCTGAACTACACCAACTGTAATCAAAAAATAAAAGTTAGTACAAATAGAATATATATTTAAAAAAACAAATATATACGGTATTAAATCAGAATCCCCAGTGTCACTTTGTGTGTATTTTGATTATTTGCAGTTATTGTGTATCCTTTACTCAATTTCACATCTTTCAAGGCCGTACAGTATTAAGAATGCTAAAATGTATATGCTACTTGACAAAGATTAAAGTAAAAAATAATAATTATATGTGCCTCACTATGGATAAAATTTTTGTTACAACTAATAAGCTGCACTTCCAAACACTGCAGGATATATACATAGAGGTGTTAGTACTGGGCTGTACCCTGTAGTGGGATTAGCAAACAATTTTTCAGAGTGGCCTATGCCACAGAAAGAGACTTATCAAGTATTAGAAATGGTGTGCAGTTTGCACAACCAGCTTTTTTATTTCAATATACCTTCCGATTCAGAGTTGTTGCATTATACAAACAGCATCCATGCCCCAAAACATTGTCAACAGAGGAAATGTCCTATTAGCACATTAACTCAACTATCAGCCTTAATTTGCCCTATAAGCAGGTTTTCAGAAGTGTCTCATTTGCAGGATGCTGGACCAAGAGAACTCTGAAATCATGTTTAGCGTTCCATTTCAATACAATCAATAAATCCATTTAGCATGTCTTTCAGTAATGCATTTTTTAAAACATTGTCAAAACCTTTGCAGAAAGAAGACCTTCCTTAATTTCCCTTGCCGCTACCATTTACAATAAGAATTTCCTAGGTAGGTGAAAATGGATGCGTTAAACAACTAAGCATGCTGGGAAAAGAATCTATTTCCCTACAACTTCCTTTGCATTTCTATTCGCTATTTCATCTTCATGAGGAGGGCACAAAATGTAAGAGAGAAACACAGTCCACTACCATATTAGGAAGTCACCAAGTGTTCCCCACAAGCCTCAGGGTACTACCCAAGAATTCAGTTGCCATATATAGCTATGAAGCAGGGATGCATAAAGGATTATGCACAATTATGCACATTCCTGAAGAACAGGTAGTTCAAAGTGTCCAATGCAATGATTTGAAGATGCACCAAAACTCAAGATGACATGTTCTCATGAATAAGGATTATTCTTGCACAGCTATTTTATCTAAAGCTCAATCAATTGGGCATATCTATTGAAATGCTAAACATGCTATTCAAATGAAGATCAGTTTCCAACAAATGTTTCGGCTGCCAACTTGGATATCAAACCTTGACAGATTTATATTTAACTTTGTTCGCTCAGAGTTTATATACTATTTGTGCATAGTGATCCCTGCTCAGTGAATCCTTAAATTGTTCTCAGTATAGGAGAAATAATTAACTCCAAAATCCTAAACATTCCATGAAGCTAAAGAGAACTGACTTCTGAGTAAACCTGCACAGACTGGGCTTCAAAGGGGTTCACAGATTTCTTTAGTGTTCGGAATAAGTGTACCTCAGATATTCACTCAAATGTCTGAAGGTAGAAACAGCAGCTCAGTCTTGCAAGGACTTAGGGATTTAGCCAGCTAAGCAAGTTTGAAACACAGTGTTGAATTATTCCATCATTTATGCTTTAGAGACTGAGTATTGACTGGTTTTTGAAAATTAAAAGGTGGAATATGGGGGTTTTCATTTGTCATAGGGGCTGTCTGGAACAACCTGCAAACAGGCATGTTCTAAACACCTTCTGACACAAATACAAAAACACACACCTTCAACTATCTCTTGATTTAGAGCCAATAACGTTTAGCTCAAATGCTATTGTAACTGCAGGCAATTCCTTAAATGGAACATGTAGAATAGGCCACACACAGCCTCCTGGGGCACTCTCTTTGGCCCACTGGCCTCTCCTCCCATGCCTTGCCCAGCTAAGTAGTGAGGTGTGGCAGGTCATGAAACCCAAGTTCTCACCCCTGGTGCCCAAGTGATCAGTGATGGCCGAGTTGCGAGAAAAAGGCGCCTGCTGCTGAGGGAGAAATAAATCTCTCTATCGGAAGCCTGCTGTGTTTCCATGTTGTGCCCTTCGAGAAAGAAGCCCATTTCGAAGCATGTAGTATGGAACACAAGCAAGCTGTCAATGGAGAAAGATATTTGACCCCGCCCACTACTGGCTTGTGGTTCCTCCAGATTCCCCCATGATGGAAAGTGGCTCTAGGGCTGGGAAAGGTTTACTACCCGTGATGTAGCGTATTACCATGAAGAAAATGCAATCAGCGGTCATCTGAAGTGTAAAAGAAATGTACCATTGCTGTGCCGTTGGCCAGAGAACCAAAAAAAGCTGGCTTGGCATAATAGTTAAGAGATTCTAGTTGCCCACAGTTCAAGTCTCAGCCCCGCCAAAACCTGTTGGGTATCCTTAGGTAATCTTAATTTAGCCCCCCATCTGTAACAGGAGGGGAATTATTAGCTTCTCTGAGGGCTACTGAGGATGACCAGGTTCACACATCATATTAAACTATGGTTTACTGTGAATGTGTAGTGTGCTCTTGCATGCTGCTGAAGTTGCAGGCTTTCTGCTTCCTGCTGGGAAACAAACTATGGCCTAAAACATAAGGACAAAATTTGTTTGGAGAGACACAAATCATGAGCCTACACAGACAACCTATTATGGATGTGTTTTCAATAGAGCACAGTTCTGTCTAAAGTGCATCTTCCCCATAGCTATACAACCTACTACAGTGGTACCTCAGGTTAAGTACTTAATTCATTCCGGAGGTCCGTTCTTAACCTGAAACTGTTCATAATCTGAAGCACCACTTTAGTTAATGGGGCCTCCTGCTGCTGCCGCACCACCGGAGCACGATTTCTGTTCTCATCCTGAAGCACGATTTCTGGGTTAGCGGAGTCTGTAACCTGAAGCATATGTAACCCGAGGTACCACTGTAGTATAATTTGAGAGGCACCACACCCCATATTAACTTGCCAGTTCTTTATCATCATTTGCCAAGACCCTTTGACATGCACCTCCTCAATTAGACATCAGATCATCATCAAGGGACAGTCTCGGCATTCTTTGCAGTGATGCCCTGGTTGTGGAATGCTCTCCCTTAAGAATTTTGCCTGGCACCCACACTGCTATGATTTACTGATTTAACCAATAATATTGTAGTCACTTTAAAGTTTTATCTGCTAGCTTGTTTTTGCACTTTAAAAAATATTTTATGCTGTACACCAGGGGTGGGCAGAAGGTGGACCAGAATTTTCTGGTAGATCTCTGGGTGATCTGCAATAGATCAGCAAGGATTTTTGACTCCAACCTGTTTAACAATAACACAACAAAATAACCCCCTGGGGGGGAAAAAACTTCGTAACTAGGAATAGATTTTTGTATGGAAAGATTGTGAGCTCAGCCTCACTTCTAATACTCAAAACAAATCCCTGTCCTCAACAGCTGCTTAGAGACAATGTGTTCTTCAATTCTAAGCTCATGTCTTTTACACGGTGGATCTCAGGGTTCCAGTAACACACAAAGTAGATCCTGCAAGCCTCAGGTCTGCCCTCCCCTGCTGTACAACACCCTGAAATCTGATACGGTGAAGTGTGACATAAACATGTTTCAAAGAAAATATTCAATCTGGTATAAGCAGCTGGGAAAACTACAAATTTTAACAGAATGTTAAGTGTACTAACAAGTTTTTATACAATGGCTACAGAAAAAAGGGAGAGATAGGAAGAAGGACCACTCCATCAGCTCTTCTATTTGAGTTCTATTTTTCTCCTCTCCCTGATTGTTTCCATTCAAGCTGGTTTGATTGTTATAAAATAGTTGTTGTAAATTTAAGACCCGAGTTTGCTTATTTTCCCCTTCCTCTGTCATCGCATTTTCCTTTTGTGTTATGTCTTTTAGACTGTAAGCCTACATGTAGGAACTGTCTTTGTTACTGAGTTTATGTGAGCGGCATTCTTTACAGCCAAAAAGTGGGGACAAAAATGCTTTAAACAAACAAATAAATAGCTTGCTTACCTATCTCTTAAAAGAGCTTTGCAAAGTATTTTAAGTTTAAGATCATTTATGTTCACTTCCTCATCCTTCATTCAAAGGAAAAAAAGAAAGAAAAGAAATATTAAATTGCATTGGAGATTTTAGAGAAACACACATTATGCATTGTGATTATATCCAAATTCAATAGTTCACAAGCTAAAAACATGACCAGAAGTAAGAAAGAGGGACAATTTTCAAGGGTATGGACCAGAAAATAGCTTTTTGAAGTATGTCTGAAAATGGATTATGACTTTATGGGGAAAGGAGGGGAATCTATATAAAAAAAGACTTTATTTAGGCCTTTTATTTATTAAAATATGCCTTTCATTCCAGCATAACCAAGCATATAGAGACTTTGCACAAGAGTCTCTTAAGAACAAGAATAAAAAACGTTTTTCCTCTTGGCCACAGACAGAAATACCAGACTGGGAAAACTGTGGCAGGATGAAGAGGGCAAGCAAGAAGATGCAAAGCCATGTGCTTTCTAAACAAGAACAGATCAGAAAGAACAACGGGACCTTCAGAGAGGTTCTCAGTTTTGCATGAACCCACAATGCAAACCCATACAGATATGTAATCATACATGTAAGCTCCTTTAAGGTGATCAGTATATTATTGTTCTTAGGGAAATGAGCAGACCTGGTCTGATGCCACAGAATGTGACCCAGAGCACTTAACAGTTTGCAGTTCAGTTTTTGTGAGAGGGAAAGTGTCAATTTGGCTGGGATCAAGTGATACAGAATGGGTTAGATATATTTTAATAGAAATATTAAGAAAATAAAACCTAACACAGGGGCAGGCGGAGGACTGAGAAGAGGTCCTGGGACATTGCTATATCATGAATCTAGATCCCGACAAGGATACCAGTTGGGGTAGCGACATCAATAACTAAAAAGAAGGCAGGTGGGAAATGATCAATTTCCCATACTGATATGAACTGATATTTGACTGTAAAGGTAAAGGTAAAGGGCCCAGTTGTGGCCGACTCTGAGGTTGCGGCGCTCATCTCGCTTTATTGGTGAAGGGAGCTGGCGTACAGCTTCCGGGTCATGTGGCCAGAATGACTAAGCTGCTTCTGGCGAACCAGAGCAGTGCACGGAAACGCTGTTTACCTTCCCGCCAGAGCGTACCTATTTATCTACTTGCACTTTGATGTGCTTTCAAACTGCTAGGTTGGCAGGAGCAGGGACCGAGCAACAGGAGCTCACCCCGTTGTGGGGATTCGAACCACCGACCTTCTGATCGGCAAGTCCTAGGCTCTGTGGTTTAAGCCACAGCGCCACCTGCGTCCCGATATTTGACTGATGGCATCACTAAAACTGAGTCATAGTCTTCAGTTTCAGTTTTTATGTTTTCACAGGTTTAGCCCTCCATTATTTTTTTAAAAGATGGCCAAGAAGTCAAGCAGTTGGTATTAGATGGGACTTGAGTATTTTGGTAGCTGAGAAATAAGAGGTTATGTTTATTTATTTTTTTACAGATGGGGGAGGGAACTTCAGTTAGACTGAAAAACATCCTGGTTCAGAGATCACCAAAACTCACTCATTTTCATACCTCATCAATATACTCCAGCAGATCGAGTGCCTTCTTGAAGTCATATTCATTAGCCCTTCTGTTCTCAGGGGATATGTACAACTATTGTATGAAAGATGGAAGGACAACATTATTTTTAGACTCCAAAACAGTGTAATTGATCTTGTTAAGAACTCCTTGTGGGAAGACCACCCTGGATTCTAACTCATGTGACTGTTGACTGAAATATGCCTTCATTCAGCTGTAGGCATTTTTATAGTAAGGAAGAGAGTCGGGGTTTTAGAAAGGCATTCCACCAATATTACAATGGAAAGATTACACTGCCTATAAGGTTGCTATATGATAGGCTCAAATTTACAAACCATTTAAGGCTTCGGCATTCCTAGCCTATTGTGGTAGGAACATAGTTCCACAAATAAGTACTCTGTTATAGAAGAGCTCAGTGGCAAAGCATCTGTTTGGGCTGCAGGAGGCTCAAGGTCCAGTCCCAGCATTTCCAGGCAGGGCTGGGAAAGACTTCTGTCTGAAAGCAACACTGAGCTACATGGACCAAGGGTCTAATTCAGTACAAGACAGCTTCCTATGTGCAAAAAATAAAAATAAAAAATCATCTGCAATATTCTGGAAAGATAAATACCTGCAAAGGACACATACATATTTACTTTAATAGAGTAAGCCCTCAACTGACATGGGGGTTACATTCTGGGGATCACACCTAAAGCCAAAATTGCTTATAATCACAAAACAATGCAATGGTGGGTGGGATTGCCAAAGACTCCCCCGCCCCCCGCCCCCTTTCTATTTATTTTTATTATTTGCCAAGAACATAAAGCTGGATGTACACAAGCTAAATGTCTGTAAGTTGTGGGACTGTTTGAATTAAGATCCAGAAGTATAGTTGCAGTCACACAAGTTAAGCTATGGTTCAGCACAATGAGCAGCTTTGTTCAGATTATAGCTGTTTCTTTAAAAAAAAATAAAAAATTCCTAAACTTGAATGACACCAGGGTCAGAAAGGAAAGGCCTTGCTGATAGAAGAAATTAAAAGCAGGGTCTGGCAGTGATCCAGGCTGGAAGATTATTAGGGGGCATCAGAGCTGCCTGGCTTTAGCACAGCTGTTAAAGAAACTCCTCCCCCCTTTCTGCTTACAGAGACTTCTTCTGTAATGCCTAAACACAAAAACATTTGGACTCCTGTTTGCCTCCCAGGATGGACTTCGAAGAATGCAGAGGCAGAAAAGGAAAAAAGCCCTTATATATGTAATGCTTTTACTAGGGGTTTTCATTCATAAAAACATGCACACAATTTGCCACACCTGTCTATCCTTCTAGTTTCCTTCATTCAAAGGACTAAAAAGTGTATTTACCAAGAAACTGTTTATAAGCTTGGCTCAATGGTGTCCCAATCTCCGACTATCATCAAGAAAGTGTAAGTGGATTTGTTGAACATTCCTAGTCACAGATCTTGCCACAAAGCAAGCACAGATTAGTGCTCTAATAACCCAGGAACTGTGTGTATAATCAAAACCCACTGCATAAGGCATCTGGATATGGTGGCATATCCAGGATATGGAAGGACAACGTCTATGGAAGAGTACAGCCAACTCATCTGAAACAGGAAACGTTCCTGGTATTTGAGGCACAAAATAATTTAACCCAAACACCACCATTCATCCAAGGAGCTGAGAGCATTATACATGGTTTGCTCCCCATTTTATCACAGCAAACCTATGAGGTATGTTTGCACTGAAGATTAACTCTTTTGACACAAACTGCACAGCAGACTCCCTGCCAAAATTTCCTGAATTTATTTTGATTGTGTTGGCAAGGTCACTAAGATTTGTAATACAAAGCAGTCACGACAGACTCAGGGCAGCTTCATTGGGTTGTATCCAAGTGACTCTGTGGCAGCAGAAAGCACTTCTACTCAAGCAAGGCAGGGCACTCGGTATCTATCACACAAATTTTCTAGCCATCCCTCCTTCCCTGGGGTGTGGAAGTTCCAGCACATGGGCCAATCTGGGCCTGCCAGGGGGTCCAATTTGAGCCAAGAGCCCAATTTCTCCAAACCATGCCCATCAACTGCCATCGCTGGTGATGTCAGGTGATAGACAGGACCTTCTTGGACAGCCCACCTCCACTGATTCCTTCAATCTCTAAAAAAGCTCAGCCTTGAGCAGGCAGTGAAAGCTCCAGACAAGTTTTTTTCCTTCCCTGCTGCACAATGGAGCAGTCCCTGCCAGAGCTGATGTCTGCTTTATGGAGACATCGGCTCTGAAAGACTGCTCCATCACACAGCGATGAAGAAAGACTGCTGCAAAGAGCACTGTAAGCACAAGTGGTTTTGACCGGTGAGCGTGGCAATTCACCCGTCAATTGTGATGCCACAGTGATGCCATGGGGCTACCGAGTTGTCTGCTGGGGTCAGGGGATCAAGGCATGACCCATTTTCATCCAGTCATTTTACCCAATATTATTCAGGAAAACAAAACCACATTAGAGAAGAGTCTTTCGACAGAGTAGCTCAGAAATTCAATACCGGTAGGACACTTAATAGTACATACCTCAATCAGCTGTGGAGCACTTAACACTGGCATTTCATTGAGATTAATTTTTTTCTCATCCAGCAGCTGCTCAGGTAGAGTCTCTTGGTGTAGCAGAAAACGCTCTTGTTCAGTAATTTCTTGTATACATGAAATAAAAAGCATAGCACAAATGACTATAATTCCCGAGTACAAAGAAAGTATTATTTACCTAATTATGAATATTCCATCATGCTCAAGGTTTTCAGTGAGCCTGAAGACCAGTAACTCTACCTCCACCTGTAACCTGCCAGTATGTTTAGTAGCCAGACAGACCACTTGCTACAAATTCCCTTCACTTCTTGGCAAACAACTGGATGGCTGGTTGGAGGGAGGATTTTGACAAGAAGCTTTTATTTTCTGACCTCTAGCATAGAACATAAAGGCCACCACCACCACCCCTAAAAGTGGTGGGAAGTCTACCTACAAGATCCCAAGGGAGGGAATTCTCTCCATGTATTCAGAAAGACTTGTAAATGACAGGCCTTGCCATGTGCTACCTCCCAAGTTATTGATAATCATGTTGAAAGCAGGCAGCAAAAATGACACGTTTTCATGATAGCGGACCTGCTTCCCCCCCACATTTCCGCACCAAAGTTCTATGGAAACTTCCTTAATATCCTAGTGATCATTCTCAATGTTGTTTAAAAAGCAAATATACACATTATAGTTACATTACAAGGTGGTGTCATCTACTAGCTAAGCATCATCACCCACTGAATTAACCCCTTACTTCAAGTGCTGCACACCTTACTGGAGCAACATCAGAAAGATGGAAAACTTTTACATTCCAACCACAACAGTAATTGTTCATAGATACCTGTATTAATTTGTTGTGTGTGGCAGCCAAGAATTTCAGTGGGGAACTGACAAACTGCTTTGGAAACTAAAGCTCTGTCATTGGTGTCTCAACCACCATACTGCTGGGATCACAACTGACCTTGTAGATCTAATAAATTAAGGGGTATCTCCATATAAAGAAAACTTACTTTAAACTTTACAATGGAAAAAATAGTACCTTCAATTTTCTCATTCTGCATCACTTCTGATACATCAGAAGCCAGTAGAGACAGTTTACACAGGCCAAGAAGAGTTTTCTTCTTTGCAAAGTACCGAGTTTCTGTATTTGCTAAATTCTGCAGTGTTCGGTTAGCCTAACATTGACAAAAAATACTTTTAATATTTCACGTGACATAAAGCTCAACATGTAAGTTTATTTACACACACACACATAACAGGGACATTAGTAATTTGCATGATGATTATATATTGTTATTATTTCATAAACATGTTCAAGTTCTGATATGGCCAAGGAGAATTTTTTTCTACAGTGAACAATTTTATATAACTCTGAGAATAATAATATGCAAAAGGCAAGATAGGGAAGATGTTAAACAGCTGCACTACAGGACACACGTTAAAAGTCACTGAAAATAGAAATGGTATCAAAGCAAGTCTATTATGAAAAAATGGTATTTTAGGAATACATTGATTTCAGGTAAATATTTCTATTATGTTTCTTCAAACAAAGCTCTAAAGAGAATTCACACCCCAGTATTGTGAATGGTGGTGCCCATTTTAGGCACATCCAATTGACATGCAATCACCAATGTGTGAGTCCTTTTGGACCAGGAAGAAGGCAGAATGGGGGTGTAATGGGGCAGGTTGATGCTCATTCCACTGGCTCTCATGGGGGCCAGGATTAGAAACCCTGTAAGAAATGGTCGCCTCCTGAAATTATAATGCTAAGAAAGAAGAGAAACTCACTAAAATAGTGACTGGATCTACCAGAATAAGAAAAAGGAAAAGAGGAAAGATATTACAAAAACAGTTGTTTGCTAAAATATCTGATTTTATAACTTGTCCAGTATTTAGGCTGGGAAACTTTTTTTTAAAAAAAACTTTTGTTTTATTTTGCACTTTTTAACAAATAAAACAAAACAAAGACATTCATTTGTCTAACTTGGACCCAACAGCTTAATATTTACAAAGCTATCAGAATAACCTCAGTGAAGAAAGAAAACTACAGAATGCTAGGTCAATTAAGTTCTAGAAATATTTGATGAGATTACAAATTACCTCTGTGTCAAGATTTCAAAGAACAGAATTGCCTCCTATGCATATTATTTTTACTTTACATGGGGTAAGAGCCAGAGATACACAGGAACAGAATAAAACTCTGATAACAGTGTTGTTCTACAAACTGTTGTGGAAAAACTATTGGAAAACTCAGCACAACACAGCAGAAGGCAAAAGGATATGCAATGCATTGTGCTAGCACACATTGTGGGAAGCGGTGCAGGTCTTCGTACGAGATGCTGAACAAAGCTATGCACTATCAGAGGCACACTGCTGGTTTTCAGTTTTCTTTTGTTGTGCATGTAACTTGCGCCAAGTCAGGAAAAGCTGTTCTGCTTGCAGAATCCCACTAAAATGGTAGGTGCAAATACACAGAGGTCTCCACTTGTTCCTTAGATTAACAAAGTGGGGTACCTGTGTACAGTCAGTCACATTCTCTAGCTCTGCAAGGGGTCTCTACCGAGGACAGAGCAACTACCCATTACAAATACTTTGCTTTTTTTATAAAGCCTTACCTTTTCAAAATCATTGCTGTTGATGTCGTGTAGCCAGCTGAGTTGCTCATGAGCTTGTAAGAAGCTGGCCAACTGGCCATGCTGAGCAATGGGCTGTGATAACAGCTTTCCCCGTTTTCCTTTTTCCAAATACCAACGGAAGAGGAAATCTGAAAAATTCTAAAAGTAGCAAGAATGTGGTCAAGCTTGCAAGACTGCAAGAAGAAGAAGAAGAGTTTGGATTTGATATCCCGCCTTTCACTCCCTTTTTTTAAGGAGTCTCAAAGCGGCTAACATTCTCCTTTCCCTTCCTCCCCCACAACAAACACTCTGTGAGGTGAGTGGGGCTGAGAGACTTCAAAGAAGTGTGACTGGCCCAAGGTCACCCAGCAGTTGCATGTGGAGGAGCGGAGACACGAACCCGGTTCCCCAGATTACGAGACTACCGCTCTTAACCACTACACCACACTGGCAACTTGTGTTAAAAATAATAATCTAAAAATGTAAACATTTTTACCAAATGGGACAAGTTTTAACATTCCAGCATAGAAAAGATTTATAAAAGTTCTATCACTTGTTTCGCACATCAGTGAAGAAATAGCTGTTTACAATGGGGTCCCCTTTACCATTCCATATACCAAAGTTGAGCAGATTGACAGATGAAACTCACTGCAACACATAAGTCATGGAGCACCCAGAGTTCTGTTCTCCAACAACTCAATTCTCCCCTAGCATCTGTTGCATGATGCAGCCACCTAATGGCTAAGCTTGGTTATTTTCTCTGTAACTTATGAGGCTCTTAGATAGTCACTATCTGTATGTGTAATAAGATAGCTGCTTAACAGAAAAAGAAATCTGTACTGACATAATTCTGAAAAATAACCTGACAGCAAGTCTGAGGTTTCTCCTACAATATACACTTACTTAACAGCCTGTTGTTTGGAGTAAATAAAGAACATTACCTGATCAGCAAACTGTGTCATGTAACGTTGCAATCTGGTCTGGTTATCAGTCTGCTCACACAATTGTACCAATATGTCAAAGTCACAGTATTTTTCTGCTAGAGCGGCAGCCAGCTGGTACTGTCCAAGAGAAACTGAACAAAAACAAACAAGGAAAAACGCCCACAATAAAAACATGGCCATTTTGTGAAGACTTTTTTTTTATTATAAAAAAAAAGATCAATGAGTGTGGCTTTCAAGGGCATTTTGCCTCTAGATAATTGTTTTCAAAAACTATAAAGAAGTTAGAGCAATTTGCAAGGGGTATACTCCACATGCCATTAGAAAGATCATAGGCTCTATATTATTAAGTTGAAAGACTATGCTACATCAAAGAGTCAGTGGGGGGACAATTTGATTCAACCAATAGGATTTGGTTCCTGTGAGTGAAGGTGGGTACTGCATTCTCCCCAGCAACAAATAATGGAGTAGTAGGACAATACAATTTTTCTCCTACAGAAGAGCTTTGAACCACCAGGGACCACCGTGTTGCCCGCTGTGTTTCCCACCTGCATGGATGCAGGATCAAGTCCTCAGTAAGCAGAGCTTGCTGCTGGAGAATGGCTGGGAAGCAAGCCTGCAGTTAGACAAAACACACCATTTCTCCTGCCTGCAGTGGAGCCTGATAAGACAGACAAGGAACAACCTGGGGAGACACAGCTGTTGGCAGGGGGGCTTCAAAGTTCCTTATAACTGAGGAGTAAGGGAAAAGTTAATGTTAGGGCAGAGGGGGCCTGACTGTAATTCCTATCAAGCCAAACTCTAGCATGGAGAAGGTGCCAGGGAGGAACTCCTAAGCAAAGGATTAGGTTCTGACAATAATACAAGCAGACGTTCGTTCGTTCGTTCGTTCATTAATAATTCCTTGCAAATTATCTTCCCCTTAAGAAAAAGCAACTCAACATTGCCTAGAATCGAAAAACTAAGAACCAAACTGCACAATGTGAAATGTTGTTGAAATATTCTAATCCATTTTTGATTTGACATTACAAGTCTAAAAAGAAAACTCTGCTCTGAAAGCTAAAAATAGGCAAACATTATTGAAAAGAAGAAAAGAAAGGAGAAGAGCATTTCCTTCTTCCCCTGCTTTCCTATACCCATGGCAGAGACTTAAATGGCACCCTGTATAATAACCGCAGCACTTACGTAGTGGTGACAACAGTTCAGATCTTTTCTGCATGTATTCCATTTCCAGACTGTTATAGCGTTCTTGGTACTCTGGCCGGTCCACAGATTTAAGCTGAGAAACGTAACCATCCAGAAAGCAATCTAGAAGTGCCACCAGCTGTTCTGTCACTATGCTACGAAGCTTACTATTAACCTGAGGATAGACCTTCTTCAGAATGATTTCATGTTGCTGTATTATAGTCGTTCGCACACCAACGGATGCTTGAGAAGACCGGAAAATGAAATATTAAGGCATTATTCTATTTGGCATATGGAATTTGAAAAATGACATATGATAATATACCAAGGGGAAGTTAGACACAAGAGGCCGTTAAAAAGTAAACGTATCTACTTTCCATAGCAAAGCAGCAACCCCCAGCCTAAGTCTTTGAGTGGAACAGCAGCACTGCACAGCAGAAAAAGAAAAGCGTCCACATTAACAATCCTAGCAGAGCCAAGGCTATGGCTGAGAAGAAAAGACAACTGCTTGAGCTCAGTGTCAAGTATGCCCTCATGCCTACCTTTCCCCTCATGAAATAATCTGAAAACTTTTGAAACAATAGGATAAAATCCTGTTCTTTACACCAAAACCTAATACACAGGCTTCTTTCCTTTATAGCTTTAAAACCATGGTTTCTAAAAGTCTCTCAGGGTCACTGCCTGCATTACAAAATTCTACATGGAAGGGATTTCCAAGCAAAATGTTACAGCCATCCGGTACATAGATTTACTTGACGATACATGTGCACATGCATTGGAAAGCATTTGTTATAACTTCCATGTAGGCTCTTAATTCTATGATGCGCAAAACAACTTAAAAGCACAAGGGAATGTATCAGATATTTCCCCTGCAAAGCCACCTGTACTGTGATGTTGCTTGCAATTTTTACGAAAGTGTAGATTTCAAGTTATTGCAGGCAGGAATGTAAGTCTATAATAAGCTTAGGGCTTGTTCACAGGAACAAGTGTTGTACCGAGTAGGAGAGAGACTGTGCCTCAGGTTAACTCAGCTCTCATCTGTCCTTTCCTGTCTGATCTCTCCAGGAAGAAAACAAGGTGCAAATTTAAATTGTGGCTGAGAAATCACATTTATTTCGAAATGCCATTTAAAAAAAAATCACAATTTAATTCAAGTAAGTTTTGACATCAGTTTCCAGGGCAACCATCTTAAAAGTTAACAGCACTACTAGCCTCCTAATGTTATCTGCACCAGTAAATAAATGCTTATGTTTGAATGCACAGACAGCAGTAATGGCCTTACATAAGCCATAATGATGATAAGCAGGCAAGCATGTTAGCCCAGACATTCAGGATGAGGATATAATAAACAGAAATATTTAAACACTAAAAATGTAACATTTATGTTCAAGAAAACCAGTGAGGTATTTATGAAACATGGCACTATTGAGTTAGAAATTTAAGAGCAAGGGCAACAATTTGAAAGGCTAATAAAGTACTCTTCAGTGGATTTTATGTAGAAAGAGAAATACTGTGTTACAAAACCATTCATATAAGATTTTCTCTATTCTCACCTGTCCATGGAACATATTCTGGTTCCATTTCGGGAGGCTGTCTTATTTTATATAAAGCAGCTTTGGACTGGCGGTCTTGGATAGCAGCTTGCAGCATATCCTAGAGAATATTGACACAGAAAACATAGGACGTTACCAAACATAGGATTTTGGGGGGGTTTCATCTATATATTAGCACTCATCATTTTTTAGTATTATTACATTTTACATTTCTGTATCCTGTATTATGATTCCAAGTCACACTGTATCTTCCCCTCCTTTATTCTGGGTAGTTTCCAACAGGTAGTGAGAATAACCAGTTATTTTACTGCTACTCCAATTTTCTGTTTTCATCTGATGGGAAGAGATTTTTGGGAAATCAACAATATTGTCCTTCATTTTCGTTTTACTGCAGCCTGTGACCTAAAACTGTCCAACCTCCCACTTCTTATTAAAACTCTAAATTAATGTATGATCCCCTTTTCGAATTTAATTTATTGGAACTGGAAGGATTTAAGCTATGAAATCAAATGGGGCTTTAAAACATTTAGCTGGGTGCATTACGTCCAGTTTTCTAGGTCGTGGACTTTTTACCGTTACTTAATTTTTGAAATGTAATACCTTTATGATATTGTTTACATTGATGACTATTTCAGACCATTCCTCAGATTGAACTGACATATCCTTCAAGACTTGCTTCTCCTTTTCCAGTAAGCATTCAAAAATGGTATCTATCTGTGACACCTGAAAAACAGAAAAGAAGAAGGAACACTGACAATTAACACTGCTGATCAGGTATAAAAGCAATGATTCAGCCTGATATTTTATGCACTGAGCAGTTTAAGTGTTTCACTTAGCACGTTAAAAGCGCATTCATACACCCAACCAAACACCCTACCAAACACCCTGATGCTGAAGGCTGGGGATACGATGATCTACTAGCTACCACAGGAAGCTACCACAGGCACTAGAAGCGCTAGCCTGGAGCTGGAAAAACAAAACCTCTCCTCCTGCCATGCGTGAGCAGCAAGGCTTCAGGTGTGGTGGTAGAGCATCTGCTCTCAGCTGGGAGCTTAGATTGCTCCGCGAACCTTATAAATGGCTTTTCTGCCATTTAATTTTCATTCTTAGAATGGATCTATAAGCATGGGAGATTTTCATTAGGCACTTTCCTAAAGGAAAAGTATTCATGTTCCCACCCCCGTCCCAAAGTATGGATCTAAAAGAAGAAATATAGAATGTTACATGGATTCTCATGCATTTTATTAGGAAATGCTATTCACACAGAGAATGATAGATGTGGTTGTAGATAAATTATTTCTTTATATCACCTCTCTGAAGAAAACATCTGCAGGAGTTAGACTTGACGGAACGTCGTCTTCTCTTTTCATCAAAGCAGTCTCTATTGCAGCATTGACCACATCTGGCAATCTGTAGTGATGGTTCTTGAGAGCAATAGCTGCCGCTAACTTTTCTGCATGTTCACAGAGTAACCACCGAGTTGCCATTGGTATGCCCCGTACTGGGAGATTGCCCAGGCAACCAAATAGACCCACCTTGGATAGAGAGAATTGTACATAAAAATACTCTTGTGCCACATCCTATATTGCCACATTTACACAAGAACATTAGGTACCTACCTGACGAAGAAAGTCAATGAATAGAGAATGGGCCTTTGTCTTATTTTCCAGCTGATGAAGAAGAATGATGGAAGAATTTGGAAAACTAGCTGCTTTAGTACAAAAAAAGTGACAAGGAAAGGGGTTTAAAAGTTAGTATAACTTACAGTCTTACTTTCTTAAGGCTGTACAGTCAGAATGTCTATTTTACACATGAGACTTCTCACCTTCAGGTACTGATTCAGCCCATCGTGGGTCAGATGTAGGATAATCATCCACCAAATTCTCACTAATTTGAAACACAGCTCTGTCTAGGTCTGCGTCAGGGTATGCATCTCCATGCTGTGGAAAGAGCTCAGCAACGATGATTTGTGCACCTTTCATATTGTTACTGAAATGAAGGGAAACACTTGGTGAGTTGACTCTTAGAATGGAACACTGGTCCTGACTGGGAAGGTTGCTTTTAACTGCACATCTGAGGGTGTCCAAGTGGGTCATAATCCCTCCAACTGCTTGGAAGACAGGAAGCTTGTGATTGCATCCCTCCTGCCCATGTTCAAGAAAGCCCCTTCTGCTTGCCCTTCAGTTCTGTTCTGTGGCTAAGCTACTGTACGACAACATCAGGAATCAGGAAGAACATCCATAAAAGGACTGGGGCTGGGGAGGGGCAGACGGAAACATAGCCAAGGCTAGCTGTGTGTGCACTGAAACTGGATGCTCAAGACCAAAAAAACCTTCAGGTGATTGGTATGTGCAGACAGCTAAGTGGGTGGCATTGGCACCTGCTAATGCTCAACTGGAAGCCACATTCATAATAAAGACCGTGGTTCTGGGCTACCTTGGGCATGGGATGTGAGTCAAGTGGAATGCATCAAAACTGCTGTCTTGTGGGTGCGATCAGGTGGCTGCATGGTGAAATGGGAGCATGTGCCGCAGCACTCATCTTCCCTAAAGCAGCTACTACTGATGCAAGCAGGTCTAAGTTGTTCGAAACGGTGTACGAAAGTGCTTGCTGAGGACCATGCAGCCACTTCTGGTGGGAAACCTGCCCTCAGGAAAACGCTCTGTTCAGTTTTCAAACAGTCAGCTAGAGGCGGGTCAGGCCTGGCTTCAATAGGGGTCTCTGTGAGAGTAGGTCTGGCTTGAGTGGCAGGAACTACGGTGGATACTCTACCAGCTAGAGAATTTTGGGAAACCAAGGCTGGCTGCAGCAGCAGAGAGCCGCTAGGACTACCTAAACCCTGTCCAACTGAATTTTATGAAGGACGTGTGACAGTAGGGGAGTTGGAGGGCATGTATACACGAGGCCTGGAGGCCATGATGTTATGAGGGCATTCACAGCTTTTGCCCTCTGGATCAGGAACCTTTTGACGTTCTCTTGGTCTGGTGGCTGGTCTCTAAGGCAAAGGGGTAATCTATCACGCTGTCAACTTTGCACAGGCTGAGGGTAGGGTACATGCAATAGTGTTTTTTCTATGAAAGTGCTTACTAGTGAGCTAATAGGGTCAGAAGATTCCTCTGCAGATGGTGCTGAGAAATCACAGAATCTGGGGTGGACTGACTTATTTTTTTTAAAAAAACCCAAACACTTCGGGGTTTCACTTAAAGGATGGCCCTCAAGAGCAGGAGAGGGTCCTAGAGACTCTTAAAACTGCTTATTGGGAACTAGCTCTTTAGCTGTATCTGCCACAACAGCCTCTTCAATCTTGAGGACAAATGCAGCTTCCATCACAAAACTGCTGAGCAGGGCACTAGATGAGAGGTACCTAAGACCAATCAACTGGATCCACAGCAGCAGGTTGTAGATGCTAATGCTGTATTCAAAATATTGTCTTTTTCTTCAAGTTCTCCAAGTATTTCATGGTTATCTTCTGCCCTCTGGGGGACCGCATCTGGTACTGCAGCACTACTGTGGGAGAATGATACTGACATCGGATAGGGAACAGGCAGAAGCTGCCATAGGTGATGTAAGGAGCGGAGCTGTGACTGTCTTTACTGGAGGGGTGCATGAAAGGAGATTAACCCCAGTCACAGCTTCAGCTGGTAGTGCTCCATCTGCTTCCTGTGAACTTGTGCCGTGATGGAAGAGGACGACGGTGGTGTAATTTGTCTTGTGGTTGAAGCAGGGGTGGGCAGTAATCATCTAACCACCATGATATGCTTAATGCTGGGAGGTGGTTTAAAAGGAGAAGATTAGCACACTGAAGGAGGAACAAATGGATTCTGCTCCAAATGAAGGAAGACAAGAAACAAATTGAAGGACCAGCAAAGGGAGAGGGCTTCCAAGCAACAGGAGGGATTACAGACTACTTGGACAGAAAGGAGCACAAGATCTTTTGATAGTCTGCAAAACCCAATTGTTTGTTATCTCATAGAACATAGAGCCATCTATTTTTACAGATTTTGAAAGTGCACAAATGGCTGCAGGGAAGAGAGGAAGAAAACCCAGGGCATACCTATTTGTATTATGTTGGCTTTCATCCTCTATAAAAGGTAATGCTAAAATGTTAATATTTCTCTTTAGTTTTACAAACCCACAATGCTCCCAGAATGAAATATACTGTATATGAAACATGACATAATTTTATACCTGCAAAACTGTAAGAAAGCAGATTTTAACATTTTGGTCTTATCCTCTTGCGCTATAATATCCATCCTGGAAGCAGCATCAAATGCAATGCTCTAAAATAAAATTGAAAAAGAGAGAAAAATGTAAAGGGAGGAATAATGCTTCCACAAAAAAGTAGTTTGAAATAGTAAAAATGCTAACTTTGAAATAACTAAATTATCTAAGAAAATCCAGTGCAGGAATATACATCTTTACTGTTAAGATAATTAAGACAATGCTTTCCCTCCTTACCTCATCATTTGTCTCAGCTACAGATGAGGCTAAAGAATCCTCAATATCTTCAGGAAGCACAGTAATGTTTTCCCTGGAATGTATGGCCACGAGCCCACTTTTTCTAGTGAAAAAAATTGGAAGTCCAGCACAGGAACCTGCTCCTAAAATTCTATCACCTAAGGTAGGAAATAAACACAACACAATACAACTTCAACACCATTAATGAATGTCAAACTGTGGGCTTAAGTTTGATTTAATAGGCTATGTTATAAGCACAAGTTAAAAGGCTGTAAGGCCTGGTTTTCAGAGTTATCAAGTGAAAAAGTAACAAGACAGAGTTTATTTCCTATGCCTACAATAATAACTCTACATAACACAATTGGGATTGTTCTTAAATCTGAGATTTCACTGTTAGGCCTGTAACTGCTTAAGTCATTGAGACTTCAATTCTATACACACTTACCTGGAAGTAAGGCCAATTGATCTCAATGGGACTTATTTCCGAGTAGACATGTATAGGATTGTACTGTGAGTCAATGGCAAGATGAATAATCACTGCTATATCTATACCACTGCTATACCTATGACCATTTCCATAAAAAGTAAATACAGTAAATTTTAAAAGTATAATCATTCTGGAGAGACACTATAAACACCCTCATTGGCTTATTAAGAGCTCCGGCTTCTTTAGGTTCTGACCTTGAATACTGAATATCATTTTCTCCTGGGGCAAAGAAATTCTTCCCGTTCCTGTTGAGCAAGCAAATACCTCCTCTTCTGTGTAAAGACAGGCAGCATGGCTGGAGAAATTTGGGACTACTAAACGACACATCAGTTCTTCAGGCTGAAATATGTTTCATTAAGGGTTAACACCGACATTTATAAAAGCATATTACCCTCAACCTGTTAGCATGACACCTATGCGTTTGTATGAAGCCTAACGGCTTGATCCCAAAGGGGCAGGGAAAACAGGCTGAAAGTGACACATTTGTGGTTGGTGTTGCCAACTCCACATAGTTTTCCATAATAGTATAATATGTTTAGGCTGATATCCGCCTCTAGGCTGCTAACATAAGTGTTCATGTATAAAATAAATGGTTGTTGTTGTTGTTGTTCTTATTTTATACCCACCTTTCCCCCCTTAATGCAACAGGTGAACACAGTCAGCATGATGTATTTCCAACAGTGTGTTTAGGATCAAGCCCTAATAGCTAATAAGGCACAAAAAACCCTGTAATGCATAAGGTCAGTTACCTGAAATGGTGGATTATACTGGGTGACTTCCACAATAACATTATCACATGTGGGGTAACCATTATCCTCTACTGTTATTAAAGTATAGTAGATGAGGCATGGACTGTCACCAAGATGCCAGGCTGCAGCTAAAATCACCAATCCATCACTATTTATTGGAAGACAAAAGAGATAAGCATTTGCCTTGCAAAACTGTGATCAGAAATACCAAGAAGCAAAACAAAGTTTACTAATTATCTGACAGCATTCACTTTGCTTTTCTTAGAAAACAGTATCTTAAGAATATGTACACATGCATCTTTTTACATGCTGCATGTAAGCAAATTCATTACATTTATATGCTAAGCCTTTGCATATTCCTTGGCTTTTGAAGGGAGGAGAAACCACAGCATTTCACAGAAGATCCGTGATTAAATTACAGAAATTGGCATCTTATTCTGTGTGGAGAACTTCTAAAACAAGGACAACTCATGCTAGACTTAAAAACCAAGAAGAAATTAAGTATTTTCTAAAATGTCGATTCTTGTAACAGTTCTGCAGCTTGAAATAACTGACCCTGACACAAAAGGACAATGTATACGCTAGTTCATAATAGGTTCCTCACTTTCTCATAAGAACTCACCGATTTTGCTGCAAATCCAAATACTGCACATTGACATCTCCTTTAATTTCTTCATAGTTGCTTTCAGAACCCTGTGCAAATAATAGTTATTAAATATGCTAGCAAGAAAGCAAACACTTGTTTTACATTCCAAATGTACTGCCTCTTACCCATATTGATTCCATGATGTTTTCTTTAAGTATTCTGTTTACATCCCAGCTGACAACTTGACGCTCTGTAGTATCATCTATTTCCCATTTGTAAAGATTTAAGCTGGTCAAAGCATAAAAACGTGAACCGTTTTTGTCCCAAAGAACACTAGAAAGCTGCATTAAACATAAATTATAGGGGATTAGTGTTTGATACAATAAAGTTCTCTATTTAAAGTTTTAAAGAATAAAACAGAACTGTTTAACGCCACATCTCAAAAACTAAAAACAAGTTTCTCTGTGCTTTGCTGAGATTGGTCAGATTGGCTTTAGTGTTTCACAAATGTGAGAATTTCAAGCTAGATCAAAAACCAGTTCTGGAAGACACAAGCGCTAACTGATAAGACTAAAGTCCATCAGTATCATGGTCAGATATTGGATACTTTTTGTAATTCTATTACTTTTTAAAGCTGATGTTGTAAGATGCTTCCCTCATATGAAAGAAACTAAAAAATCCAAATACAGCATCATAATTAAGTTTAAACTATTTTAAAGACTTACTGCTACATCATTGCTGGGAGACAAGATTCCCAGCAGAGAAGAAACTCTTCGGCCTATTCCAGAAAACATGCCTTGTCCTTGTGGTAGGCCATGCTGATAAATCTTGCCACTACCGTCTGGTGTCAGTCGAATAAAATGGCTCCTTGAAGATGATAAAATAAAGCTTCCACCCTAAAAGAAAAGAAACCCCAATTTAATCCTGCCAGCTTTTTGTTGCTACTGCATTATTATTCAGTTTTTAAAAAGAGAATACAGACTTGCTAATCCAACTCAGAGCAACATTTTATTCTGTTTTACATACACACGGTGAGAAAAAAAGGCATTTCATCACTTATGGACAATGGTCAGTGACAGGACACAATCCAGATTTCCCAGAGTTGTTAACAATGCCCCATAAAATGCATGCTCATACTTAAGTTTCTATTTTACCTTTACAGCTGTTAGAAAACTGCAGAGAGCACCTCCAAAGTCCGTATGGGTCTCAGTAAAAGAGCTTTCATGAACAAAGCTGGGCCAATAGCGTATTAATCCTTCACAGGTGGCAACCATGATTGACAGAGACTTGCAAACACAGCAAATAAAAAAATGGTTAAGTATTTATTCAGAAACTGAGCAACAAATTTACACCAGTTTCAAGCTTCGCATGTCATGGTTTCTAGACAAGCAGCTCTAGAAACTAATTGTGTGAAGGAACAAAAACTCATTTGTGAGGCTGTTGAAGAATGTAAAGTTATTTCAACCTTTTTAAAATCTGTAGTGCAGTGTAGTAAGATAAACAGGCTGATACAATTTATGCAGTACAAGCTACAGGCTAATTTTCTATTTATTCATTCATAAGTAAATTGTAAACAAGATCCATTTGTAAAAGTAATACTATCAGCTCTAGCAAACTGAACATTGGATTACATCATGAGTGTAATTTCTACATGATCTCCAGCTATGTCGGTTTTCTGGAAATACTGAATTGAAAAACTTTCTTCTGTAAATTAGTCTAATTTGCATAGGAAATTTTTCAGTTTGAATTGCATGCCTAAGACAATAATTTAATTTACCATGTTCATTTTACTTGTATTTCATTTTTTTTAGCTTTTTTAAAAAGCTTGAAACTGCAAAGTTTGCCTAATATTGTACTTGAAATTGGCATCCATTGATTGTTACAAATGAACTTAAAATATGCTCCACATCACTTGTGATCCTGTAACAAAAGATGGGATTCATTACTTTCCTAAATGATATTCCCAAAATAAATGTTAAGTTTCTCACCTGTAAAGAAGGTGCTTCACCAGAGGCATTAAGAGACGATATTGCCACTAAGCTTGAATTCCACAGATAGTCGCTAGGTGGTAACTGAAGTTCCTTACATGCAGACAACTGCAAAAAACACACATTTTTATGATGCTTCTTTTATGAGTTTCTTGAACAAAATGAATAATGGTCTATATTAACAGTTCAGTGTCCACTAAAGGCACTTTGGAAACAGCAATGGTGCAGAAGTAACAGGAAGTGGAAATTTCTGCCACAGCTGAAATGCAGTTTTTGCATTCATGAGCTAGCACAAATGTTCTGTTTTGGATGCAATGGAAAAGCATGCGAAAAAGAAGCCACGTGCTTTGTACTTCCTCCTGCATCACCAACACATCAAAGTTGCACTAAGGCCTAGTTCTCGTATACAGCATATGAGATGGCATATGAAATGTAGATTTAACTGTACTCATGGGTAAATGGTTGAAAGCAGGAAATATCACCACTAGAGTATATTGCTAGCTTCTGACAAAATATTAGGGCTCCAATCCTAACCACACTTACCTAGAAGCTCCACTGAACTCAAAACAGTCTTTTGAGGCTACTTAAAGACTCAGTGAGACAACAGAAAATAAGAAACTTATTAAGGTGAACACTAGTTTTTACTTTAGCAGAGATACCAACTCATGTAAGGTCTTAACTTTTTGCAGAGAGGACTTTAAATGTGGCAACACAGAAGTACCCTAAGTTGATGAGGCTCATAGCAATGTCACTGTTTTGAGGTTGCTCATTTGCTACGACACTTTATTTTGAAGATGTACATTACAACAAAAATCTACAATTCTATATTTGATGTACTATTATCTTACCTTAGCAACCGGAGATTGGCCAATCTTCCAAATAATCAGTCTGTCTCTGTAGACTAGCCAAGCCCATCCACTTTCATCTAGATGCACATTCAAATGGTCCTCGGCTACAAGAATGAACAAAGTTTTAAATTTATCATACCTGACGCATAGCAGAATAAGATACCCAAGTGTACATTTGAAGCCCTATACATTTTATTGAATGGCACCTACTTTACCCAGTGTTGTTTGGGGACATAGCCTACTTAAAACCATTACCATTATGATGACTTGATAGAATAGGCCCTTTACAGTTTGTGGGTAACGTTAAATAAAAAGCAACAATGCTAGCAGATGACCTACATGTATTTAGGTGATTTTTACCCCACCTTTTGCAAAGCAGTTCCAAAGAACTTTACAATAAAAACTAATAATAAATAAAAACATCAGCATATAAAACAATAAACAAGGTTAATTAAATCAGCAGCTGAAATAAAAATAAAACAGCTGATTTTCAGTTTTCCAACTCAATGAATGCTTCCTCTCACACATCACCTGGGTTTCTGTTCCATCCCCACAGTCAACTTGCATTTCATGGCCATTGAGAAGTTCTCTTTTTGGGGTTCCCCCCTTTCTTTCTACATTTTTAATATCTACAAACCCCGGGGTTTCCCTGAGTCTGTTCTTCCCTTATGTGTGGGTGATGCCATTTTGGCAACAGAAGCAACAGCTTTCACAGCCTGAAAATCAGAATTAGAGGGGTTGATGATGACTGTGCACCAGATAAATATGCCTGGGAAGGGAGTTCCATGACCTGGACATCACCACACCAGGGTGTGGCGAGGACCCTCTCTTTGGTGGCCTAAACTTTAAAGTAGGGGCATCTGAATATAGACTTATGTGAAAGATCTTAACTGTGTGGGAGAAGTTATTATTCTGACTATCCAGACCATTTAGGGGTTCGATGGTCAAAACCAGGAACTGAATTTAGCCTGGAATCACACTGGCAATCAGTGAAGATCTTCCAACATTGGTGTATTATGGTCATGGTAATCAGTCAGGTACCACTCTGGCAACTGTATTCTGAACCCATTGCTTCTGGATGTTTTTAAAAGGCAGCCCCATGTTCAGTGCATTACATTAACCTGACATAGATGTTATCAGAACATGGACAACTTTGGGCAGACTATTTCTCTCCAGGCAGAATGAAGCTTGCACACTGACTGAAGTTAGAAAAGGCATGACATATTTTTGAAGCCATCTGCACAATGATGGATCTAAGAACACCCTCAAACTTTGATTCCCCTCCCATTAAGTGGGAGTGTAAACCCATCTAAGGCAGGCTAAATTTCGCATCTTTGGTTTGTTAAGCCATTACCCCATACCATCAATTGCTTGTCTGGAATAAGCAATATCTCATGTATGAGTACAAGGGCTAATTTGCATCTTTGTATTTCAAACTTAACTGCATGCTGACTGAAACATTTATCTAGTCTAGGAGCATTAGAAGGAATTAAACTACTTACCATCAGCCATTCTCAATGCCTCCATAACCTTTACTGGCAGAGGTGAACCAAAGCTTTTCACGTCATAGTTGATGGTTTCACTTCCTGATGGATGATGTACAACTTTTGTGGGTGTACCTCTAAGCAAAAAGATGTATGTAATGTCATAAACATTCCCAATATTTCAGTTTCAATTGAGTAAATTGCATTAATCCAATACCATGTTATGTTTTTCATTTTCTTGTAATTGTTTGAACAAATGTGTACCTTTTTTAAGCTATTCAACCAAATGTTTCTTCAGTTTATAGAAGCTTCCACATTTTACTTCACTTCTGCATTGTTTCTTTTGTGCAAGGGAGTGGTGCCTGGTGCCTTGAAAAAGATGGTGGCACAACCACTCCTAAAGAAACTGGCCTTGGACCCCGTGGATTGAAATAACTACTAAACAATCACAAAAGCTGGCTCCTTGGGGCAGGTGATGTAGAAACCTGTGATGGCGCACCTGCAGGCATTCTTGGATGACAGATTATTTAGATCCATTCCAGTCTGTTTCCAGGCATGGTCATGACACAAGAGCTGGCCTTGGTTACACCCCCCACCGATAGATAACTTTCACAGAGAGCGGAACAGCAAGAGTGCAACCTACTTCCGGCCCTCTCTGTGGCATCTGATACCACTGACCATGGCAGCCTCCTGAACTGGCTCTGTGGCATGGGAACCAGGGGCACTATGCCACAGCAGTTCTTGTCCTACTTTCTGGACCATGAATAGAATTGGGAGAGGGCTTTTCAGCCCTCTGGCAGTTACGGTAGGGTGTACTGCAGTTTATCCCCAATGCAATTTAATAGACGGCAGTTATAGGACACTTAAGCATTCGTCTTGCTTCCATCCCAATTTGTTTATATCTCTTCCCATCAAGTCATTTGTTCATCCCATAATTTGCAGTGAATTTCCTCTTCACTGGTAGAAAGTCAAGTTCTTTTTTAACAGTGGATTTGCTGCCCTAGGGCGACACAGCCTTTTTTTCCACCTCCAGCTCAGCAACCATAGTCCCGGGATGCGCTTAAATCCCTCCCACAAAACAGCGAGGCGCCCTTCAAGAGGAAAACCAACGCGCGAGACGGGCAGCCAATGTCCTGACCAGGGAAGGGAAGGCTCCCTACCGCGGCCGGGCTGAGCAGGGCGGGCCCGGCCTCCTCACTCACCGCGCAGACAGAGAACTGACGCTCCTCCTGGCCACCGGCGAGAATAAAGCCGGGGAACTGAGGGACGAGGTCGCGAAGGCCTGCTGGCCCTTCCGGCTTCCACTCCGGAGGCCTCTCCGGCCCGACCCGCCGCCCGCCGCCGTGTGAGGCGAGCCGGGGGTTGAAGGAAACATCGCGAGCTCGGCAAGAAGAGCCCGAAGGCTTCGCAAAACACAGCGGCTGCGGCAGCGCTCAGGGAACTCGCGCGCTGCGGGCGCCCCCGTTTGACTTGGCTTGCTGGCGCGTCGGATTTGCGTCATCCATGCCCCCACAACGAAGGGGATTGGCTGAAGAGCCCTTTTTTTCTTCGCGTCCTGATTGGCTCAGAAAGGCGGGAAGTTCCGTTATTTACGTATGGGAGAAAGCGGAGGGAGGAATCACGTGGGTAGTATGAAAAGCGTTTATTCGCGGGCGGGGACTCGAGAATATTTTTAAACGCCCGTTCTCTCAGAGCTGTGCTTATCACTTTATTTCAAAGTTTTATGCCCCACATCTTCATTCTAAGACTTAAGTTTGCATGGCAAGTAGCAAGGCAAATCAGAGGAATGTGGGTGCATTTAGCGGGTGGGGGTTGAAACGGGTAATTTTAAACTATTTTAGCATTTTTACTTGTGTATGTTTTATAGTTATGATTCCCCCCCCTTGATTTTACTGTATTTATTTTACAATCAAGCCTTGTACAGAATTTATTAAATAAATAAATATGTTGGGTTGAAGTAACGACAGACGAGTAGCAAGTGTCATATGGGAGGCATCTCTGGAGCCAGCCCCGAGAAGACTCTTTTATTGAATATTACAACATTGCCACAGGTGCGCTAGTTGCTGATTGGTTGATACAAACACAAAGCAACTTGTTGCTGATTGGTTAACACAAGTACAAGGCAAGGGTTGCATATAGGCATTAATCACCAATAGATTAAAGGCTGGGAAAGGGAGCACAGAACTAGACAGGCATGAAACCTCCTAATTAAATTATAACTAATGATTGATATAGCAAGACTAAAACAATTACTAATGATTGATCATAACATGAAAGAATACAATAATCGTGTTCCGTAGATGTGGTCAACTATGCATTAAGAACAGGTCAGAGTATAATGTTTTCATGAATTTAAGATGAACTGAACATCCTAGGGAAATGAGGGAATGTCTTGGTATTTAGAACTGGTTGTACAGTATGTTCAGAAGCAGAGAAAAGCTTAGAAGCAAGACTTCCCAGAATGCCACAGTCATGTGCAGAGAGAAAAGCTTAGAAGCAAGACTTCCCAGAATGCCAGAGTCATGTGCATAGAGAAAAGCTTAGAAGCAAGACTTCCCAGAATGCCACAGTCATGTGCAGAGAGAAAAGCTTAGAAGCAAGACTTCCCAGAATGCCACAGTCATGTGCAGAGAGAAAAGCTTAGAAGCAAGACTTCCCAGAATGCCACAGTCATGTGCAGAGACGGAACTTCCCTTCAATAAGGAAAAGTTAAAAGATTGCAGAAGAGGGAAGACAAAGAATCAAGGAAGAAGGGGTGAAGAAAAGTTGGTGACCTAGAGAGAGGTAGTAGATTCACTCTAGAATAGCATTGTAAGGGCCTGTGCTAGTGCCTCTGTTTTCTTTTTAAAATAAAAGCACTCTTAATTTGACATTCTGGATAAAACTTCAAAGTATGGAAGACACTGTGATGTTACCAAAAAAATGGCATTTCTCTATTGGGTTCACTCCCGTGGCATGTTGTATCACATCCTGTACCCTGTAATGTCATAAACTGGGTTTGCTTAATGGAAGAAAGTTAAGTGATGTGGAGCTGGGGTGGAGCCACACAAATCTTTGGCAGCCCCTTGGAAATGTGTAGTTCTGCCCTGAGAGGAGGATATAAATAAGCAATAAAAATAATGATCCAAAAATGCATGGTATCATTAAAAAGAAAGGTAAGTTACATAAAACCACAGCTCATGGTTTATCAATGTATTTTAATCCATAATAGAAAATATTACTGACAAGCAGATAGTGTTGAAAAATAAATATCAAAGAATGTAGAAAAAAACTTTTTTTTACTTGAAGTCAGGTATACAGAAGATAGACAAACATGTTTTAGACTCTAAACTGTCAAATGCTTTACTTAATTATAAAACTGTTACATCCAGAGACCCCTGAATTACAGATAGTAATAGCTATATAGTTGTTTGCAGTTCTAGGAGGCTGTGCTCTTGTGCTCCATTGTTAAAACTTGCATGAAATGAACTTCAGAGTTACAAAGCTAGTAAGCAACATCATACAATGCACACTACTCCTAAGGACATTTGAAGGTAAACCATTTAGAAGTTGGTGTAGTCATTATGAAACATTGCAGCAGCCTATGTACAATAGCTTGTCATTTAGATCCCCCCGATTTTGAATATAGTAATAATAGTAAGATTTTGTAATAATTTATAGTTTGCTGATTTGAAATTGACAGCATTATTCGCTCCTTGCAGTATTTCAATTTGTGAGAATTAATTGCTATTTATATGCCAATGTAGTAAAGACATTGTGAGACTTCTATGTTGTCCTAATAAGCACTGTTGGATTTTATAGTGTTATTTGCAAACTGCAATATAAAATCATCTCAAGAACTCAAATACAGAAAAAGGTCAGGGCTTGTCTCAGAGATACCTGTGCAAATGCATGTTATGTGAAGTACTTTGATCAATATGTATCCACGTTCAAAAGCAGATAACCATGGCTTCTAAATATGGTTTGATTTCCCCATTCCTTTCACATAGGCCAAAATGCTTCTAGATCATCTCATTTTCCTATTACAGACAGTAGAAGGCACTGTACGTTTGTACAGTACATACATGTGAAAAACTATTAGGCAGGCACACACTGCTGTAGATGACAATCCCAACTAATGGGTTATAACAAAATTAACCCACAGCAAGTGTGTGGCACAGGCCCTGGAGAAGGCACCACAAGTGCTGTTCTTAGGGAATAATGTTTCCAATAAAGCTGAATAAGGTGCAAAAATATATGGAGATGGAAACTTTTATAGGTGCTGAGCTAGTCCTGGGTGCCCTTCATTATCTCCCCTACCATGTCTGTTCCCAACATGGAAATGAAATGGCATCTGTTTAATATAGAAAAAGGACTTTTAGATTTTCAACTTGCTTTGTTCATATGTACAGTTCTGAGAGGTCCACCTCGGATGAAGGAAGAAAATGGACTGAGTGAGGACATGAAGTAGCTGCATAGTTCTCAACTCTGAACATTTCCTGCCTTGGACACTAGGTGACAATGAACTCATGTGATGACTTGACATCCATCTAAATCAGTGGTCAGCAAACTTTTCCAGCAGGGGGCCAATCCACTGTCCCTCAGAACTTGTGGGGGGCCGAACTATATTTTTTGGGGGGGGGGGATTAATGAATTCCTATGCCCCACAAATGACCCAGAGATGCATTTTAAATAAAAGCACACATTCTACTCATGTAAAAACACCAGGCAGGCCCCACACATAACCCAGAGATGTATTTTAAATAAAAGGACACATTCTACTCATATAAAAACACGCTGATTCCCAGACTGACTGTGGGCTGGATTTAGAAGGCGATTGGGCCAGATCCAGCCCCTGGGCCTTAGTTTGCCTACCCATGATCTAAATCGGTGTTCCCCAACCTTGGGCCTCCAGCTGTTTTGGACTACAATTCCCATCATCCTTGACCACTGGTCTTGCTAGCGAGGGATGATGGGAGTTGTAGTCCAAAAACAGCTGGAGGCCCAAGGTTGGGGAACACTGATCTAAATCACCTTTCAGGTGAGACCAACAATTTGGTTCCCATAAGATTTTTTGAAACAAACAAGACAATTCCTATGAAAAAGAAGCAAATCATTACTGTAGTATCAGTAAGAATGGGGACAATATTTGGCATGAAAGCTGGACACAGAGCTCACTTATCAGCAGTTAAAAGAGAAGCATTGCAACATGGTAACCTGTAGCATTAAATCCATGAGAAATTATTGAAAAACTTCCCGTTACAGATGTTACAGATGTATGTTACGAAATGCTCTAACAAGAATAAATAAATCTTTCATCTTGAAGAAGCTTTAAAATATTGTGTAGCTGATCAGAAAGGCAGCAGTTCCAAATACATTTACTTACAAACTATTCCACAAAGCTGCAGTGGAATTCACTTTCAGTATTACGTAGAACTTTGTCAAAGGCTCTTACATTAGACTAAAGGTTTGTTTAAAATGCTCCTTTTCAAAAGTTGAAATATGCAGCAATGCATTAAGTTCTAAACCAAGAAGTGAGTTAAGTGAAAGTTCAATTATGTTTCACCAGTGTGTGATGTATACAGTTTTATGTAATCTGATAAAATTTGCAAAGTTAGAAAAAGGACTGTTTACTAGTATTTTAATAATGTTGTTGTTTAGTCGTGTCTGACTCTTCGTAACCCCATGGACCAGAGCACGCCAGGCACTCCTGTCTATTTTAATAATAAATACAGTTAAAAATCAAAGAAGTCAATTCCTATGCTTTTGTTTATTTTTTTGTAGTTTTTAAAATGCATAGTATTATTAATTTTGTTCTCTTTACTTTGACAATCTAAGGCTGCAAGCCTAATCCCATTTACCTGGGAATAAGCCCCATGGAATTCAATAAGGTTTACAACCGAGTAAATATAGTTTACCTCATGAAAGTTTCCAATATTTAACACACACCTAAGCATAAACATGTTTGCTAAGTTATACCCATTTTATATTTCATGACATATTTCCAGTTTTGATTCAATATAATAGATGGTGGGTAATAGTAAAGTGGCTATGACTGCAATCCCATGCACAGTAAACTGGTTTTATTTATTTATACAGTTTTATTCTGTGTGACTTAAACATATCTTTATAAACATATGAACAAATGAAGCTGCCTTATATGAAATGAGCCTACATTAAGATACTTTTGGGCAAAGTGAATACTCTTCCCACCCCGGACTTTTTTGGTGCCAGGTGAATGCTTCCCTGCCCTGGACTATTTTGAATGTTTTTTTTTTATGGGGGTGGGGCACTGTGGAACAGATAATGTACACTGGGTTTTAAATGCGGCTTGTTCTGCTTTTTAAGCAAGTGACAGAATGATTTTTAGAGTGCAATCCTAAAGTGGAGGAGAGATTACAAAGGCAGTTTAAATTGTCATCCAATGTCCTGTTGGCATCAGGACAGAACTGAAGACAGAGGCTAATCAGTTACTAGCCTCAGGATTTAATTAAAAAAATATTATCCAATTGGGAAGAGTGAAAGTTTTAGATACACTCAAGAACATGTCTAAATCCTGTCAGTAGGGCAAATATTCTAAAAAACAACAACACTTGAATAGGTTAGGATGGAATTTCTGCCTTCCCCATTTTGTTGGGCTTTTGACCCCTATCAGTTCTAGCCAGGATGACCAATGGCTAGGGATGACAGGAATTTTAGTCCAACAACATATGGAAAGCCACAATTCCCCCATCTCTGTCATAGGTTTCTGTCTTCCAGCCCAACTAGTAGCAGCTTTTCTATGATTCCCCCTTCAGCTTCCTGTGCTATATCTTATGCTGTACCAGAGGGTTCTCCAACTCCCCGGAACAAATTTGGAGGATGCAAGGGTCAATGGTGGGAACAGGGAACTGGTGAAACTTTCCCTCTGCTCTGTTCCACTTTGTTCAATGAATGGATCTCTGTTTCCAACCCCATAACTTTAAAAAAATTCAGAACTAAATGTCGTTTTAATTTCCAACAATGGAAAAATCTGTGTGCTGCCATAACTTAAAAGCAATGAACATCCACCTGATAGTCATCAATCAAAATACAAAGAATTTACAACCTGAAAACAGCTCAGTATTGGGTATCTTCAGAATATAGTTAGTAGTTCTGAATAAAAAGTTTAGCACAATCAAGTTTTAAAATATTTGAAACACGCTGAAAAAATATATATAACATTTATTGTACATAAACTGAAACATAATTTAAAATTCTTGGAAATGTGATACATTTTGATACTCTTTCATAATTTTAAAAAAGATTTTTCTTTCAGGATTTCACATTTAATGCAAAACTTTCAGGAGACTGGATAAAAGACTGTTTCTTCATTAGTTTGCTGAAAAGTCCATCTGGGTTTGCAAGCAGTGTTTCGTGCTTTCCACACTCAATAATTCTACCTTGGTCAAGAACTGCAACAGAATTAGCATTCTGAATGGTGGACAGACGATGAGCAATAATGAGGACAGTTCTCCCTTCCATGAGCCGATCTAGTGCTTCTTGGACAAGATATTCATTTTCAGCATCCAAAGCACTAATTCAGGAATAGATTGAAGGAAAAAGATGTGATATATTCCCCCACTACACTCTGAGAGCTATTACTTTAGTACAGACTAGTTGTCTAACCAGCTTGTTTTCATTTCATTTAAAAATCTGCCACAAATACACTTAAAATATTGTTATTTCACAAAGTCCACATTCTGTGGACAAAATAATATCCCATTATTTATTGGAAAAGATCATCTTAACCCATTTTGTCTTCAGCAACACAAAGCACCTTTTGACAGATCAGTTCCTACTGAAATTTAATTAAATGTGTTCATTTTTAATCAAATTTATTTTTAATCAAGTTTCAAAATGCAAGGAGCACATCCGAATGGGAGCTTCCCAGTGGGAGAGAAGGAAGTGTCCCAGAAAGAAAGACAGCTCCTCTCATTGTACAAATGAGCACAGCTTATCCTGCGCTGATTTTTGTGATCTCCTGGCCTGGACTTGCTGAAGCATTCCACAGATGTGGTCAGAAACTGTTGGAAACATCAAGTCATAGTTCCTTCCAAACTGCTTTGAGGAAAAATACATGGCCTGCTCTGGCATAAGGTGAGTAGTATAGAAGTATTAAAAGGTCAGTAGTAGAGAAGAAATGATCACTTCTGGGGGGAAATGTTTTACTTACCTTGTTGCTTCATCAAGAAGAAGAATTTTTGGATTCTACAGAACAAAATGAACTTGGTTTTACTTTGACAGTTTTTTTAGTTGAAGGTTGCATTAATGTACATACAATGGAAAAATAACTGGAACATTAGGGAGAATACTTCAGATCTCTCTTCCTCTATACAAGTGGAAAGCAACTATGAGGTCACCTTTATTAACAATGAACATCACTGGTTTCTGGTGGAATTGCTACATAAGCATAGATATGAAGCAGCTAAGTTTGCTGCTTCAATTACATGAAGAATATATGGAAGAAGCAAACACATTCAGAAGAGCAGCATGCCAATGTCATTCTGTGCAAAAATTTGAAATTCCTTGGATTGCTGACATAAACAATACATATTTACGTATAAGGATGAACTGGAGTAAACATGGTAGCTTTTAATATGCACTACTAGATTATTAAGATTCCTCTAAAGCACAATTGCAAAAATGGCAATGTATTAGTACTCAGTACTAAAACAACAAAATGTTTTATCACATACTAGAAAAAAAAGATTCTGCTATAAAAGTCCTTTTCTCAAACTTTTTTTTATTTTTATGTAAGGACTGGAGTTTGTATCTAACTAAATTAAGAGCTATTACCAACAAACAGGAAGGCATTTTACATTATTCTAAAGTAACCTGCAAGCTAACCCTCTTAAAGTGCTAAGCAAAGGTACTACACTTTTGACACCCTAATCAAAGTTACTATCTTCCCAGAGAGAAAATGCTGCTCCTGGAAGAGCAATCTATTCCAGACAAACCTGTAGAGCAGGTTTCCGATGGAAAAGTAGCGCCGGACAATTTGACTCTATAGTAAGCATCATATAATTCCACAACTGTAACACATTTCCTATTCCTAGTACCTCAGTTAAGAAAAGTCTATTTGACACATAAGTTTTCACTTGTTCTTCTTTCAAGATATGGATATGAGAAAAGCCAATTGGTTTCTGTCTTACCTTGAGAAGAGCTCGAGCAATTGCAATCCGTTGCTTCTGCCCACCTGTTAAAAAATGTAACATTAAAATATATTTTTTTCTGTTTTTTTTTCTCTTTATGAAAATTCTTAGTTAAACGCAGGAGGATTAATTGCTCTCCACTAATTCCGCAAGAAGAACTACATTTTAAAGCTTTCCAGAGGAGTAGCTGTATGAGTGAGTTGCAGCAAAAACAACAGTCTTGTGACACCTTAGAGCAGGGGTCAGCAAACTTTTTCAGCAGGGGGCCGGTCCACTGTCCCTCAGCCCTTGTGGGGGCTCAGACTATATTTTGAAGGGGGGGGATGAACGAATTCCACAAATAACCCAGAGATGCATTTTAAATAAAAGCACACATTCTACTCATGTAAAAACACGCTGATTCCCGGACCACCTGTGGGCCGGATTTAGAAGTCGATTGGGCCAGATCCGGCCCCTGGGCCTTAGGTTGCCTACCCATGCCTTACAGCAGTGATGGCCAAACTTGGCCCTCCAGCTGTTTTGGGACTACAATTCCCATCATACCTCACCACTGGTCCTGTTAGCTAGGGATGATGGGAGTTGTAGTTCCAAAACAGCTGGAGGGCCAAGTTTGGCCATCACTGCCTTAGAGATTTACAAATTTATAAAAGCATAAGTTTTGGGGACTAGGGTTCACTTCATCATTTAATGTAAATGAATCGTAGAATCATAGAGTTGGAAGGGATCCTGAGGATCATCTAGTCCAACCCCCTGCTTTGAAGAAACATGCAGCTGTCCTTTAAGGGGATTGAACCTGTAACCTTGGCACTATCAGCACTATGCTCTAACCAACTAAGCTATCCTGCTGTAGGAATAATTTATTTCTTTGTTTATAATATAGTGCTGTCCTAAGTTGCAGGTTGGATAAAGGGAGACTTGTAAACAGTCAGGTCAGAGAGAAATAGAATGCATAAAGTACAGACAGTGGCCTTGTTTGTCACGCTAAGCCAAATTATCAGTCAGTGCAAATGTGTAAGCATGTGGACCCATGGAGAGGAGATCATGGCCTCTTTGCTCCTCCCTGGGATATTAACAAAATTAAAATTATCTTTTAAAAGCACATATATTACACAATGCATTTTGAAAAGTTTGAAGTCATACCTGAAAGAAGAACACCTTTCTCCCCCACTAAAGTGTGGAATCCGTTTGGAAAGTTTTGGATAAAACTAGCAGCATTTGCTATCTCAGCAACTCTCTCAATTTCTTCAGTAGTTACTGTAGAAGGGTCCTCTGCACCATAGGCAATGTTTTCAGCAATAGAGCATGAGAAAAGAACTGGTTCCTAACGTGTAAAATACAACATTATTATCTGAGATTTTTTTTTATATCCGAAGTCTTAATATTTGCTACCAATTGCAGTGGTTAAACATTTTGTACAGCAGTGCATCTATTCCCTCTATAGGAATATAGAAGGACGTATTCCTATACTCTATAGGAATACAGAAGGAAGTGTTCTCAAACTTTTGTCCAAAGCTTAAAATGGAGCATTGCAACAAGAATCTACCTTTCACAAGGAGTGCAACAATTAGGATAAATATACAAAGAATCACTGCTTCTCTTCTTACCTGACTTACTGTTCCGATTCTATTCCTGAACCAGAGTGGATTTAACTGACGAACATCAACACCATCGACAGTGATGCTTCCTTGAACAAGAGATGGTTGTTAGATAATATTCTAGGAACAGAGGGAGAAATAGGAGGCTCAGGAGAATGAGAAATAATAGCAGAGAGAATGCTTAAGTGCCACAGAAGTGAAGTGCCACAGAGGTTACTGTATGCATGGTCTTCTTGGCAATTGTATCCTGACTGGAACTGTCTCTTCCTGTCACCTACTAAAATCACATTTATTTGCCTATGCTTTGGAAGTCTTGGATAAGGTTGCTCTGGATCTTAATAATTTGTAATAGTCTGAAGACCCAGGAGGCCGCCACCTTGCTGAAGCAAAGCAAACTCTGCACATTGTATTCTGAATGCAAAACTGCATCCAACACAATTGCTGACCTAGTACACCCTCATTCTTACCTGAGATTGGATCATAAAGCCTTAGCAGGAGAGAGACAACAGTCGATTTGCCAGAGCCACTTGGGCCGACCAATGCCATCACAGAGCCCGATGGGATGCTAAGGGTAAAGTCCTGAAAAACCAATGCTTCTGGACGAGCTGGATATGCAAACTGGATATTTCTGAACTCCAGAGCACCTTTGAAAGCATCCTGGTTTAAAACCATTCCCTCTAAAAAAAATTAAAAATTAAAATTGCAGTAATATAAACACATTTATGACAAAAGAGGAACCCAAAATTTGTCCAAGTAAGATGCAGCTATGTGCATTCAGTCGCGCCATCAAAAAAATCAAAATAAGGGGCACAGGTTATCTACTGTGATTCTTCTTAGAGTTCTACAGATTTGCTCATTTTTAAATGTTATCTATAAGGCAACCTGGACCAGTCTGATCAGAGGAATTGGGCATGAGCCTTAGCTGTGTTCTTTCTGGGAATTAAGTACCTTAGCATTTGCACATTCTGAAAATCCCCAGTGGCTTATTCTGCTTATGGCCTAGCTGGACTAGGTAACTAGGTAGTTATTCCCACTTTCTCCCAAGGGAATAGCAGCACCAATAGCAGCACCAAAGACAGAGAATGGGTCACACAATAGGAACAGAAGAGCTGGGCTGATATGTTTGGTTCATTCTTCTCATATATTTGGAGGGATGAGAGACAATATACACATAAGGCATGGGTGGGGAAAATGCCTTCAAATTTTGTGTGTGGGTGGCTTCCCTTACTATAAACAACATAGCTAAGGATTTTCTGTTTTTTTACCTTTTTGAAAAGGGTCTCACTGATCACAGTTGGCAAGACTTTTGCATGTTTTCCTATAGTATATCCTCTTCCCATCTGTGCCAGATCCCTATGGAAACACATAGTGTTGTTTCTATGGGGATGTGGCACAGGCAGGAAGAGAAAACATGGCTAGAAAATTTAGGAGTTTTGCAGGCTGCAGTCAGAAGCCAGTAAGGCTTTTTTTTTAAAGTGTGAAACACAGAAGACAAACCACAGATACCTTGTCTTAGAGTAAGGAAAACTCACACATATTAATACATTTGCAGGAATTGCTCTTGCCTCTCCCTGAAAGCAACTGAAAACCCACCCTTTTTTTAGAGGTGGGGTTCAAATAGCTCTGAAAAAATGTGGAGGGAATTTCAGTCCCCCACTAAATGGAACATACACACCAAGGGAAAAAGGAGCATACAGAGTCAGGCTAAAGGTAATCAGCAACATCCCTGGGCAAGTCACAGAATTATAGAGTTGCAAGAGACCCGCGGGTCATCTATATGTATGCCTGAAAACCAGCCCTGATGGGAACTTCAGCTGTAAGATGGTGTTCCGGGTTAGGGAGCTCACACCACAGCTTAAACATTTATGAAACAGAGAACCTACCATTAAAAGGAAGTTGTGGCTTTCGATCCATAAGTTCCCACAGACGCCCTCCTGCACCTAATCCTTTCATAAGCTCAGAATAGAAAGAGCTTAAACCTAAACAAGAAAAAGTATTGTTATGTACAAACAGGAACATGTAGGACAGGTAGTTTGTCTTGAAATAGAGTGGCATAACCTCCCTGCCTAAATCCTTATTCTAACTGCTTCATGGCTGCTCAGCCTGAAAAACAAGTTTTGCATGTTTGACAGAACAAACTCTGCCAACCTGCTTCTAAACAGGAGATTTTAAATAGCTAGCATGTACAGTACACTTAAATAAAATTGAAATCTTAAGACTAGGGTGTTTTTGGCAGAGAGCAGTCATTCTGCGAGGGCACTGCCTTTCCCTGTCTTTTGAATATGGTACACCAGCACTGGAAAACTATTTTTTCCTTTTAAGTAAAGTATACTTTAAAGAATACTTTAAAGGACTTTTCAAAAGAATCACCCTGCTGGATCAGGCCGAGTGTCCATCTAGCAGGACGTGAAAGCAATTCTTGCTATTCCCCAACAGTTGGTGTTTCGTAACATACTCTGTCTGATCATGGAGGTTGCATATAGTTAACATGACTAGTAGTCCTTGACAGACACATTCTCCATTGATTTGTCTCAACTGGTGGCCATCACCATGTTTTGTGGCAGCAAAATTCCATAAATTACTTGTGTGATATGGAAATAAGTGCTTTCCTTTGTCTTTCTTGAATTTCCTGCCAATAAGTTCCATTGGATAACCCCAAGTTCTGGTATGGTGAGGGATAAACACTATTCTTTACCCACTTCCTTAACACCATGAATGATTTTATAAACACTTATCATGTCTCTACTTCTAAACTGAAGCTTGCCTATAATATTTCTAACTCATTATTTTTAAGCATATGTTTTATGATCCATACCTCCAATGCTTATGCCAACCCAGAAGGCGTACATTAAGAAAGAAGACAGTTCACCAATAGTCATGTGGGCACTGCCCATCAGTAATCCTCCTTTGTACAGAACAGAGAGCACAATCAAATTCCCAGATAGCCCAGTCTGAAAAAGAAAAAGTAACGTATCTTCCAAGATAATCCAAACCTTCATAGCGGCATCTTCTAAAATTCTCTCATGTTTGAGAACATTTATCTAAAATCTTAAAGTAATTTATTGTATTTGGGGGGGAGAGCATCTACGGTACCCATATTGCCAAAATTAAAAAAGTGAAGACATAAATTCTTTCATCACATTCTTCTAAGAGAATCAATTGGACACGCAACAGTCAGTACAACATTCAGTACATGAACTCTATTACGTTTGGAGTGCATCTTTAGGAATGCAGCTATTATCTTCAGTACTTCCAAACTTTTCAGAAGGTCTCCAAAGAAAGCCAAATAAATATTAACTTTGAGCCAAAGGAGCCCCTGTGCTGGCAGAAGGCACTTCCATTCATGCAAAGGATTCCCTATCCCCCCCCCCCCCCCCGCTGCAGTCCTAGGTCTATTCTTCTTGAGGTTGTTGGGACCTGTTGCAGGAAGAGTTTGGTGAGACCACAGATCAGTGGCAGAGCATCTACCTTGCACAGAAAAGGTCCAACATGTCTCCTGACAAGCCTCAGAAAAGCTCCTGCCTGAAATCCTGGAGAGCTGCTGCCAGTCAGTGCAGGAAGCACAGAGTTAGATGGACCAATTGTCTGGCTCACAAGGCAGTTTCTTATGATCCAATCCATTGCCTGCTCTACCCAGCCTGGGACTACGTCTTTTCTTATCAGATAGGAAAACATAAACCATGTAAATGTCTTCAACCAATTTTCTTAGGAAATACTGTATATCTGTAGTCCCTGTTTACATTACACGAACAAGGAAGCTCACGACAGGCAGAAAGGTAGTTTAAAGGGGAAATGCTGCCATACTCATGCAGTATATATCCTGAATTTCCACTGAATGAGCTCTGATATCCACTCTCCCCCCACCAATGTTCCTATTAAAATCAGGATAGATTGGAAATTCTCTGGAGCAGTTAGTGGCCGAGGTCTCCAAAAAGTGCCTTGGTCACAGTTACTGCTAACAAGGAAAGCTTCTGTAAACAGAACAGAACAAAACAAAAAAAGTGATACATGGCCTGAGGTGCAACTCCCAGCTAGATGTGCAAATAATTTTCTGTAGGGGTGTTGTGATACGCTATTTACAGATGGAAAATCTGAGAATGAAGGTGCCTATATCAAAATAGCAGTATAAATATTCAAGAGAAACCCAGAGACATTACAGAAACATTTTGGATTCCTCACCTTCTTCATATACTTACTGCTCCAAAGAATCCTGCTCGAGCTAACGCTTCCTTTTTGGCTAACTGTAACACATGGTCAACTTTGCTCCTGTATTTCTCCATTTCTTTCAATTCTTGCCCAAAAGCTCGAACTGTTCTCAAATTTCCAATCCGTTCTTCTGCTAACTGCAGTTAACATTTAAAATATATATAGATATAAACCAGGAGGCTTGAATTTCAAGTGCCCCAAACCAAAATAATAGTAAATGTGATCCCTCTAATTCCGTGGTTCCCAACATGAGCTACACGGCCCACAGGGGGGCAATTTGATTTTTAAGGGGGGGCAATTCAATAATGAATTATTAACAGTGAATGGCCTTTTAGACTTCCTCCACGTGAATAGAAGTTCACTTTTTGAATAGTAAGAATTCTATGTCGTGGGGGCGGGGGTGCATCAGGATTTTAGAGATGCTTAGGTGGGGCATGGCCAAAAAAAGGTTGGGAACCATTGCTCTAATTGCTTTTAAGTACTAGACTAAGGTACTAGACGTATGCTAGAAGTATTTCACATGTGATGCCATGGTTTAAAAGACATACCTGAACTTTTGCCTCTTCGTGTTCCTGTGTAAAAGGGAGCTGGAACGTGATCTAAGGCTATGCCCCAGTACCACATGGGGCTGGGGAAAAAAGCACTGTAGCACAGGCCACAGAGGGCAGTTATACAATGGCCTAGTTCATATTAAGCTGTAGTTTAAAATAGGTTAACAAGAACAAGCAGTGAGCTGATGCCCCCTGCTCAATAGTGTCTGCTTTGCTCCTCCCCTGCTTCTGTCTTTGCCATCCCACAAAGGAAGCAAACCAGAGGCTGGTTTTGCATTATGTGTGAACCAGCACTGATAGTTTCTCTCCAAACAAGCCACAAGAATAGGTGTCAAATGAGCCAAGCAGGCACTACTGAGCAGTATCCCCCAGCATGCTGCTTGTTCTTATTAAGCCATCCTTTATTTTCAAGTATAGTTCAACATGGCATCTGAAACAGGCCAACAACACAAGCTCAGTGCAGATCCACCCACACAAAATGTTGATGCAGGCTTTCATTTTCTTAACCTTGTTGTTACGAGGCAATATACACAAACCCTACCATGACACCTACAAAGAAAAGTTACATAGAAAACTGTTGTATACCATAATAAGAAAAAAGGACTTCACTCTCAGTTAAAATGGGGAATAGAAAGCTTGCAACATCCCTGTTGCTTCATCTTCCACAATCCATGCCTGATGTTACCTCATTTTCCTTAACTGAACCTTTATCAGGAGACAGCTGAGAACGAGTGGGAAATGGCTGAATAATGGCAAAGTTCAGAGTGATATAACCTCAACACTGAACTTTCAGTATTTTTATTTTAACATGTCGTAACTGACCTGCGTTGATTCTGCAAGGGAATCCTGTGTCATTCTAGTCAGTTTTCGTAAATATCTTCCATAAATAACAGCCACAAAAGCCAGAGGTGGCACCACACTCAGAACAAATGTGGCAAGTTTGGGAGACACAAAAAACTAGAAGGAAAAGAAGTAACCTTGAATCAATATTTTAGTACAGTTAAATAGACTCTGCTAAATCTATAAATTAAAGACATGTTAACACAATGAGATTTCCTTTTAACATTTTGCCCCCCCCCCCCATTTAACTGCACTCTACTACAGCAACAAATGAATTCTGTCCACTCCAAAAAGAAATTTAGATTATTCACAAGCAAGATGGGGAACAACTGAAGGGAAAAATTTCAGTCCCTGCTGTTCAGGGATACATTTGGAGCCGTACTGCACTGTTATCACTCACTACAGACAAATGACTCAAACCCCACCCAAGTTGTATGATCCATTTGCATCACAAGTCACAATAGAAGGTAGAATTACCTAACAAACAAAAAATATATCACCAGATATATTTAAAGGCATTCTTAGTACAGTATATGTGTCCTGTATCAAACAAAACAGCTTCACAGGTGGACTCCTGATCTTTGCAACCTCATCCTAAACACTCTGAGCCGGCAGAATACACACACAGAGAGACAGAGAAATAAACAGAGAGACAGAGAAAGAAACAAGAGGCACATACCATCATCCCAACTGCAACTGAAGCCTGAGCGCCAGCTCTTAGCCCATCAGAAAGGTTTTCCGTGACTGAACGACCCAAGAGTGCAGTGTCTGAAGATAAGCGATTAATCAGCTCTCCAGTGCTGGTTTTGTCAAAAAAAGCTACTTCTTGTTTCATGAGAGAGGAAAACATTGTTGCTCTCAGCCGTTTCACAATTCTTTGTCCTAGGAGGGTCAAGAAGTATGACAATTCACTGAAAAGATTTCACATATAAAAAACAAATTAGCAACTTCACTAATTGCAAGTCATTTTGCAACAGATCTTGTATAATGAGAAGAAAATGTGCTTGGACAGAATGGTGTGCTTGTGTGTGTGCATATAGGGAGAATGGAGGATATGGGTTGTATTGTTTGCTACTGTTAAATATTTGGATCAAAAATTAATATTCATTTAGAAGATGGAGTAGTTTCTGCATAACTTAGGAGAAGAAGCTTATCATTAGGCAGAGAAAGGCAATTCATACTATTACAATGTTCCAAAGAAATTTAATTGTGCATTTCAGAGTACTGTACATTGTGAAAAGCAAAGGTAGTTCTACTGACCCACACAGGGGGAAATCTCCAAAACCTATACTGTAGTTGGGTTGGGCAAAACCTTTATTGGCACCAACAGAAAGTCTGTGGATCCATCAATGGCCCTGCTCTGCTTCCACCCTACAATGCCCTGTTTGGGGGTCTTACATTGGCTGCTTCCAAACCACCAATCCTTTGGGCTGGCTTGGATGAACCCAGGGGAGGGAGACCTCCGACTGTTCCTAACCCCTTCCAGTGGAGGGTAGCAGGCTTCCAGACTGGATGCTGTCCAACAGCTGTTTTCATACCCTGGAGCATATACATTTTCAGTTCGTATAATAGGAAAGGAACCCAGAGACCAAAGGGTGGGGAATCTGTGGCCCTCCAAATGTTTGTGGCTTACAGCTCCCACCATCCCTAACCACTGGCTTTTAAATATGCAACTATTAGTCTGGAGCTTCTTTCAGCCACTTGTTCTTGATCTACCAGAAGTTCATTTTAGGTATTCATTCCAATTACCTGCAATCTGCATGAGGTAGACACGGATTGCATTGGCAGCAGCACCACATAAAAATATTCCACTCAGCAAGGCACAGAGGTTGGTTAGGTTGTCAGCAAGTTCACCAGTGGGATTTGTGTAGATGACATCAATTACTTTCCCCAAGAAAAAAGGGGCAGACATTGTGATGACACTGGAAACTGTCAGAAAGCCAACAGCAGCTAGGGGAAAATATAAGCCGTTTAATAAATGGGGGGGAAATGATGCAAGGATTATAAAATTAACATTTTATAAAATACTTCAGCTTCTTATATTTTAGCAGTCTAACTGGAGAATTCTTAGTATTAAGAACATAAGAAGTGCCCTGTTGGATCAGACCAATTGTTCATCTAATCTAGCATCCTGTTCTCACTGTGGCCTCCCATCTCCTGGAGTTTCCAAAAACTAGTACTCAGAAGCATTCTGTCCACAATAAACATGGATACTTTGTGAAATACTTATATGAGACATCAGCTTAACATCAGGTGCATTTCACAGTGCCTAATTTAAAGGGAATCTGTACAGCAGATATAAATTAAGATAAAGTGGCCTTTGAAAGGGTTTCCTCATAGTTAACCCTGATGGACCACAGCCAGTCCAGGATAACATGTAACAACATGTCACTGCACGATATAATCACTCAGGCTACACAATATTACGTTGCACTGACACTCATGGCCAGACTTTGGTAATATGGCACCCTGAGCAAGGACAACATTTTGCGCCCCCTCAATTTTGAGTAGGTACCCGTATAAATATAGGTGGTTGTTGTTGTTGCTGCTGCTATTGTTCCCCCTTGGCTTGGCACCCTGTGCTGGGGAACTGCCCGCACCACCCTAAATCCAGTGCTGCTCACACTGAAGGTGGGGAGAGGCAATAAAATGGCGCTGCCTAGACAACAAGGCCGACATTCTCTGCCTTCCTACAGCATATTGCATAGTACATTGCCCACTTGTAACACATGGCAAAATTTCTGCATAGATCCAATTTTTGTAGCATGCACTTTTGCATCACCACTTGGAACAGAATATGGACACACAGAAGTATGTTCCACTAAAAGTAGTGCAGTACTGTATTCAGATGTTCATCCCATGGCACACTATACTTTTAAAGCATCTTCAGAACACATTCTTTCCCTCAAGGAATACTGAGCACTGTCGTTTACCCCTCAGAGTTCCCCACCTCCCTTTGCAAAGCGTCCCAAACTACAGCATCTGGAACCTTTGAGGAACAGACCGTGCTTTGCATGCGCTCTAAAGGCATCATGCATATGCAGCCATGGTGGAAGAAAGAGAATGAGGACAGCTCACTGTTGTAGGATGGCCAGCTAATAGAGAAGTGGATCGACCCAGCTTCCTGCATTTCTGGACTCTCCCTGGGTGCATGGCTAGAGGGGTTGTCACGATGAGCTCTTGCACATCAAAATTTACCACCACATCCTTGTGGATGTGTCAGAAAGGGAAAGAGAACATAACTGTAGCACCTGTGGAGCGGGGAAGAAAGATTAAGCGCCAGAAGTCCGGCGTTTGGGAGAGATAAAAAGCTGCATAGAGTCAGTTCTTTATGGTGGGCATTTGTGGGGTGCAGCAAAGGTGCAACCAGGGGGGTAGAAGAGAACGACCTCATGGGGGGGAAAGCATTTTCTCAACTCTCAGCCATTTAGTGGGTGGAGGCCAATGAAGTGGGAGAAAAAGAGAAAACAGAGAGAAAAGGAAGAGCCAACGTAGCTTGGCAGGGCATGGTAGTAGCAAGGAGCGCCCTTGGCGCCCCAGAGCCCTCGCGGGAGACGGTCCCGGGGCGGCAGAGGAGGAGGAGGTACCTGTCAGTCTCCAGCGCTCGGGATATGCCAAGGCCAGGAGCCTCTTGGCGTCCGAGACCTCGGCGGCGGGCCCGGCAGCCGGGGGAAGCGCGGCTCCCGGGGGATCGCCCGCCTTCTTCCGTGAGGTCCCCGCCGAGGCCGCCCACGAGGACGCGGCGGAGCTGGGAGCCGAGGGCAGGGAGCCGGGCGAAGGAACAGCAGCGTCCCGCCACCTGCCCGCCGAGGGCGACGCGGCCCACCCGCCGCCGCCGCCACCGGCCGCCGCCGCGCCTCTGAGAGGAGCCGGAGTCCAGGGCCAGCAATGCAGGCGCCGGCGCCGCTGCTGGCGCCACAGCAGCAGCAGAGGGAGGCGGGGAAGCAAGCCTGCCATGGAGCAAATGGGCCGCGCGGAGGTGGCGGCTCCTTGCTGTTGCTGCTTCCTTGCTGCGGCGCCCGGCGGGAGAGAGCAAAGCAGCGCCTCCTCACAGGCTGCGCCGCCGGCGCTGCCCCATCGAGCGCGGCCCGCCTAAACGGGGCCCAGCCCGGCCCCTCCTGCTTCTGCTGGGCGCTGATAAGGCTCTCAGCTGAGGCGGCCTCCGACCATCCCCAGCCGGCAGAAGCGACCCGCCCGAGCGATCGCGGCGTCCGGCGGCGCCCTCTACCGCTCGCGGCCCGGACCAGGGCGTAGAGGCCGCCGCCGCCGCTGCTCGTCCAGCCTGTGCCGGGAAGACAGGGAGCCTCGCTGAGAAGCCCGCCTCCCGCGCCCCATGATCACCACGCTGTTAAAGAAAACGGGGAAAAAACAACAACACACTATCACTCTGCCAGGTTTTCAGTTAAGGTTCCTGAAACACGCTAAGTGGCTCCCCCCCCTCCCCCCAAAAGCTTATTGGAACATGTGCAGGGTGCTGCTCTCCCCGGAACTACACTAAACCAGGTTTTGGACTTGTGGCTGCAAGCCTATGTACACTTGGGAGTGAGAGAGTCCAGGGAATAAAACTGATCTGCACGGTGGTTGTTTTTTACACAACAGGAGGGTTTATTGGTTTCCGATTTTTTTCTTGTTTTTATTATGTATTTTGTGTTCCTATCTCTACTTTCCAGTGAACCCAGTAAGCATACATAGGTTGTAAAAGCCAAGGAGTTTCCAGTCACTGTGTACAACTTCCAGGTAAGTCTGCGTCTAAGATGAGGTTCCTTTTTAGGAATGTCCTGTCATTTTGGCTCAGATCTTCAACTCAGCCATTTGGCTCTTGGGCCAACCACTACAGTACTACTAAGCCTACCCTACTTGGTAGGTTTGTTGTGAAAACACCAAGCAGGTTCATAAGCGGATGATAGATCCATGTACGCTGCCTTGAATTCCTTGCAGAAAAAGCGAGATATAAATGTGGTAAATAAAATTATCTCTATTTGGTACAGTGGTACCTTGGTTCTCGAACGTAATCGGTTTCGGAAGACCGTTCGAGTTCCAAAACGTTCAAGAACTGAAAACTCAATGCGGAAGCCTCAATTCAATTGAGAAAATTGAAAAACATGCAGCGGAAGCTGTTCGACTTCCAAGGCGAGTTCAAAAACAGAAGCATTTATTTCCAGGTTTTCGGCGTTTGGTTGGGTTACGAAACATTTGTCAACAGAGACGTTCAAGAACTGAGGTACCACTGTATGTAACTTGTTCAGTGTTCTGATGCCTGCAACCTAAGAACTGACTGATAAATTCAGATCAATACAGAAGATTCATAGAATTGTAAAGTTGCAAGGGACCCTGAGGGCCTTGTAGTCCAACACCCTGCAATGCAGGAATCTCAACTAAAGCATCCACGACAGATGCCCATCCAACCCCTACTTAAACACCTCCAAGGAAGGAGAGTATCACCACCTGGGGGAGTTGGTTCCACTGTCGAACAGCTCTTACAGTCAGAAAATTCTTCCTGATGTTTAGTCAGCATCTCCTTTCTTGTAACCTGAATCCATTGGTTCAGGTCCTAAACTCTAGAGCAGGAGAAAACAAGCTTGCTACATCTTCCATGAGACAGCCCTTTAGATATTTGAAGATGGCTATCATATCTCCTCTCAGTCTTTTCTTATCCAGGCCCTTATTCAGTTCTTCCTCAGTTCAGTACTTAAGGCTGGCGAGTCACAGAAATTTAATTGCCATTTTGACAGTCCATTTTTATCCATGTTTATTGGGAAGCAAGGTATGCAGAGGATTGCATCCCTCAGAGTACAAGAGCCTCCTGTCAAAGTATGAAATGGGCATCTGGGCCTACTTCTGAACCTAAAGCCTTGGGCAGGTTTCACCAACCTGGTCCCCTCCAGATGTTTTGGACTACAGTACAACTCCTCCGTTCCAGCCAGCCCCTAGGCAATTTAAAAGATGGAAATCAATTAAAGAGAAGCATACAGCAGGCTCAAGTTAACCTTCATGCCCTGCTTTTGTGAACTTTTCAGAAACATCTGTCTAGTTACTGTTAGAAACAGGATGCTAACTAAATGGCCGCTCTGTTCGAGACAGCTGGGCTGTCATATTTTGAAGATTTTATACAGCCTCTGTTTTAGGCTAGCCCCTCCTTTATAAAATTCCCGGTCTTCTCTGATCTCTACCAGCAAGTTCCCAGAACGAACATTTCTAAGGCTATGTCTTGGAGCTATTAGGATCAGAAAGAATTTCCAGTGTATAAACTGGGTTCATTGTAGAGAAGACAATAATTAAATTTCAAAGACAAATAGAGAACCACAGAGCCTAACTTTATATAAAAATTAAAAAATGATTGCATTCCTTGCATGCACCATTATTTATTTCTGATAAATACTAGTGCTAAGCAGCATTGTCCATTTTTTTGTGTGGGGAGGCAGAAGGCATGATTATTTCAAAACACCGCAGCAAAGGTGCACTTCTAATCCTGCCTGTTTTCTTTGAATTTTATATATGTTCCTCTGTATGCCTGCACCACTCTCATTCCATGCGTGGAAAATTCATTCAACTAGAATCAGGAAACAGAAATGCTCTTAGAGCCTTTACCCCTTGTTAGTGCATTTTTGTGTGTACTTCCCCCTTTGGAAGAGTAAGATGCAGCCAACTGATAATTCAAATAAAGAAATCACAACCCTCTTGAAGCTGGAAATGGGAGGTCTTAATTCAAAGCATCTGGACAGGAAGGGACAAACCAAAAATCTGGCACATTTCCCTTTTCTTTCTGAAATATTGCCAATATCATAGTAATAAAGAGTAAGGCCTGTGGAAGAAAGCACTAGATTAGGCTCCACTGATTGAAAATCCCCCGCCAGTCTATTATAATTGAGATATATATTTGAATACAATTCTAGCAGCTTTTCCCTTCTATGGTTTTAAGGATGATATTTTCTGGACTCCATAAATTATTTCAATATGCTGTTTGTCTTCTGAGCATATATAGAGTTTTACTCCAAGGAGAACAGGTGTTTCAAAACAGAGGTCCTGCTGACATGCTCCTTTGTGAAGAGAATCATGTAGCAACAACCAGTGCTTTTTCCCCTAAAAAATGTTTAGGGGTACTCTCATTTTGACTCAAGAAAACCACCATTTTATAGTTCAGATCAGGAAACATAAATACAGTAAATGGACAAAAGTACAAAGATTCACAAAATGTTTAGGGGTATGCGTACCCCTGCAGTCCCCCAGAAAAAAGCACTGGCAACAACCCATTTATGAAGCCCATCAGGGGGCTACTCAGTTGTGTCCATCATTTTTTTAAAGGGGTTTTAAAAAACACGTTATCCTGATAATTTGCTTTGCTGCATCAGCATTTATATGTGCCAACAAATCACTGTCATAATCTTCCATCTTAAGAGTAGTGCCAAAATTATGTTTGGACATAAGACATGTTCAAGCATGATGCCCCCATGCCAATAATAGCCAATGTGGGTAGAAATGAAGGAACTAGAGGTGTGCATGTCACAATATGCTTAGGGTCACCCGTGACAGAGTCTTGCATCCAAACCAAACAAAGCAGGTATCTTCAACCTTTACGGATCCACGACCCACTTTAAACCCATATACTTGTACAGTGGTAGGGCTCCAGTTGCAACCCACCTTAGGTCAAGCTGCAACCCACTAATGTGTTCTGACCCACCAGATGAAGACCAGTGTCACAGAGGACATTCTCCTGAAGGTGGATGTATGCTTTGGGAAGCCAGGAAGATTGTTGTTATGGCCTGGCTTGGCTTTCGTATTATCAGTGGTAACAGCACATACTGTCATTCTGAAAGCACAGTTGCATAACTTGGTACGCAACATGCATAATAAATCAAGCCCTATAAAAGCACATTTGCAATTAACAGCTTGACTTTCTGTTTTGGGGTGTGTGTTGCACCTTCTAATCAGGAAAACTAGATGGCAAAGACTTGGCAGTGGCTGTAAAATTATAGTTGGTTAACAACCCTACTTTCAATCTACTGTAAGGACACCAACACCTCCCCCCACCCATATTGCAATTAAAAATTATAGTGTGTTTTTAAAAAAATATAAACTCTACAATATATTAAAACAGATTATGCAAAGATGCACGACTTACACAGTATTGAATGGAGTTTGGTCCCAAGGCTTGGTTGTTGTAAATTGGTACGAAGGTAATAAAATTGTGCAACTGTCAACCTATGCCAGCTACAACAGCAGATTTTGCAAGGCGTTAACTTGTGTATGTATAAAGCATAGTACATTATACAGATTTAAGAACAGCTATAAAGCCCCTTAGCTTAGAATTGCTTTCTTCTTTTGCTTGAAAGTCTTAGGTAGACCACAAACTGTTCAGTACCTGAAAATGCCAGGTTTTTTCCTAATGGATCAACCAATACATAATTTTTTACATGTGATAACTAAAAGGGAAAGGAAATCAATTTCCCACCTACAAAGCCTGTTGAAAAATGCTTACCTTGCTCCACAAATCTTCGCATGCAACCAAGGGATATGCATGTAGAACTCTATGTAAAACAGGTGATCAGCATGATGGGAAATCATAATTGGCATAGAGACTTGGCTTAAACATTTCTTATCAGTATAAATATGTTCACCCTCAACTACTGAGGAGTTTCTGTACCTGGAGGGCTATTAGTTTGTGAGTAAGCTGACAGCCATTCCTACTATGTGTGGCTTCTATCCAAAAACATTTTTTAAATTGCAGCTGAAGAGTAGTCTGGTGGGACAGACCCTGGCAGAGATTATTTATGCATTTAATGACACCATCACACAGGAGTTCCGTAATAGTACAGTTTTAGAGCTTGGCTCAGTACAAGCAATGTGACATCCAATACAATGGCAGCCATTTTATGTGCCTTTTAAAAAAACAGCATTAGCAACCCAGCTGCAACGGGGTCAAATTAGGCCCTAAATAGTTTGAGAATGTTTTCTCCAAGAAACAGAACATGAAGCTCAATATCCAAAAAAGGTATATCTTGAATGTGACGAACATATAATATTTGTGTGTGAGAGAGAGGTGGGTGGGGAAGAAAATACCATATTTTTCTGTGTATAAGGTGCCCCCATGTATAAGACGACCCCTATTTTTTGAGCCCAAAATTAAGAAATAAATATTTTAAACATTCTGTGTATAAAACGACCCCCAATTTTAAACTTCAAGAAGACTGACTACCCGGAGAGACAATACCCCTGTGACTCAGGACAAATAGAAACGGTAGAGCGGGCATAGGCAACCTCGGTCCTCCAGATGTTTTGGGACTACAACTCCCATGACCCCTAGTTAACAGGACCACTGGTCAAGGATGATGGGAATTGTAGTCTCAAACCATCTGGAGGGCCGAGTTTGCGTATGCCTGCAGTAGAGCATGTCCTCCAGTGCCTGCATTACAGAGACATTCGTAAGTACAGTGGTGCCCCGCAAGACGAATGCCTCGCAAGACGGAAAACCCGCTAGACGAAAGGGTTTTCCGTTTTGGAGGTGCTTCGCAAAACGAATTTCCTATGTGCTTGCTTCGCAAGACGAAAATGTCTTGCGAGTTCCTGCGGGGTGTTTTTCCTTTCCCCCCCCTTTTCCCCAAGCCGCTAAACCGCTTATCAGCTGATCGTTAAGCCGCTTATCAGCTGATAGTTAAGCCGCTTATCAGCTGATCCTTAAGCCGCTTAACAGCTGATCGCTAAGCCGCTTATCAGCTGATCCGCTAAGCCCGCTAATACTGTAGCGCTAATCCGCTAAACCGCTAATGGGCTTGCTTCGCAAGACGAAAAAACCCGCAAGACGAAGAGACTCGCGGAACGGATTCTTTTCGTCTTGCGAGGCACCACTGTACCCAGGGCACACAGGGCAATTCTATACCTCCCTGCTGCTCTCAGATACCAATCTTGCTACAACATACGATGTTGCACAGCAGCGCTCAAAACTTGCCGGAGGATGACCTGTGCCACAAACCAGATTTAATGAACATATCAGAGTGCTCTGTAGATTGATTGTCTTTTATATAAAAACCTTTTATGCTCCTCCACACCCACTCAATGCTCCTATCCCTTCTTTTAGACTCTTTTAAATTCTTATAGCTTTTTATATTTACCTTCTGTTTTAATACCTTTTAGCTTTCCAAAACGCTTTTCAGATTTTAAATGACTGTCTGTGACCTTAATAAAGATTTGTATTGTACTGAAAATATTTTAACATAATTTGGAAATGTCACAAACGGTAGTCTAACTTTCCAGAGCAGATTTACAGGGGGTTGTAGGGATCTGATAGGGGAGGGCATTGCTGAAGATGGCCTCCCTCCTCTTTTTGTTGATAGAAGCCTGCTGTTAGAGGAGCAGCAGTTGGATACTACCCAGTAACTTTTGCCTGATCCTTTCTATTAGAAGTTAGAAATAACGTGATGCAATTTATATTGTTGTTTCTTTTCTTAAAGCCAGCAACCAAAGAAATTATTTTTAAAATGTTAGTAGCGGCTTGCAAGATTTGAACCAGCTTGCTTCTCAGTGCCAAACAGGAAAGTGCCAAACACCAACATACTGCTAACCAACCTTACTGTTAAGAGCTGGGTGTTCTGCTATGGTTGAGACTTGGGTAATTTTTATCCCTGCTATGGCACTCTGACCTCCCCATTCCATGTGCCACAAAAAGGAAGACTGCTCCCCTAACCAAGTGGGGTGGGTATGCCTGGAAATAGAGGGGCCACAGCTTGGATTAGGCCTGTGTGTTTGCACATCACCAAGTTAAAAGGTTGTGTTTTATCAGGTTTCCGCTTCTGGTTTTCCCCCATATTTTAACAGTAAGTATTTTTTTTCTTGTGGTACTGCATTTGTAAATTCTTGTAAACTGCCCTGAGTAGGGCATAGGCATTAGAAAGGTGGTACATAAATGTTTATATAAGAAATTACAATAAATGTAGACCATTTGATCAAAATTTGATTTAGAACAGAAACACTCTAGGCTGAAATTTTAACTCAAGTACCTATTTTTTTGGTGTCCACTGAGAACTTGGTTTTAACATTCTAAGAAAGGGGACTGAAATGTCTGGCTCTAACACATTCATGTGTTAAGAGGACCACTTACCTGCTATTTAAATTATGCTTGAGCCCGTAGACAGACACTGCTTCTGTAAAAACTCAGGGGACTGAGAACATCAGTATCATGCACCTGCAGGAGAGCTCACCTGCCTGGCTCATGCAGCAGACAGGTGCAACCCACAAGGTAAAAACTTTTTATCTGTTTATGGAAGTCTAAAACCCATTCAGTTCCACGCAGAGATACTAAACCTCTTTAAACTAAATGCTTTAATAGAAAAAAACAAAAATACAAAATCTCTTTCCGGAAAGCAGAAATATTCAGTCTTCTTAGAATGACAAAATTTAAGAGTATGCTTTCTCCAACCCCAGGTTTTGCATGCTCACACACTTGTATGAAAACTTCATGAAACAACTTAATAGTTCAGTAATCAGTGGAAAACATTGGAAGTTGGCAAAGCTGCATCTTCTCACAATTAATAATTTAGTAATACTATTTTTTTCACATCGTCTGCACACCTTTGCCCATATTTATCTGCAGAAAGTATTTTTGGTGAGGTGCAATGTGTCCCTTTCTATTAGGAGTCCATTATATCTAATGGAAGATACCAAATCGAAATTGCATCTTTTTGCAGCCACCGTCACATTCAAATCACATTTTTATAATTCAACGATAAAAATAAAAATACTATGCCTTTTATATTAGCAAGCTGGAAACCTGCCTCAATGTTATTTTAAACATTATTTTAATGTTACTTATGTTTGGGAGCAACCCTATAACAAAATACATTTTTCTTTCCAAGATGATGGCAAAGATTCTTGTGCCACAGAAACTTCGGTGGGGAAGTAAGTAGATGGAGCTGAATAGCTAAAAGACAGACATATAAACTCCCGGTAACAGTTAAGCAGGACATGCCCATTAATTGCAACACATTCAAGTCAATGATCTGAGTTGCTTGGACTGAGTTTTGGCTATCCCTTCAGAAAAATATTATGTGTAGTTGGTTCCCACCCACCCCAAATAGCTTCCTGCCCTTGCAGTGAAGTTCTCCTGTTGTTCTCCCCTTCCTATCTTTTTTTTTTTTTTGCAACAATACAAGACATCTTCAAGTACAGTATTTCCATCATTCTGGACATGTCCACCAATGGGAAAGAAAACATTTTTTTTCACAGTCAATTATATATAATCTTAGTTTATAATAGACTCTGGATTTCAACAACACACCCATTTTTTTTCTTATTTTTTTTAAAAAAGGTTAATGTTCCTGATTCTCTTGTGCAATTCCGGTCACTAAAAGGAGGTTACAGGCCATGAACTGTACACTCAGTACATTATTTATCTGTCCAGTATATACACCAACCAGTTCACTGGAAGAACCATCAACGGGAGCATTGCAGTAAGTGTTTCGAATATCCCAAACCCGAACAGAATTATCCATTGATGCAGAAGCAATCAAGCTACTGTCCGGACTGAAAGTAAGGCTGGTGATATTATCCGTGTGCCCTCTTAGTTCTTTGTAAAGCGTGCCAGATGCCAGGTCCCACAGCTTTAACCGCTGGTCTTCACCTGCTGAAGCCAAATACTTACCATTTGGAGAAAACGCAAGCGACAACACAGGACCCCGGTGACCAGTAAACAGGCGCACTGTGTTTCCTTGCTGTGTGCTCCAGAGACGCACTGTTTTATCTGTGGATCCTGTTGCCAAGTAGTTAGAATTGGGGTGAAACTTAATGCAGTCCACGTCTGCCAAATGGCCTGCATATATCCTCAGTGGGTACGTCCGATCAAATGACCAGAGTCTTCCTGTGCGGTCATGGGAGCCGCTGGCAAAGTACAAGCTACAAGGACTAATGTCCAGATCCCACACAGGGTAGGCGTGCCCTTGGTACAACACAGTGTTTGTGAAACATCCAAGGTCCCAGTATCGGATGGATGTGTCTTCGGAACATGACAGCAGTCCTGAACTGTCCGACAGAAACCTTGTGCTATACACTGGTCCGCAGTGCCCTCTTAGTATCTTCATTTCTGTTCCCACGTTATTATCATCATCTTCACCCTGCAAGGAAGAATAAAGAAGTCAAGTTTGTCCATCTCTTCAGAGGACATATCGGTGAACATTTGAGATCTACACTCAAGAGTAGCAATAAGAACATACAAGTCAACAGAGGGAAAATTTCTGGGACCCCCAAGGCTTCACCAGCTTTAAGGGCAGCAGCAAACTATAGAATAGGAAACAAATTGGAATTGCAATATTTAGATGTTTAGGACTACCAATTTACCCAAGATGGTAAATATTCTATTGCAAGTAATGAAGGGCAAACTTATTGCAAGATGGTATAGATGGCAAAAGATACCAGTTAAAATCAACAGCAGTGCCACTCTGAACCATTGGCTGCTGGTCCCTGCCAATTCTGCCATGATCCACCACCATCGCCTTAGTAGTTAACAACACTAACTAAAAGTGGCAAATTTGCTGGGACTGCTCTACACTGTTCCCAGTCTGCAGAAAAGCAGGAACAGGACCAGATAAGACCCAATTAATATTTTAATGGACAATGGAAGGCTTGCAGTCCTGCTTTTTATACAAGCAGTCTAGGATCTGAAACCTCCCTTTAGGTATTAATGGGGTCCTCAACTCCGTGAACAACTGCAGAAGCACCTAAAATCAGTGGTTATAGTAGTTTTACCACCAGCGCTGTTGCTCTAAAAATGTTTTTAAAACTTTTCCAGGAGACATCTCCGATTGCTGCAGCCTTCTTACTCCATCCACAAAAGCTGCAGCTGATATTCACTGAGAACTGTGTACAAAAAGCAGTAAGCAACTAATATTCTGCTTCTGGATTAGATTAGCAGCTGGATGAATAGGCATTAAATTACATTCAGAATGGCAATAGTCCCATATCTTTGCCTGTAGATTCAGGCTGGAAATACTATGGCAGAAAAATGTTATTTACTTAATGTTTCTTTGCAGCAGTCAGGGTGAAATAAAAGATCCCTTTACTTTCAGTGATTTTTCAAAACAGTAGATACTGTACAACTGGTGGAAAAACTACATATCACCGAACATTGAGTGTAACTGTCTTCTATAGTTACTGTGGCTCAGTTATTTTCTTAGCTTCAGAGTTAATGGTTTAAATTTATAATACTATTGTTAGTTATTTTATAGCGCTGTATCATTTAAAAATTAGAAAGGTGCAAGATGATAAAACTGTTAAAAATGGTAAAGTCTTGTCTTGACTGCAGGCACTGCATTCTAATTATAATTTTAGAAATGTACTCCTTACTGATCAAAAGGGGAAAATCTCTCTCTCTCTCTCTCTCTCTCTCTCTCTCACACACACACACACACACACACAATCCCTATTCAAACTAGGTTGCAAAAACAACTTTTTGAGTGCAAACAACTGTGCAGAAACGCATCACAGCGACCCGGAAGTGGCCAGAAAAGAGGATGGAGTGGGGTGTAGCGGACTTATGCGTGCTCCGCTATTGCACATGATGACTTGGAATGCAATCCCGGTGCTAACTGGGGGTTGCCTGTACTGTACTACAGAATATTAACACATTGTTATACCAACTAGAAGCCCAGTAGCATATAATATTTGGGAGGGTTTCTCAGGGGCCACAGAATCATATAGATTTTTGACTCCAGCAGTGGACTGGGGGAACTACTCTTGGAGAGAGAAATCTAACTGAACAAGCCTCCTATCTCTGCTTACATTAAGCAGTCCCCTAACCCATTTGTTTTTTATGTTGAAACAGCACACAGACATGCTGGTAGAAGATGTGAACCTATAGCCACCAAGAGCGGATGGGGAAACCCAGTCAGATGGGTGAGGTATAAATAAATTATCATCATCATCATCATCATTATTATTATTGGATCCAAAGCCCTTCTATTCTGCTAACATGTTCCAAGAAGTGAGGAAAATTGGGGATTGTACCCAAAGCTAGTCATCCTCAGAGTAAAACCACTGAAATTAATGGACACTGCCAACATAGGTCTATTAACTGCAATGCATCTACAGTGAGTAGAATTTACTTGCCCTTTGTCCATGTGGTGTTCTCCTCCAAACTACGGCTGTCCCACACTTTCCCCCTTTCATAGATTTAGAGACTCCTATGCTTTGAAAATCCAAATGCTACATCAATTGCACAGAGAATCTCTGGATTTAGAGAGGAGAAACTGTAGGACAGCAGTTGTTGGAGAAAACGGTAATTAAAGCATACACATGGGGTTCACAATCTGCATTAAGCCAAGGTATCGAGTGGGTCACAGTTCACATTCCTCTGCCTGGGAGCAATGGGAGATACAGTGGTGCCTCGCAAGACGAAAAGAATCCGTTCCGCGAGTCTCTTCGTCTTGCGGGTTTTTTCGCCTTGCGAAGCAAGCCCATTAGCGGTTTAGCAGATTAGCGCTACAGTATTAGCAGCTTAGCGGGCTTAGCGGATCAGCTGATAAGCGGCTTAGCGATCAGCTGTTAAGCGGCTTAACGATCAGCTGATAAGCGGCTTAACGATCAGCTGATAAGTGGCTTAGCGATCAGCTGATAAGCGGTTAGCCGATCAGCTGATAAGCGGTTTAGCGGCTTGGGAAAAAGGGGGGGAAAAGGAAAAAAAACCCCACAGGAACTTGCAAGACATTTTCGTCTTGCGAAGCAAGCACATAGGAAATTCGTTTTGCAAAGCACCTCCAAAACGGAAAACCCTTTCGTCTTGCGGGTTTTCCGTCTTGCGAGGCATTCGTCTTGCGGGGCACCACTGTAACTGTTTTTTTAAAAACAACAACAAATGGCTATAGAAAGCCAAAGGTAAAAAGCCGGGCCACTCCACCTTTTGACCTGCTGGCAGGAAACAGAAAAATGTGGTTTATCCTTGCCCTATCACTTACAGCATCCATTTACTATCATTAGAGGCTTATATTCACTTACATACAGTTTTCTCCTTGCCTCATGCAGTTTGAACCCCATGATTACACACCTTGGAAGTCAGGGTGCATTAATGTATGTGCATTAAGGATAAAGCAGCTGTCCATAGGAAGGCCCTGGAAATTCCTAGCAAAGATGTAAATACATGTTCATTCTAACGGTAAGAAGCAACGAAGGACTGATCTGTCACACTGCAATCAGCACAACAAAGAACAGCGACTAACCCTTGCCTGAATCTTTACCCAGCAAAAGTTGTTGCTCCTTATCACTTTCACCTAGCAGTTACAGCTGATGGGCAGAAGGTGGTGGTGTGTTTTTTTTCCTGGCTGGAGGCTACAGCAAAAATCATTGCAATAAGAACATAAACCAACTCCACCCAAATGTATACTGATAGCAAGATACTCTGACCTCCTCATCCAAGATATCACAAGCCAGGTGGATTCGGGAGACGTCTACCAGATGGGGCTCAGATTTCAGCTTCTTGGACCGCAAGCTCCACAGCTTTACACAGGAATTGTCAAAGCCAGCTGCAAGCAGCTTGCTATCTGGCGAGATCTCTGCAGTGTTCAGCAACTGTTCAGTGTTATAGAACGCATAGAAACAGATGGTGGTGAGCGAGGGCGGTCCATCTTTGACTCTTTTAATGCTATCCTGCAGGATGTCCAGGGCTGCCTCGTTTTGCAGGATGGAAGCAGGCATGTCGGTGGGCTCCAGGCCATTGCTCTCACTGCGTGAAGAGCCACCACTACCATACAGCTGGTAGTCCATCCTCTTGGCTGGCTGCACATCTAAGTGAATGTGCAAGGAGAGGACTTTGCAAAGAGCATTGTTATCGTCACTCTGGAGGTAGCGAAGGAGGAAGTTGTAGCTGTCTTCTTGAAGGTGGATGACATATTTGTTGTCTAGAAATGCCCGGAGCTGGAAGTTGGATAGGATGTCTTGCATGGTTAGTGTGGTCTGTAGCTGCTCAATGATCTCTTTTTGGCTGGCATTCTGCAAGAACATCCCATGAAAGCGACTATAGAAGCTGTCCACTGTGCTCTTCAGGCCATTTTGGACCATGTTAAGATGGAGGTAGACAAAGAGGGGATACAGAAGAGGCATCACTTCATGGCTGTGCTGGGAATCTGAATCTAAACATATGGAAAGAGAGAGAGGGTTCACTTTCTCAGCAGATATTTTTATGAAAGCAAGATAAAACATATTCTAAAGGCACTTGTGGCTTCTCTTTCTGTGTTTTAAAAATGCACATTGCATGCCATTCAGTGCAATTTTCACCTCATCAAAGGATATCCAGCTGCTCTGAAAGTCCTAAAAACCCGCATTTGTTTTGCTAAGCCATACTTCATTTTTAATTAGGCATGGGGCTCTCCATCAAAGAAGAGCTTTAGAATACAACTAGCCCATTTCTGTTAATGCATCATTTAGGAACACACACATTTAGGGACATGGTGTTGACCTGGGAGTGGAGGAAAACACACAGACCAGCAGTTTGGGAAGTACCATAACATGCTATGCTCTCCTTCTTTTTTGTACTGGCTTGCTTGTTTTCTGCTTTTTGGCCAAAGTGAATCCCAATGGTAATTTCAAGAGTACATCTGAATATATTATTCCATGTCAAATGTAAAACTACCATACCCCATTCGGCCACCTTCCTGGGACCATTTTCTGACTCTATTCAGGAATAACCATCAGGGCCAGCATAACCCATTCATGAGAGTGAACTTCAGGCACTATATGTACAAAATGGGAGCCTCTCTCCCATTGTTACATGCACCAAGGATGCAGAATTTGTAGCTTCACAAATGATGACGCAAAAGCCATTTGAAAAGACCCAGTGAGGGTCAGGGGAGATATGGCACATATGTTTATGAAACTCACCTGTAAGAAAGTTGCGTAATCGCCCAAACTGTACTTCATATTGTTGTGGCTCTGCTAGGCAGGGTGCAGCAGAGATAATGTTGGCACTACCTGATTCAGACTGAACTAAGGGAACAAACAAAGGTTTTAAAAATAGTTTCTATAAAGCACTGGAAGCTGCAACACAACACACCCTTGTTCTTACATTGAAACACACAATTGACAGATAAGTTTTTAAAAAGTGCCAAATCACCAACATCATTAGAGCAAACAAAATGTTTGTGCTAGATGATCAAAAGTAATCCTACACTTGCTGCACATATATTAACTTTTACATTCAAGACAAGATTTGTGAAGTCACTGAAGCAGTCTAGTACTGCTTGCCTCCCTCCCTCCCATAGACATCTTGTTGGCCAGTGTGAGAACAGAATGCTGGACTAGATGGGTTATTGGTTTTATCCAGCAGGCTTTTATTATGTTAAGTATTATTCCTCCATCAGTGAATGATGGAGATGAACCACTTGTTCATCTCAATACCACAAGCAATAGGGCTACAGCTGCTCAAATATTTTATTCTTGTGACAAAGGCATTTCTAGACAAATATCTTCTCTTTTAAATCACACACTGGAAATGGGGATACAAGTGAATATGTTGCCATTCTACTTGCATTTTGCTGCGACAGGAGTGAATTCATTACCTGTAGGTGAAATCACAAACCAATGCCACAGAGATTTTGTATCACCTGGCATCACTTCAAAAAAACACTTTATTTCAGACTTTGTTCACTCATAAGTCCAGTGAAGAGAAAGTTTTTGATTATGGAGAAATCAAACATACAAAGCCACCGACTGGCATGAATCAGACCTTCCTACTTTTTAAAAAATAAAAAAATAAAAATCCAGCACAGAATACTTCTCATAATTGTGATGTTTCCCTCACACTTGCACCTTTTCTCAGTGTATTCAAGTTCTCAGCAATCAAGTTCTCAGAACCACCACAAGTCACTTAAGCTCTAAAAGTCTGGAGTAGTTATTGATTTCACTGTTAAGTCATTCTAGCGATCTAAAGGATTCTGAAGCGATCTTTTGAGGCAAAGCTACTTAAAAGCTGGCAAGAATGGAAAAGACTCAAAGCGTATTACCAGTGAGCCTGCTACAAGTAACTTGGCACTACATTTTAGAATCTGAGAATTTTATTCATTAAATCAGTTAGTATTTTACAATTCGCATCAATACAGCCAACATTTTGCATGGCCTGACAGAATTTACCTTGTAAGTAAAATAATAAATGAGATTTAAAAGACTGTCTTAGTTTTAAAAACTCATTCTTTCATGAGTTAAAACAGAGAGACAGCCCCTCCTCCTAGAGGTAAATAGATACGCACACCTCTGTTTGCGTATCTTTCAGGATGCGAACGCGGCAAACCTGAAAGTATTTTTCCGGGTTTCGCCATGTGCGCATGTACAGAAGCGCTCTACGCGCTACACACGTAAGCGGCACCTCCGGTTGTGAATTCCTCTGGGTACGGTCGGACCTCCGGAACGGATCCCATTCGCAACTGGAGGTACCACTGTATTCAATAATTCGCTAGAAATAAGGTAATAAGTAACTCTGTCCATGTGATCAGAATTATCCAACTGTCTGTGTACTTCTTTTTTAGCTGAAGTTAGGTCTTTTGCTTCTATATCACCCACATTCCCTTTTCATCTATCCCTTTAATTTCCCTCATGAATACAAAAATTCAGTGGAGGAGAACATGGGGCCTTCCACATGCTACTGAACTACAACCCCCATGATCCCTGATGTTGGGACATATTGGCTAGGGTTGATGGGAGCTGGAATCCCATTTGGAGGGTCACAGGCTCCTCACCCCTGCATTAATGCTTCTGTATTTGTTACAGTTTTGGCCTAGGACCTGGAAAACAAATGCAATGAATAAAGTGCATCAAAAGCTGGTTCTGGAACCTAACCATAGAACATGATTTAGTGCAAGAAGGTAGCATTCATATAGCTCCCACTCTTTGCCACAATTCTATAATATTTAGGGGAATATAGGCCTATTAACAAAGCAATCTTTGTGTGTGTGTGTTAAACAAGAAACGATTGTCCTTATTTGACCCTCTGATTTGTACCAAATCCTCAAATTGCTTTAAGAAAAGCAGTGTCCAGATTTACAGTTTTTGCGATTTATTTCACTAGATGCACAGGAAACAAATGAAGTAAATGGATTTTCTGGATGAACACATATGCTAATAGTGATTCCAAAGGCACATGTCCAAGCCTCATGTGATGTAGAAGCAGGTGGTTGGGCATTTCTTTCATGGAAACGTAATATACAGTTCAGCGTAACTCCCAAGAAGGAAGCAGTATGAGAACCTACTTCTATAGAATCTCAGAATCCTGAATTACCAGACCAACAGTGCAATCATACGCTGGTCTGCTCAGAAGCAGGCCCCACTGAGTTCTATGGAACATGGTTATAGAATTGCAGCCTTAGTGCTTTAATGCTACATTCTGTGTGGGCAATTGTGCTTTGAGGTATTAGGTACTTCTAAAGTTATTTGTATTAAATATAACTTCTAAACAATTCAGTTATGTCTCTGTGGGTCTCCCCTGAATTGATTAACTTTATCTGGGCTTTCAATTAGTCGAAAGAAACTGCAAAAAATAACACATTGCTCTGATGCTTATTGTAAAACATCTAGAACCACAAAAAAGTGTCAGGGCTGTAGAGTTCTATATATAAAAGTTGAATTCATTATTTAGCAGTTACAGTTCTCGTCTTGGCAGAGATGAGCTAGAGAATGTCTAAATCATTTAGCTTCATCTCAGTGAAAAGGCCGTTCTCCTTAAAAACCCCAAATTTACTTATTTTAACATGTCCGTTAAAAACACTTCCCAAACATATTTGGCAGCCAAATCATTTCAAAATATTTGGAAATGGCAGCATTCCTGCTGTACATTTCATTTTGATTTGTCTTATTTGGTAAATTGCCAGATCACCTCCTTGCTTGCTTATTTATTTGCTTCCCAGCCTTTGGACACAAGTGGGTGTTACAGTATCATGAAGTCATTCATGCTTCAGTCTGTCCCCAATTGATTGCTTAGAAGTTTCACTCTTTAGTAACTAGAGATTTGCACTTTACTATAAACCAGAAGTAGCCAGCAGGGTGTCTGACCAATGCTGTTTGACTACAGCTCCGCCAACAAGGACAAATTTTAAGGATGATAGGTTTGTAATCCAATAATATCTGGAGGGCACCATGCTGGCGACACCTGCAATAAACTCATTATGAAACTTTAGTTGGTACCTGTTAGATTAGCTGCCATTTCTTCTGCAGTCTGGCATAAGCGAAGCCCTTGTTTCAGAGGACCTTCCGAGTCTACATACTGCCTGCGTTTTAGGTAGCAGGAAACTGCCATCTGAATCTGTTCTGTGCGTACACGTTTCATGACCTCCAAAAGAAAAGGAAGCACATTTCTTAAAACATGGTTGTTGAATTAAAAACCTGTGGGAAACTGACACTCATTATGCATTCCAAAAGCTGATACAGTAGAAAATGCACCCCTTACTTATTCAATGAAATATCAGCTTATCACTCAGATCATAAAGCATCAAAGCACAGAAGTTTGCAAGGACTGAGGTTCTTTTAGGATTGCAGAGGTTTAGGTGAAAATGGTGCATGTTTCATTAGTGACAACTTCAGGGTTCTAATGGCTGCTGTTCTCCTTCACTTTTCCTATTTTTATTCCCAAGCACAACAGCAGTGTTTTTAAATATTTTACACTTAAGCCCACTGGAGAAGCACTATGCCATCCTGCATAGAACCCTCTTAGTGATTAGCGTACTGCAGTTAATAATCAAATGTGATTTTATAAAATTCTGCTGTGCACTCTTAATACTATTTTCTCTGTCAAACATATGAAAAATGAAAACTTAATTTCAGTTTTGTTTCACTTTTCCTAGTTAGCTGTCAAAGGTCAGCTTGCTTAAAGGTTTCTATTTCCAGATCATTATTTTATTTGACACTCTGCCCTACCTTTATATCTAATAGTGCATAACAGCAGTCATTCCTGTTGAATGGAACATTAGTGTAGAACCTTAACTTTTGCCTCAAGCATGGTTGAAAGGCACAGAGTAAAACTCAAAAAAAAGTGCGTAAGTGAAATAGAAAAGCATTCTGGGTGTTTGTTACCTGCTAAAATCTCTGCTCACTCAGAGTGATTTATTACATGCATATCTTGCATTTTCTTTAGGAAGATCAAGGCAGCATCCCATCAAAGCACAACAGACCCAAACCTGCCTAATTTCAGAAAGGCATCTGCATTACATATGTACATTTGGACCATGGTTCTAATGTAAAAGAGGAAAACACAGAATTGCTGAGGGTTTGTTAGCCCCATTGGGAGCAAATCTGATTTCAAGTAATAGCTCATAAAATATTGTTGAACAAACTTGAAGTTCCAATGAAATAACTTACAGTAGAACTCATATTTTACCACTACTAGTTGACCTTCCTAATGTATTTTAAAAGCATCACCATTATGAGGTTCCTTGAAGCTTTTCATGCAAAATCAATTAAGGTAGTAGCATCTGCAGAGTTCTAATGTTCACTTTTGTTCCACACAAATGATTTACTACTCTACCAATTGTATTACTTATGGGGGGACAGGGGAGGAGAAGAAACCCCATGAGAGGTATAATTATGCCTTCAGCACTCCCCTACAAAGGCAAAAGAGATTTTAGGCTGAATTTGCAATAATTAAGAAAATACAGTCTGTTCCCTTTGAGGATCTGAAAAATACATGCAATTTTGGAAATGTAAAACAAAAATCTTTGTCCACCAAAGTGTGTATATGCAAGCGAGTTATAATTCTCTGATTACTACCAGAGACAAGTCAGCAATGACTGACATTCTCCTTCAGAGATATGGTATAATACCAGCTGTATTTTTAAAATCATGTTTCAATTGTGTACTTTCAAAGGTGGCACAACATTTGCTCATACAGTATACCATAGCTGCTATAACCGCTGCTGATAATTGCTGTAGTACATAGCTATTTCATTTGTAAACTCTGCATGGAAAGGAAGGATATATCTTGCTTATCCAGCCTGATGAAAAATTCTGGAGAACTTGAAAGCTTGTAACATTTGGGATTTCTTTTTTTAAATTCTCATGGACCAAACTACCTTGTGCATTAGCCTGTATAGCACGGATATTCAATCGATGCCACAACGGTAAAGCAAACGAAAACTATTCAGAGTAACTCAATACAGGACGCCTCACGCGTTTCAAGAACTCGAAGTCCCCTTTTGCTCCAAACTTTACCCCATCCAAGCTGCATTCGGCCCCAACCCCGCTCTTCCCATTTCTGCCAGGGCGGGAGAAGGGAGGCAAATGGGAAGCTGAGGAGGAAGGATGCACCGAGGCAGATGGAGCCTAAGGTCTTCCTGCCGGCAGCTGTATGGGAAAGGCAGAAGCGGCGTGGGGATGGGGGGGTGGAGAGGGAAGGGAGAGGAGAGAAGACGACGACGGCGACGCCTCCACCCAGGGAGGGCCCTTCCGCGCGCCACACTTGGCGTAGCCCGTCCTGCCGCTCCACCCGCCGCTGTTTGTTGCTGCATGCCGGGGAAGTGGGGCCGGTCGGAGGGGGTAGAAAGAAGCACTCACTGAAGCATCGCAGGCAGAGGAAGAGAGAGAGAGGCGCTGCGTACGCGCGCGTGCCTGTGCGTTTGAGCGACTCCCAGTGCAGGCACGAGACGGAATTCCTGGGCTCGCGCCGTCAGTCACTTGCTCCCAGTGGCGCGAGACGCCGCCGCCGCCGCCGCCGCTCGTGCGGACCCCGGCGCGCGCGCCTGCAGCACCTCCTCGCTGCTGGGTCTTCCGCCAAGGAGGCTGCCTTGGGCGTCCCAGGCCGCTAGCGCTGGGGTTGCTCCTGTTATTGCCGCCGCCGCCGCTGCTCCTGCTGCTGCCGCCGCGGCTCGAAGGAGCCGCTCCATGACTGACGGCACTGACACAGAGAAGGAGGAGAGCGGGGCCCGGGGAGGAAGGCGAACGCGCAGGCGCGGCCTGCCAGCCAATGGGGAGGCTGGCCCTGTCGGCGCTCGGCTAGTTACGCCTGCGGAGCTCTTTTCGCTCTCGCTCTCTGGCTCCGGCAACTCGCTGGTTCGGAGAAAGGTGACGCCGAAGAAGGAGGGGGGGGGGGAATCTGAGGATGTGCCGGAAGAAGCAGCACGTGCGCGGAGGGACCGGGAGAGGGGGCGGGGCCAGGGCGAGAGCGTGGTGCTGCGCTTGAGAAGCGTCGCCATCGGCGCGTAAGTCCCGGGCGAGGGGGAGTTTTTCGTCCGCGTGGTGCTTTTCGGCGCAAGATGCGCGTCTGAGCGAACGGGGACGAGAGGGTGCGATGCTCTGCGTGCGTTGTTGCTGTGGCTGTTTAAATAAGCAATTCTCATGGAGTTGAGTTTAGTGAGACACTTTTTTTTGCTGCTACTGCTACTCTTATTTTTAAAAGGAGAAGTTGGGGGCAAGCGAAGAGAGGAGATACAGACCAGATCGCAAGTGAAATATCTTTCATATACCGAGCCTGAGACTATACTGAATGGGCTTCACTGTTAAGAAAGCGTGCGACCTTAATAGCACGTGTGGCACTTGGTTGTGAGGGATCTGTGTCAAAGTATTTAGGATGTTATTTTGAACGAGAGGTGCCAAAATTTCAAGTTTCCTTGGAAGTCCTGTCATTGCCTGCTTCTTGATTTTTCAGACGGTACGGGCAGGATGTGGTTTCTTGGTGGTGAGGGCTGGATCTGCATTGAAGTCCGGATGTTAATGGTGACCCTTTTGTAGTTGCTCCTTGAGAACCATAAGCAACCCATAACCTGTTCGGAGTGTTGCTTCTGTGATCCCGGGGGATGAAAGGCAATCTTGCTAGCAGTTGCTATGTTTGGGGAAGATGTTGCGGTTAGTGACATCTAAGGCTGCAATGTGAAATAGGAACTTCCTGGTTCACAACTCACACTCTTAACCCTACATTAGCTCACTCTTCATTGATGGCACAAACTAGAATGAATACAGAGAACCCATGTTAAGGAAGTGCACCTGCATAAAATAATAAATTGTGGACTAGTAGCGCAATTAATGCATACTTCAAGTGTTCCTTCTCAAAATCTTTTATTTTATTTTAGATACTGTCTTCATGGCTGCAATTTACTCTGGCATTCACCTGAAGCTAAAAAGTGCAAAGACATCATGGGAGGACAAACTCAAGTTGGCTCAGTTTGCATGGATTTCTCACCAGTGCTTTCTTCCAAACAAAGAACAAGTAATGTGTTTTCATAAATGTACCCCCTCCCACAAAAAATGTTCCAAATTAATTTTGTATATAGAGCCTTGGTTCAACAGAGATAATGTTATTCAAGCCATTTTTTCATATTTAGCTAATACCCATCTCTAACTGGAAGTGGCAGGGAATACTTTGGTATTTCATTTTGTTCAATTTTTCATAAAAGGCTGTTGTTGTTATTACCTGCCCTTTACCCTAAGGTTCAGGGTTAAAAACAGTTTAAACAACTTACAATCATACAAATAAGATTTATTACAAGAATGCCATCTTTGGTACATTACTGTAAAGATGTGTATTCTCTCAAGGAAATTTGGGTTTCAGTAAATATGTAGCACCTAGTTTTTGTAGCAACTGTACTGTCTTGCCTTTCCAAATAATGTTTTTTACACGTCACGATGGGGGTACATTCTACATTTGGATTTCCAGAGTATTAGCACACCTTGATTGCTATTTTATTTCCTAAAAGCCCCAGTTTAGACATCCTTCTGATCTCAGTGGGAGAGTTAAGCTTGTGCTCAATTCTCTTGCACTGAAACCAGTGGGACTTGAAAAGAACTTTACTGCTCCTGAATAGTGCTTTGAGACATCAAAATCCATGAACCCTCAGAGTTTATACCAGGCTCATTGCGCAAGCAGAAGTTGCTGCCCAGTCATTGCTGACAGGACTCGTTAAGTGAATCCTGCCCATAGTTCTGGAGCATATGCAGAATTCCAGCTGAACTTGAACTTCTTGTTAGCACTCTTGGAAACTTCCATGAAAACTCCAGAGTAGCTTACACATGGTTTCTAGGCATTTCCCCCCATCTGGACAGTGCATTATGTGTCCTCACGCCCCTTCTTTCCTCCCTCCCTCCCTCCCTCCCTCCACATTATCTTTAAAATATGTAGAATGGCTATTATTAGTGTATAAATATATTTGTGAACACAGGTCTTGCTGGATTGGGTGTGCCATACCCTGGTTTCCTGTTCCAACAAGAAACTTGAATTGCCCAATGATATTGTTGAGAAGCTTTGGACGTACCTGGACAACATCCTTCATAGCAGGAAGCTGCAGAGTCTCTTCAAGGATGGAAAGACAATTACCCTACGTTTTTCAATTGCACAGGTAACTTGATGTGTAGATATGTTCAGGACAGTATGACCCTGTTTATCAGTGGGTAGTGTATAGTCCATGCTGGGCCTTTCTGACTGTCCCACCTCTTCCGTCATAAGTTCCCCTCTAATTTTCTCTGGTAACCTCCACTAACTGTTGGCAGCTGTTGCTCACCCTGACTGCCGTATTCCTCTAATATTGCAAAAGTGCATGCTGCCATGTTTATATGTATTGGCTGCAGCTTGTATGTATATATAATCCTCATGTGCGTGCAAGAAACTTGGTGTGGCTTCCAGTGAGGTCACAACTGCTTTGTTCCTCCCTCTTCTTTTTAAATCCTGTTTTGTATTGAGCTAAGACAAGGTTTGACCTAGCATAAGGTTCTCCTTATGAACCACAAACTCTAGCCCAAGATTCAGCCTTACCTTGATGTGTAAACAAGGCCATCTTGTGTATATTTATTCAGAAGCAAATCCCACTAAATACATTGAGATTTAACTCCCAGTACAATAGGGTTTAACTCCCAATAACTGGTTTTATGATTATAACTGTATAACAGATAGTTTTAGGCTGTAGCCCTAACTAATCTTGGGAGTAAGCCCCAGGGAAGTCAATAGGACTTGCCACTGACTAGGTTAGCACTGTGCTGTCAGTCTTTTATTGCCCAATAAATTCTGCAATCATGCAGGAAAATTAGCTCTGTAATTTTTTGAGAACATACTGCTTTGAACAATTTAGAACAAACATATTTAGGACATTAAAATATAGAATGTTTATAAGAACAAAATCTTTTCTGGTCACTTTTGAAGAACCTAATCTAAAAGGTCACTGAAACAGGATATGCTGCAGAACAGCCTAGATGACATTTAGAAAAGAGATTTTTTTTCATTCTGCAGAAGCACAATGCAGCTTTTAGAGTCAGTGTCACATATGACTTTTAGAAAGACTGCATACTACGGTATCCCCCTCATCCACATGTTAGGGGTCTTTAGTTTGGCTGTCAGCAGGTCCTGGCCCCTCTTTTGTCAGGATCTAATCTCTAGTCTTACAAGGAGCCTCAGTGGATTATTTGTCTTAGGGACAACAATATTTTTGTTGGAAGGGACAACAATTCTGATGGCGGGGGGGGGGGCAAATAATAATAATAGGTGATTTATTACATGATACATAAGCTGCAGTAAATATCTGTAACTCTAACCAAACATCACGTAAGAAGACACTTGATGGAGAGCTTCTGACCTTCAGCTCCTCTAGCTATTGACCATTAGAGTATCATTTCCATGTAGAAGATTGACCGTGAATTGTCTTTGCTTCTTGTTTACGCTCCAGGTCATGAATGAAAAGCTTTCCACCTCTTATGCCCAAAAAACCTTGAAGGACGTTGGCACTGTGCTAAGTTGCTGTAGTGGCATCCTGTCTATGCCCCCTCTCTCGATAGTTTACACTGCAAAATTTGAGCTCCTGGTGGACCTTCTGAGCAAGTTGTCCTGTCTGGCATGTTGGCAGTTGTCATCGGAAGAGGCTGTGTCACCCCAGTTGCTCGAAGTCCTCCAGCTGACCTTCCAGCAGTACCTCCTGATTCAGAGGCAGCAGGCCAATGCGAACCGTGTATTTGGGCAAGTGACTAAGCAGCTGCTTCAGCCGTGCCTGCTCCTGAGGCATTTGCTCACTAGTGGGGCATGGACACAGGCGGAAGACGGCCATCTGCGTCAGCATCAGAGCAAGGAGATCCGGAACAGTATAGAAGCCCTGCTGGTGGCTGGTATTTTCCGGCCAGAACTCTTGCCGTCTTACAGTGAAGAGTTGCTGCCAGAGAAGGAGCCTCACGCCGTAAGAAAAGGGGGTTTGAAACATCTCCTGCTGCCGGCCAGCACAATCCAGGCTAGATTAGAAGATGCTAGCTTTTGTCCTCCAGCTCTTCATGGGAAAGTGGTAGCAAACTCGGTGCCTCTGCTCTTTAAGCTGTTCCTAGAATCCTACAATAAGGCTGAAAACCACCTTGTCTGCTTCCACATGCTCACCAGGCTTTATCGCTGTCTAAGGATTTCAAACCTGCAAGAGGATCTTTGGAACAGCCAGTTTTCTCCGTCAGAATGGACCTCGGAGCTCCTGGCCATGGAGCAGCTTTTGAACTCGGTGCTGAGCAACGGCATCTATAACGTTGCCGCAGATAGGATTCGACACAAGGAAGTGCAGTTTCACTTTTACCGCCAGCTGGCACAGATTCTGGTGAGTCATTCCCAGCCTGCCATCCCTGCCTGGTTCAGGTGTCTCAAGGCCTTGATCTCCTTAAATCATTTGATTGTGGAGCCTGATTTGGACGACTTGGTGGCCTCTGCTTGGATTGATGCAGAGGTCTCTGAGCTGCGTACAAAAAAGGCTCAGGAGACACTTGTTGCGACTCTCTTCCACACTTACGCCAAGCTGCGCCAGTTCCAAAAGCTCTTTGAAGAGGTTTTGTCCGTCATCTGCCGTCCTGCTGCAGAGGAGCTGAGGCTCCCGGTTCTTCCTGCAGGCATCCGGGCCAAGCTCTGCGAGTGCCTCCTTGATCTGCCACCCAATCAGATCCTGGACATTGTGGCACTCATACTGGAGAAGTGCCAGACTTTCCTTATACCTGATGTCAGAGGAGACTCTGACGTGGCCTCGAAGCTCCAGTCCATGAGCTCATTGCTGCACTCTGTTCTGTTCCATATGAGGAGCTTAGATGATTCCACCCCGTTGCCTGTTGTGCGTCGGACTCAGAATCTGATGGAGACGATGCAGAGGGAGGTGATCCGAGCTTTGTTTGACCTGCTGACAGATTGCCAGGCAGAAGAAACAGAGCTGGAGCTTTGGGTAGAGAAAGTTGGTGGCTCTGCTCTCCTCTTTGCTTGCACTTGGGTAGCGGCCAATACCCTTTTCAGTTTAAATTGCCCAAAGTATGCCTCCCCGGCAGGCAAAACAACCTTGGCTCTTACTGATTCCACCGTAAGCAACTGGGACTTCTCGGCTGTCCTCCCTGGTTTGGATACGCAGAGTTGGGAGAAGATCACAAAGCTCTTAAGCTGTTCCTGCTCAGGGAGCAGATACTGTACAGAATGGCTGGTGCTTCAGAAAATGAAGATGATGCTGATGCAATCCAGCTCTCAGACAGAGGCATCCCACCAGGCTTTGCAGTGTGCTGGAGCTTTCATCCTTCAGTCTGGAAGATGTTGCACGAATGGAGAAGAGTCAGAGCCCTGGGATGGCAATGCAGGCGCAATAACTAGCCTCACTTACCCTACCGCTCACTGGCACCTCGTAGTCTCCAACCTTCCCATCCTGGCCCCCTATCTATCCATGAGTGATACATGGTACGTTGCAGGTGTGCTCCTGAAAACACTGTTGGCGAACCAGACACAGGCAGCCCCTGATGGTGACGGCAGCTCCTTAATCACCGTTGGAAAGGTGTCTACAGATTTGCTGCATAGTCCTCTTCTTCCAGAACTGCGGGCAATACACTCCTCTTTCCTAAGCCACATAGTCCAGCACTGTGCGAGCATCGTTGCCAACCAGTCTCTTCAACAGCTGTCTGCAGAAGATGTGCCATGGTGTGAGTTTGACCCTTCTGGTCGCGGTGCCAGCACAGGGCCTAGCAGCGAACCTTCCATGTGCTGGACAGCAATGGAGAAAGCTGCTCAGGTTATACTATCATCAGCAAAGGGGAGGGATTATGTGACCTTGGAAGAAGAGCACCTCAATAGGCTTTTGGGTTTGCTGGATATAATTTCGGCGTTGAATCTGGACAGCCTCTTTCCTCTGGGCCACACGCGGTGCTTCCTTTTGCTGTTATCTTTGGCTGCCAACACCAAGGCAAGCGTTGCTTGCAGCGAGGCCTTGTCTCTGAAGTTCAGGACAACCTGCTACCGTCTCCTGGCCTGCCTGCAGACGGGCAGGAACGCAAATTCGTCCTTCAAGGTCCTGCATGCCAGCGATGTTCTCGAAGCCGCCCTCTCCTCTGCATTTGCAGCGTGCAAGACTTCGGCCGGTGTTTCAACAGCTGCTCCGTGGGATGAATTTCTGTGTGGGATCCAGGTCTTTTTGGAGCACTACCTTCAGTTCACTCTCGAGAGGCGGCAAAGTGTGAAGCTGAACCTGGAAAAGTTCATGTCGTTCCTAGCCACTTGCAAGCCGTGTGCAGCCAGCAGCGAACATGCTGAGAGTTGGAGCCCTGCTGCTGACCAGCTCCTCTTGGTGGCAGTAACAGCACAGTGTCAAGTTCTGACTTTGCACCTCCAGCACCGCCAGCAGCAGGGGAACCATCAGGCTTCAGGAACGCTGCCTGTTTTGCTGGAACAGGCAGTGCTGCAGACGGGAGCAACCATCCAGCTCTGCCTTAGAAATCACACCAAAGGCCAGCCGTTGCCTTTGGTGTTCCTGCCGTGCATTACGACCCTTCTGAAAGCAGATTCTTTTCTTGCGCAGTCGGTGACGGGGGAGAGTGCACAAAAAAGCCCCGCACAGCCGAGCAAATGCCAGCAGCTGTCTCACCGCGAATTGTACCAACGTTTCTACATTCAGCTCTTGAGAGAACTTGACTTGGCTGGTGGCAACGTCCAGTTCCTTCGCTCCGCGCTGCAGTTCCTAACTGCCTTCTGTTCCATGCCCGAACTGTATCCTGCACAAGCAACTTCCATTGCTGCATTTCACTCCATCAGAAAACTACTTGCAGGTAACAACGGGTTATCCTTCCTACTCTCTCAACCTTTTGTTACACGTGGAAGCCTTAAGGGAGTCTGTGAATTACAATGTTGGTACAGACATCCAGCTTGGGGATGGGGAACCTTGAGCCTTCCAAAAGTAGATGGACTACAACTCCCCTCAGCTCCAGCCACTGTGGTCTACAGTCAGTAATGATGGGAATTGTAGTCCAGCAGCATCAAAGAGCCACAGGCTCCCTATCTGGATGATAGCTGCTGCTTAATAGCATAGCCTTACTTGCTGTCGTGCATTGTCTTAGAGCCACTTCACTCTGCAAGATCCCATCTCTTTGCTGTACTAGGTAAGGAAAATCATGATGATGTTCCCTTAGAGAGTTCAGAATCAAGGTCATGTGTCAGGAGAAGCCCGGGCCACCCATTCTCCTTAGCCTCAGGCTTTTGAAAGGAATAGGGATCCTACCCACATAAGAAGCACTTACTCTCTTTTTTTAAAAAAAATAATATTTATTAATAATTTCAGAATTACAGAAAAAAAATAAAAAACAACACTGCAATACATAAAAAGAAGAAAAAACGCAAAACATAAAAACCAATACAACAATACAGCAAAAAAGAAAATAAAAAAGGGAAAAAAGACACAAATCCCATATTACATATCTTTAACTTCCATTTGCTTGTTTCGTTGACCTCCTCACACCTCCCTTTTTGTATTCTAGTTTAGTTAGTTATTTCAGCAAATTCTTTCCATCTTTCTCAATTTTTATTAAATAATTTATCTTAACAATTTAACCTATTAATTAACTCGACAGATCCTTTCCATCTTTCCCCATATTCTGTTATTCAAATTACCTTAATTTATTTAGCCTTATCTTACCATAAAATACCTTAAAGCTTAAAACTTAATACTCAGTTATACATAACTCCTGATATCATTTCTGCTAGAGTCATATAGTTTCATTCCAACATTTTCCCTAATATTCATTAATTTTAGGCTAATTCCCTAAATAAAAATTTTCTTTATAAATTTTCTTCCAATCTTCATCCAACGTCTCTTCTTCCTGGTCTCGGGTCGTGTCAGTCCTTACTGTCCATTCCATCTAGTCCATCAACCTGGAAGTCTTATGTCCGAGGCCCTTAAGTCTCTTCCATGTCCCTTCTGCAGATCTTCTTCTTCTTGTTTATGCTTGCACTTTTCCTTGTCTTTTGTTGGTCTCTTTCTTAATTTCTTTCCTTTCTCATTGAGGAGTAGGTCTCTGGGGGGTTCCAACCCAAAGTTATCTCCGTCTCCCTTCATCAAACCAGCCCATTCCCCACAGTCCCACTCCCCACAGTCATCAATATAATCCAAAAAGTATTTACGAGCATATTTCAAAGTCTCTCCAAAGTTAAAAGCCTCCTCAGCTCCAGACTCCCCCTGGCCCACTCCAACTTCAATCTTCAAAAACAGCGGCTTATGCTCCTGTAGGGCCTTGGGCCTCTCCATTTGTATTATTTGAGGTGCAACCGCAGCCTCCTCCATTATCTTCTGCACTTGCCCAATCAATACAGGTTCCTGAGTTGGATCCTGGATGGTTTCTGTATCACTATTCACTATTTGTCCACAGTTATTGGCCACAACAGTCATCAAATCCATTTTCTCATTCATCAAATCCATCTTCTCATGCATCTGTTCCAACAAAGCACTTGTCTTGCATAAAGCAAGCACCAAAACTTCCTTCCAGCTCATATTTAGTCAAGGTCAAAAGGACTAATCCCACGATCTTAATCTCACAGCTGTGGAATCCTCAAGTAGACTGCAGTAACAATTTAGCAGGCTCCCTCTAGAGGAGACAATTTCTATTTGTATCCATCTTTTTAAGGCAAGTCCAACAAAGGAAAATTACTTTCATTTTTCAGATATTTTGTTTCTTTAGAATGCAAAAGGCAACACTGGAATCAGTTTATTTCTCTTCTTCAGCTATCTGTCAAAGTATTCCATTCACAGTCAATGAACCTCTCCAACAATTTCTGTCTCTGACACCCCGTTCCCAGGTTAGAGACGGTGGAAACTTATCTTTCTTCACTCCCTCTCCTGCAGGCGTTACACAAAGTCCCCCCCCCTTTTCTCCTGCTTCCAAGGGGGTTTCAGTAGTTATAAATGAAGGAAATTTAGGCTTTTTTAACGACTTTCCAGGCTTTAGCTTATAAGGCTTTTGCTTTAGTCTATATACAAAAAGCGGAAGGCGGACTTCCTGTTTTGAACCTTCCCGCTTCGATGTCAAATTAAGATATTTCTTGATCCAATTTTCCGTTTCTACTCACGGGTAGTTGTTTTAAATCCAATTGTCCACAGGAAAAAGTCAGCGCTCTCCGGCGATGGCTGTGCGGCTTCACTCCGTGAAAGTAGCAGTCAGTTCGCAGCACCGCGCTACTCACCCCACTTCACTCTGGAATCCCAAAAAGGGGTTCCCCGTGAGTAGGGGGGGCGCTCCTGGTGCCCTGCCGAACCCCACGTTCCCAGGCTTCCTCCGCCTGGGATTTCTAGCGGGTCCCCACCTTCGCCGCGGCGGGAAGACCCAGTTTCCACGGAGCCAGTTCCTCCGGTCGGAGGAACTCCGCCATTCGCCGATGGCGCTAACCCGGAAGTCCAAGAAGCACTTATTTTCTTTGATGGAAGCTTGTGTGTGATGAAAGATACAAAGAAAAGGCTAAGGAGTAAACCCTACACAAATAAAGAGTGGAGTCCCTAAGATGGTTGGATGGTGCCTTGTACTCCTCCTTCCAGCAGCTCCTGCAACCAAGCTGGTGCCAAATGTATTGTTCTGCTTTCCTTTGGACCATATCAGTGAGGCTGAGGGGAGTCTTGCCATCTGAGCACCCCAGGACCTCCATATACACTGCCCAGGCTTGCGTCCCAGAGAGATCATTTTGGTGCTGCTAATGCAGCAAAAACAATGTGGGAGGCAGCAGTTATGGGTCTCTACAGCCACAGCAGGCACAGTGATTCTCCAGCAGTTTCATTTCACCCTCAGAGAGGCACTCCATTGTCTCTCGAGACAGATGGATGCCAAGAACTTCAGCAGAAGTTCAGAAAAGCGTTATGATTCATGCAAACCCATTTTGTGAATTGTTCTTAAAATGATTCAGAACCCAGCAGCCTCCAGCAGGCCTGGAGTTTGGATGATAGTGTTGTCTTTCATTATTGCAGGTCCCGGAGTCACCGTCCAAGTGATTCGAGATCTGGAAGTGCAGCTGACAGAACTGATGGCCCAGCTGGTGGAGAATTGTACCCCTGACGACTTTTGTGCCATGTTGAGGGTGGTGCTTGAGGGATTAGATGTTCGCAATATTTGGAAACAAAATCATGAAGTAGGGGAAAATTATTTACTTCTCTTTTAAACTTCTCATATGCAACACAACTGTTCGTTGTCCATTACATAGCAACCATATGACAGCAAGCACTTTTTTTTACTACTCTTATGTGGAAAGGAGGTATCAGAATGTGTAGCATTGAAAATGACATGTTTGGGCATCTTGGGCTGGCTTCTACAGAATCAAACTATTTAATCTCAGGATGAGGAACAACCTCTGGTCTTACAGATATTGTTGCTCTCCTCTAACTTCCCTTGGTATTGGGGATGATAGCAATTGTAGTTCACAAACATCTGGCAGGCCAATTCCTGATTTAACCAGTGTTGCCTGTTCTGTGTGGCCCTGGCTCTCCCAAGATCTCAGGTTGAGATCTTTTATCAGATCTACTGCCTGATGTTTGCTTTCTCTGGAGATGCTGGAAATTGAAGCTGGGACCTGCTGAGGACGACACGTATGTTCTGCCCATTGAGTTACGGCCCTTTCCCAAAAGTGCTTTAGCCTTTCATTTGTAAATACTGTAAATGGGGAATTGGACCTCTAGTACAGATTCTACTCTGTTTACATGCTACTATCTCAACTCTTGAAATGCTTTGTCCTTGCATTACTAAAACCACATGCACAAGAAAAGTATTGGCAGAGTTGGGGGTAGCCTGTGGGGGTTGCAGAAATAAACATATATTTAGGGAAAGGAATAATGCCCTAAAAGAGCCCAGTAAGGACAGCGTTCAGTGGCCACAGAAGGAAAAGCCTGAAAACCAGTGTGTCTGTGTGGAGAAAGATAGGGGGAAATGGAAATGGAAAAAGGAGGTCTGAGGAAGAGACACATTAAAAAATATTTTACTTGTCTAGAAAAAAGTGTATAACGCAGACTCTGAACTCTTATTTTGATGGGCTTAAATTTTATTCATTTCCATGGAACTGTGATTATACCTAACTTTCCCGGGGTTGCACCCTTTCACCTTCACGTCTCCTGTTTGAAATGCAATGTTTGTTTTTATTTTGTGCAGGAAGCATTGTCGGCTGTTACTCTAGTCAAAGTGCTGCTTGGCTGCCCTTTAAGCAGAGAGAAAGAGAAAGCGTTCTGGTTTTCCAGTCCCCGGATAATCACTGCTTTAGTTGTGAGTATCTCTGCAGCCAGAACTGTGGTGCTTCGGAGCCTATCTGTGCTACTGACACTAATGCACTCGCCACGTGCCTTTTATTCCCAAGGAGTGTGTGGTGGGGAGCTGGTGTTGTCGATCGGACTCCAACTCCCATCATTGGCCAAGCTGGCTGGGGCTGATGGGAGCCGGAGTTTGGCAGTGTCTAGAGCGCAACAGGTTCCCCACCCCGACGTGTACATGAGTAGATGGAAAGTGAGGAGCTACACTTGTTGGGTCCATGCCCTTTCCAAACTTTAGTTTTGCAACATGGCTGGGATTTCTACTCTTCTGCATGGGAGTGATAGCACTCCACCTCCAAAGAATCATAAAGGAAGGGGGAATTGTTTCTCCAAATGGGGAATGGATGAGTGTTCCAGACCTAGGGTTACACAGTGGGAGAATATGAAGCCACTCCGGACATTGGAGTGTGTTAAAGTAGCACTAAGGGGACGTTCTGTCAGCTCAGTGATTTCTCCTTGTGCAAAGGAATCTTCACCCCCTCTCCCCACACAACTCTCCCACTCAACCCTCAAGAGCATAGCAGATTTGGGCACAGGGTAGGATACGTGTCAAGGGAGGAGAGGGGGAAAATTATATTGTGTATGCAATGAATATATATGTGAATTGATGAAGCAGTTGCAATTCCAGCAGAAAATAGTAACCCTCCTCCTTTTCACTTAAAAAAATAGAAAATCAAATGGTTCAAGTGCCCCAGAACTAAGATACCATAACAGGGGAGTGCATAGCCATCAGTAACATAAACCAAAAATGGAAAAAGTTAACTATTTACAAAGGGGCACAGAGGGGAGGGGAATTGCTGGCCGCATCAGAGTCGTTCAGTAGGTTCCTGTGATGCAGGTACAAATAGAAGTTGCAGGAGCAATAAAATGTCCCTTCTGGGGAAACATCATCTTTCCGAATTTCAAAACATCACTCATCCAGCGCTAGGGAGATGTAGTATCCCAGCAGGTGATGTGCAGCCTTAAGACGTTTGGGGTGTGTGTGTGTGTGTGTGTGTGCATGTGCAGAAAACAGAGTTACCTCTGTTGAGCTAGAAAGAAATGGTAGCACAGAAGGGCCGTTGATTTCTGCCTATATTGCTTGGTACGTCCTTCTGCCGTAAACGTACATAAACTTTTACAAAATTAGATTTCGGGTGTCTTGGATACAGAACTATGGATCTGCATTCACATACCAGTGTTACTCCTGTTGGAGAAAACCACATGTGCCTCCGGAAGCTCTGCTTCATTGTTTGATGGCAGCAGAAGCTTGCCAGGAAAGGACACGGTAGAGAAACAGGGGCACACATCCTTTCCTACAGCTGCTGCTTCTTTCCTTCCTTTTTGACTCAGATGCAAATGAAAGAGGCATCTCAAGATCCAAAACGCATACCCATCCTCGTCGTACCTATCCTGGAGACAGTGGCAGCCCTCCTAAGGCAAGGAGAAGGCGTTTTCTCTAACCCGCATCACGTCACCCTGGTGTTCAATATTCTTCTGACTGTCCCTCTCGACCAAAGGGAGTACGGGAACATCTTCCTGGGAATTCACGAGGTTCTCTTTTCCATCCTGCAGTGTCATCCTAAGGTAACAAAGGGGGCAGAGTTCATATGTTGATTTTGATGTGTTTTTATCCTTTTTCCTAAGGTCTAGAAGTTGCCGGGCAACAACTCCCATCATTATGATTTTATTTATTCCATTTCTAGCCCCCCCTTTCCCATAAGGAGATCAAAGTGGCATGCATAGCATTCGTCCCCATTTTATCCTCGCAACCACCTACGAGGTAGCTTCGCCTAAGAGAGTGTGATTAGTCCCAGGTCACCCCTTGAGCTTTGTGACCGGCTTGTGTACTGAGAGGGGCAGATGGAGGGATGTTGCATCCAAAACTGGATTGTGAGTTTTAGGCCCCATTAAATATTTTTATGGTTGATTTTCTAGCAGCTTGTCACCCGCCCTGTGATCATATTGCGATGGAAGGGTGGGAGATAAATTTAGCAAATAAATCTGTTTTGAAGTTAAAACACGGATTGCCTTTTGTTACAGTGCTTCAGTGTTGTATTTAATTGGTTTGCAGGTGATGCTCAAAGCAGCTCCATCTTTCTTGAACAGTTTCCATAGACTGGTTATTTCAGTTATGCACGAGGGGAAACAGAAAGGAGACAGAGGTCTGGTATTTTATTTGTATCCCATTCTATTTCCTATCCTGTGATCCTGTCCTGTGTGTAAAACGCTTTTGCATAGTGGAGCCAGCTACATCTTGCAAGATTCGAAGTTTAGCAGCACAAACTGGAAAATGTTTATTCCAAAATATGTCTCATTTTTGCTCAGTTGGGCTTACATCCTAAAAGTGTGCATCCTAAATTAACTAGTGTCATGCAGTGGCTTTGTGTGATAGTGCTTATTTATGGAAAGGTGAATGATATTCGGTAGTGGGTGGAGGCAATGATCACACCAAGAACCAGTAAGACCTCACTCCTTGGGGTAGAAGCCTATCCCAACGACCACAACATAGAGAGAAGGGATGGTACATCAACCTTTGTCTCTGGTCTCTCATTGGCTTTTCCTGATTGGTCAATCACCTTCCACTGGAAAAAAGCTTGCCTGCCTCTGGTGTATGGGACTGCAGCTGAAGTCCTTCCGTCAACATGCAAAGTCATGTTTCTTTCTATTCTCCTTCACCGCACACTAAAATTTGTCCTGCACAGGTCAGGAGGGAGTTCCTGTTACACAGTCTCATTGTTTTCATATGCATACTTTCTATTCAGCCCCTTATTTCCCTCATTTTGTTAACATTTTATAACAGGCTGCAGAAACAGTTGTGTTTGGTTGATTTTTGGTTTGTTCCTGTTTTTTACAGGGGGGTGGGTGGGAGAATCACGAAAGGATTAAAAAATAAAACTCTGACTTTAAACTTTGCTTTCCAAGGGATCACAGATGAATTTGAAGTTATACTGAGGTGTGCCCACTTGGTGGAGCGGATGTATACCTACATTGCTGCAAAAACAGAAGAATTCACTGTGTTATCTTCCTTCATTGTGGCCCAGTATGTAATTGAACTGCAGAAGGTAATAATCAGCTATTTACTATTTATTTGTAAGAATGGAAAAGAGGAGAGTATAATGATTATATGTTCCTTGTGCATCAAACGTCATAAATAGATTGCAAAAATATTCTGGAGCTTTAAGAGATGCTTGCAATTAAGGTAGGTTTTTATTAGAATTTGGAAACTAGCCACCAGCCATGACGGCTGCCTAGTACCACCGCTAATGGAGGTGGCCTATGCTCAGGGCTTGCCACCGTGAGAACAGGATGATGGGATAGATGGGCCTTTGGCCTGATCCATCAGGGCCTTTTCTTACATTCTTAAACCTCAGTTTAAAGTGGGGTTTCTGATTCTGATTTGGAGGTGAACTATGGTGTGCAGTTACCATAGTTTGACCGGTTCAGGACCTTGGCAAAGTGTGGTTACAGCAAACCAGACAGTGCAGGGAAGGGAATCAGGACCCTGCAAGGCTGAAGCCTGTTCCTGAGGTCGGAACCTGTGTCTTTGTTGCTGATATACTAGCTGTTTTTTGGGTCTGCTTCTCGGCAGGTGCTCTGTTGTCTTCTTTCTCTGCCTTCACCCCCTCTCACTAACTAACTAATAAAATAAAATAAAATAAAATAAAATTTATACATAGCGTATTTTTCGCTCTATAACACGCACCCGACCATAACACGCACGTAGTTTTTAGAGGAGGAAAATCCGTAGGCATGCCACCCGTAGGCATTCCCTCCATAACACGCACAGACATTTCCCCTTACTTTCTAGGAGGAAAAAAGTGAGTGTTATAGTGCAAAAAATACGGTACATACATACCCCACCTATCTAGCTGGGTTTCCCCAGCCACTCTGAGCAACTGACAGCAGAATATTAAAAACATGATAAAACATCAAACATTTAAAAACTTCCCTATACAGGGCTGCCTTCAGATGTCTTCTAAAAGTCGGATGGTTGTTTATTTCCTTGACATCTGATGGGAAGGCGTTCCACGGGGCGGGTGCCACTACCGAGAAGGCCCTCTGTCGGTTCCCTGTAACTTTGCTTCTCGCAGGGAGGGAACCGCCAGAAGGCCCTCGGAGCTGGGCCATGGGGGTGGAGACACTCCTTCAGGTATACTGGGCCAAGGCCGTTTAGGGCTTTAAAGGTCAGCACCAACACTTTAAATTGTGCTTGGAAACGTACCAGGAGCCAATGTAGGTCTTTCAGGACCGGTGTTATATGGTCTCGACAGCCACTCCCAGTCACCAGTGTAGCTGCTTCATTCTGGATTAGTTGTAGAGCACATTGCAGTAGTCCAAGCTACTACAAAAAAAACCCATCCCTTTTAACGTACAGTTCATTAACCAGGTGTTTCATCCCTAGATTACATACTAATTTGAGCACCCTTTTTTCCAGTTCAGGGAATAAGAAATGAAGGAGGATTCTGAATTTTGTGTGAAAGCAAGCTTTTCCCCCCAGTTCCCCCTCCCCCATTTATTTTTATTTAAAATATTTCTATACTGCTCTTATTAAATGTTGCCAGGATAGTCCACAGCAATGCAACAAAATTCTGTTGAAAATATTATAATATACATCAGAATCCATGGAACACAAGCTGAATAACACTTAGGCTCAGCATTCATAACCTGCTAGCACATGGGTGAACTGAAATGCAACCATCGGAAGAAGATGGCACTTGCTTTATTCCAGACAGGAGTCAGTTCCGCAATTTGGGTGCCATACGGGCAGGTCTTTGTTGGAAAATGAGTTCCTTCAGATATCAAAGTCCCAAGTTGTTTAGGGCTCCATGCATCAACACAAGAACCTTAGATCTGCCGCAGTAGCAAATTGGCCGCCCGTGCAGGTTTTGTTTCCCCCCCAAAAAAGCACGTCACATGCTCATCTTAGGTCACCCTGCTCAGCAACCTCACCACTAGCCGCAGCTCCTGAAACAGTTTTAAGGGCAGCCCCTCCCCCCATGGAGCACATTGTAATCATTTATTCAATTTCTTTCTTGCCTTTCACCATAAAGTCCAAGGGCGGTGACAGCAATTTAAAATACAGTCTGCTCTGCGAACGTTTAGCATCAGCATGGCAGCTTGCTGCAGTTTTTCCAGCTTTAGGGGGAGCTTTTTCAGGAGGATGTCGTACTTCAGGTGCAAAAAAAAGGCCAGTTGTTGGCTGCTGGAACCCCATTAAACAGGTACTGTCAAGGAACTGCTTGATTGAGCAGGACATGGAATAGAGGCGTTCTGCATTGTAAATGTTTTTGCACCAATAATAAAGCCTTTGAAAAGACCAGTGAGGGATCTTGCCTGATCGCTCTCGAGCAACCACACCGATAGGCATAACAGTTACATATAAAGATGAACGGTTTTTCTTGGTAATAATGATTCCCCGGCCATCTCGGATGATGCGCGTTGGTCATTTTGTTCTTCGAAGGCAGCTTCCACTTCTGCAGCAGTGCTGAAGCTGCATGAACTGTCACAGCGATTAGAAGTTCACTTCATTAGGAAAGAGTTTATTACTTGTCTGGGGAAGAGAAGGAAAGCCTAGATTTTAATGACAGCCTCTAGTTTAATTTCCATTATTCTAGGAACTTAGTGCGACAGGTCTGGAAGCATGAAGCTAATTTGGGCTTTTGGCGCATGGAGGGAGGAAAGGAGAGGATCTCTCTGTGGCAGAAAATAGCACAATCTCCCCTTGGGGCTAGAAATCTTGGCAGGAAGATGCTTCCAGGGTGACATTTGAGTGCAGAGATTGTGCCAGTTTTGGGGAAGGCTGGAAGGAAACAGCCAGCGCTCAGGTGTGGAAGATTTTTATAGCCAGTTCTGATGATTGACAGGCTTAGAAGTGCTTAAGAGGATAATAGATAATGAGTGCATATCCTGCCTGAGGAGGTGACAGTGGAGGAAGAGTGTGTTCGTGTGTGTTTATGGGCATCATCACTTTCAGGGCTAGTAACGTCTGGTTTAAAGCTGGTTTAATGAAGTGAATGGTCTCTTCTGCATCTACTGTCTTCTCTATAAAGGACGGCCGTGTTCTCAATTTTTGTTCTATTATTCGTTACATACTGATGAACTGCATGTTTTGGGTATATTGTCTTGAATTTGAAGGATGATTTCAAAAAAATATACCACTGAGTGAAACCAACATCACGGCCTGCTCCTCATACCGGTCCTGGACGATATATCGATATATCACCCAGGCCTATTGCTGAGGAGCTGCCCCAACTGGCTGTGACTTCGCGGCTCACCTGGCCTGCTGCCACTGTAGTTCACAGAGCCACCTGTTGTCAGCCAAGCAAACTGCTACATGACAGCTGCCTTAGTGAAGTGTATCATAGGAGAGGTACGTGCTAGGTTGCCCTGTAACAAAGTTGTCAGGGTGGCTTACAATAAGGAATAAAAGCAAATTTAAATTCAATGGCAAGAACACATGCAACAATAAAAGTGTACTACATTTTAGTGTTGAGATTTTTCAGTTTTTCAGCAGGTCTTACAAAATTTCAGGTTGTGCTTTTGTACATCAGGTAACCTGCTGGACAGATAATAAGCTACTGTATTACCTTAGAGCTTTTACTTATGAGTGTTGTGTGTGTTTAATAACACGTTTTAATGAGTCATTGTGTTCCCTCTAGGTGACTTTGCACCCAGCTGTAAAGAAACATCTAACTGAGGGGATTTATCACATCCTAGATCTTTGTGTGGAGCGTGATATCAAGTTCTTAAATGCGTCCTTACCAGTGGGAGTGAGAGAAGTTTTCAAGGAACTGTATCACGATTATTCTCACTACCACAAAGCTCTAAAGCAAGGGGATGAAAAGTACACAGCATGAGCTACCTATTGTCTACCTGCCGCTTTGAAATCTCACAGAGGACTGTCTTTCAAGGTGATGAGCACTTGCTGTTCTTAAGGTTTGTGTACTTAGTATCTGAAATCTAGAGGCTGTGTTCATCTGGACAGGTGCCCATAGCAACTTCTGCGTAGGTGACTGACAGATGTATGCTTTCCTAATAATTGCAAGCATGTTTTGAAGAAGAAATTGCTTACTCGGTAAAGAGATGCTGGAGTCAGAACCTTCAAGAGACAATGCAGTCTTCTTTTGTTGTAGGCAATAGGTATTCATGTAGAAATAAATCATGTTTTTGGTTTATATGTTTTTTATATTTAGACCAAGAAAACCACTCCCCGCATTGTGCTGTAATTGTGAGAGCTTGTTAATTAATTTAATTAATTAATAAACCTAATAATTCTTTCTTTTTTAAAAAATTAAGAGTTGTGGCTCTTCAATACACTTGACACTGCTCTTAATATTTCTGATGTTATTTGCTGTCTACATGCAATTTTGCCACTGGCCTGTAGTGAGCAGCAGTTGTTCTCTGATAAACAGGACTCTCAGACTGGTGTGCTACCCAGGGAACATAGCTCTGTGGTGGCTGCACCTTCAGAATTTCCCAGGTAGGAAAGTCACCTTTCTTAGCCTTTCTGCATATCCCTCAGCATTCATGGTAATGATGTTTCTACACAGCTCCACAGTCTAACCATCTGTGCATACCAGAGATACTAATCTTCTTCATGCTTCCATATCTGATTATTCTTGGATAGGACACGAGTCAAGAACGCTTGGATTTAACAAAGGCTTGCCCTCTCCTTCAGCATTTGAGTCATCCCCTCAATGTATAAACAAATCAGAGAACTGACGTGAGTCAGGAGGTTGCTGTCTCACCAGCGTAACACACCCCAAGGGTTCAAGGAAAAAGGGCAGCTGAAGGAGAAATAAATATAGCCTTACACAGTGTAACGTCTGAGGCAAATATGTTTGTTGTTTAGTCGTTTAGTCGTGTCCAACTCTTCGTGACCCCATGGACCAGAGCACGCCAGGCACTCCTGTCTTCCACTTCCTCCCACAGTTTGGTCAAACTCATGCTGGTAGCTTTGAGAACACTGTCCAACCATCTTGTCCTCTGTCGTCCCCTTCTCCTTGTGCCCGCCATCTTTCCCAACATCAGGGTCTTTTCCAGGGAGTCTTCTCTGCTCATGAGGTAGCCAAAATATTGGAGCCCCAGCTTCAGGATCTGTCCTTCCAGTGAGCACTCAGGGCTGATTTCCTTAAGAATGGATAGGTTTGATCTTCTTGCAGTCCATGGGACTCTCAAGAGTCTCCTCCAGCACCATAATTCAAAAGCATCAATTCTTCGGCAATCAGCCTTCTTTATGGTCCAGCTCTCACTGCCTTGCCATGGTGATGGGGCTTGAATAACTCAGAGAAGCTATGAGCTATGCTGTGCAGGGCCACCCAAGATGGACAGGTCATAGTGGAGAGTTTTGATGTGATCCACCTGGAGCAGGAACCGGCAAGCCCTGCCAAGAAAACTCCATGGACAAAGACAAGAGGCAAATACATACCAACAATTAATTTATCTTGGAACTGTTTTTGTGGTCTTCCACTTTCTCCATGGCCCACTCTACGCTTATAGCAAAACAAAGCGATCAGATCACGAAGTGCTAGAGTGGACTGCACAACTGCAGGCTGAAGGTGAAAGGAATGCCATTTTCTTATTAAAAAAAATGTTTTACCCTATTTATCTTCTAGATAAAACCAAGAAAGGCTAGCACATTAGAAAGGGTGGCTCTTACCTTCTTGTTGGGACCTTTTCAGATGGAATTGTTGGCATCAGTCCTGTCTCAGGAGACAACAGAAGAGTGTGCCTTTGGGGGTAAATTCTAACAGTTGGGGAGTTACAGCGCCTGCTGTGGCTACAGAGATTAATGCGGGAGAGACAAGTTTTGTTGCAGTTGGGGCAGATGAAGGTGTCTGGTTTTGCTGCTACACGTCACCATGACGTTCCTTCTCTTTGCGCTTCTCCCAGCGGTCACTCCTCTGGTCACTGCTGTGGATACATGACCTGTCTGCCTCCAGGCACTGCTGTTGTCTGCAAGGGATTCCTATACAGCGGGGTTAATGCTGCTAGCCTTCACGTCATGTTTGCAGACATCTTTGTAAGAGTTGCTCTGCCAACAGGCCTAGTGCTTAAAGCCATCTCCCTTTAGAGCACATCCTTGGGGATCCTGCCATCTTCCATTCTGTGGACATGACCCAAGCCAGTGTGTCTAGGCATCACTGAGATAGGAGTGCAAACATGCTGGGAATGTGGGATTGGGAGAGCACATCTCTGTTTGAAACTCTGTGCTGCCATGCAATGCCCAAAATCATCCTGATGCAGCGTATATGGAAGGCACTAATGTGTCATTTTTGGTGGTTGCAAGTTGCTCACGACTTGCTTGCATAAAGCAGTGTGCTCAATGCTCCAAGCCTGGTAGACTTTTATCTTGGCACTGATCATTAGCATCATGTTTTTCCATACCCTTTTGGAGATGTGAGCCATTGTTGTAGCTGCCTTGCCAATACGCTTGTCCAGCTCGGTGTTGATGGAGAAGTTGCTGGTTACGATGGAGCCCAGGTAGATAAAATCACCTACCACTTCAAGCATGTGGTCACCAAGTGCTGATGCATAGAGTGCTGGCAACATCCTGGCCCAGGATGTTGGTCTTTGTCAGTCTGATGGGAAGGCTGAATTCCATGCAGGCTTGGGCAAAATGGCTGATGAGTCTTTGTGGATCTTTCTTGGAGTGTGGTGTCGAGGCTGCGTCATCTGCAAAACAGCATCTCTTGGATAAGAACCCGCTGCGTTTGTCTTGCCATGGAGACGTGCCAAGTTGAACAAACCCCATTGCTCCTTGAAGGCATGGAGAGCAACAGGAAGAAGAAGGTGCCAAATAGAGTTGGGGTGAGAACACAGCCCTGTTTCACACTGCTCTTTATAGGGGAGACATCTGAGGATGAACCATCATACTGGAAGGTGCTGTGTATGTTCTCATCTTGTGGGTACACAGGAGAGCACTCATTCATTCCAGTCTACTCTGAGCTTGTGTTATGGGCTACCTCATTGCAGTCTTCATCACGTTACATTGATACTGTTTTTAATTTGGTGATGTGCTGCTAATCATAGCAATATGGTTGGCTGGCTACCTTGAGGCGGCATACAGTCACTTTAGCTGTTCTGTGATCAAATTCTGGGTCCTCTTGGCATCGACTTGTAGGGAAAATTAATTCCTACATTGGTCTTTGTGTGGGTAATTGAGAACTACAGAAGACTGGCAGAGGGCCATAGAGGAGCTGTTCTAGGACAACACAGGGCAAATGGAAACAAAATAAGAGTCACACAGCTGATATTTCCTCTTCTGTAGAACCTTCATGTTGGGTGGCCATTGCAATATAGCAATTTTATCACAAGAGGGAGCCATTGTCAAAAGTTCACTGTCCGGCTGCAGCCTTACAGCCGCCAAAGGACATTTCTTTTTTTTTGTCCTTAAAAAAGCACACACACATTTATTCTTAAAACATCAAGAGACTGATAGATGACCTGATTTTGTTTAATCATTCCCTAAAATTCCAGCTGAATGACAATACCCATTTGAAGGGACCTTGAAAGGGTGTGTGTGATACATTTGGATAAATCTGGCAAAACAGCCGGGCTTTCCCTCCCAGATTTCAAATCATGTGAGTGGTGGCGGGCGTGTGACTCTTTTAAGTGTTCAAGAATTCCTTTCACAGGCAGATTTCTTTGAAGTTGTGGTTAAGTTGCTCTGGAGAGAAAGGCAATTCCTTCTTCACTGAGATGCAGTGACTGGGAAATCATGGCTATGAGCCTCAAGTATGAGCCAGAAAATCCCTGGCTGAAACCTGGCCTGCGTCACAAGCTCACAAAGTGTCCTTAGGCAAGCTGCTGTCATCTTGGCCTCAGCTCCATATCAACAAGAAGAGGATAACGTTTTGGATTTTTATTTGTTTTTAAAGTTTACAATCCACTTTTCTTTCACTAAGGGCTAACAACATAAAAACAGAAAACAAGACTGCTTTGTTAAGGGGTTCCTCTCAGATTTCTGTGAGAAGGTCTGTCCCTTTGGGTTGCCATGAAGAACATTTTCACCCCTCGTTAAACACACGCAGTCCTTATCTGCGCTTTTTCACAGACCACTCTGAAAGGCTTCAAAACACTTCACAGATTTTCAGGGGGGCGGGAGAAGAGGACTGCATCCCTGTAGGTGAGGGTCTAAACCACTGAGCCTCTTGGGCTTGCCAATCAGAAGGTCGGTGGTTCGAATCCCTGCAACAGGGTGAGCTCCCGTTGCTCTGTCCCAGCTCCTGCCAACCTAGCAGTTCGAAAGCACACCAGTGCAAGTAGATAAATAGGTACCGCTGTGGCGGGAAGGTAAACGGTGTTTCCGGGTGCTCTGGTTTCCATCACAGTGTTTTGTTGCACCAGAAGCAGTTTAGTCCTGCTGGCCACATGACCTGGAAAGCTGTCTGTGGACAAACGCCGGCTCCCTCGGCCTGAAAGCAAGATGAGAGCTGCAACCCCATAGTTGCCTTTAACTGGGCTTAACCAGTTGAGAACCAGTTGTACTGTGAGAAGGCTCACAGTACAGGCAAAATGTTTTTTAATATAACCCCCCCCCTCACACAACCAGCATTCTGGGTTCCTGATCTCCTCACTGGCTACGTTTAACACCAAAACCAAAGCAGCACTTAAGGGCGAAGCTACATGACCCACAAAATCTTGTGTAGTTTAGTGGATTGCAGATTCCTTCCCTGTAGCACTGATGGAGGGGTGTGTGTGGCCTTTTTAGGTCCACAGGAGAGCAGACGGAGGGAGAAGAAGGAGGGGACCTTTTTCATGTTGTCAGCGTGTGTTGACTCCTTATACAGCCAGCCCTGGAGTGAGAAAGGCAACGTGAGATGGGTTTTGCGAGGGAGTTTTCAAGTGACATATGTGAGTGGTTACCCATTTTGGATTCTTATACCCAGATGAACAGTGGGTGTTCCATGGGCAAGGAAGCAGAGAAAAACAAGCCACTTGAACCGGAAAAATACAAAACAAATTCATGGCACAGTTGCTCAGCAAAAAAAATATAGGGAGCCCAGGCTCATTTGAGACCCCATCTGCACTATACATTTAATAATAATAATAATAATAATAATAATAATAATAATAATAATACTTTTATTTGTATCCCACCCTCCCCGGCCGAGGCCGGGCTCAGAGCGGCTAACATCATAAAAACAACCCAATATGCATAAAAACAGACATCAATTAATTAAAATACATCTTAAAATTAATTCAGACAAGTTAAAATCTGGGCAGGTGGCAGTATCACGCCTCTTTAAATGGTCATGACTTCTCCCAAGGAATCATAGGAAC